ATACAGTAATTGTTTTTCCTGACTATGATTTGGCTACATTACTTACACATTGAAACACAGCAAATTTCTCCTTGGACTGTTTTACTCGCAAGTGTACCACATGTTTACCCACCAAGGACTATCATCGGCAAGTTTCCCTTTCCCTTTATTAGTATTTTTAAAATAGTATTGTTTTGTGTGTTCTTCCTTTTTGTTGCCTTAGCTTTATTTCAAAATAAATTTCATTTAAAAACACTTTAGATTTCACATATTCTAACAAAGCATTTGCTATATAAACTAAGACTCGAGGAATAAAATGAGATATTGCTAGAGGGTTGTTGTTTTTTAGTTCCAGAGCAACCAGATCAAACTGGCTTTTCAGCTCTGTTGTGACTTCTGCAAAATCGTGATCAACCAGTGACCCTGATTCTCCGTGGCATCTATTCTATGGCAGAAAAGAAAAATCTTGAACTTCTTACCTGCCTTTTTATGAAGTGACATTTTGTTCTTCTCTTTAGTACTCTCTGCTTTTTGTTAGCCTTGGGGCCATGTAATGATCAGCGGTGTTGCATTGCATCTATATATAGCTAAACCATTTAGCCATTAAAAAAGCCTTAAGGAGAAAAGTTTGAAGGAAACCTTTTGTGTATTCTGCTGTTGTTCAGCACGACGTGTCTTCATTTTGCCAGTTACTTCTTCTTTGATTGGATTAGACATAAATATTTATCCACTAATGCCCAGTGTATAATTTCTGAAATGAAATTTGCAAAACGGGTCTCTCATCCTGCAATTAAGTCCTGTTGTGAAAAAGCAGGCCACAGGATTCTGATTAACAAGAAGTAGTGGCAGTAGGTTATAAAACCACAGTAAAAATCAAACATTAAAAACTTCCCTATACAGGGCTGCCTTCAGATAACTTCTAAAAGCCAGATAGTTGTTTATTTCCTGCCCACAGGGCAGGCGCAACTACCGAGAAGGCCCTCTGCCTAGTTCCCTGTCTTTTCTATTTGGCTTAGTGGCGCCCTGCGCCACAGCGCCTGCCCATCAGGGTCACTGGGCTCAAGCGCCCAGCAACGGGAGTCTGGGAACAGCTGCACCGTGTGTTGCTGGCGCTGGCCACCGCTGCAGCCGGGAGCAGAGAATCCCTCTGCTCGCTGCAAAGCGGCTCCCCATCCCGCTCCCCACCTGGCTCGGCTCCACAGCCTTGGGCAGGTGCTGCGGAGGCGTGGGCAGCTCCATCCTCAACCCCGTGGCCGGCTCCAGCAGCCAGGCTCGGCTCCCTGCATGCTCCCGTTTAAAAAGACACGAGCTCAACCCCTCCCCAACCCCTCCACAAAGACCCCCACCCAAACCCACAACACAGCAGCAACCTCCTCCCTCCTCCTCCACTCCCAAATTCTGTGCATCGGGGCTGTGTCTCCCCCTTGCAGTAGATGGAGGTGCTGTGCAGAGAATGGATTAAAAAATAATCACAAAAACCACATCGCTATTTATGTTGGGTGTGTGTGTGTGTGTGTGTGTGTGTGTGTTGGTGTTATGAAGACTCATTACTTCCTGTGCCCGAACAGACTGGGCAGTCTCGAGCTACTGTGTCTAAGACCCTCCGCTGGGCAGCCAATGGGTTTACACGTTGTGGGGGGCAATAAGAGGAAATAGTAAAAGGGCCTGCCTCACAAAACTTGCTTTGCACAGGGGGAGCGCCGTGTGCTCTTTGTGCCTTGTCCCGGAGGAAAAACTCCCTAGGAACAGATCCTACCCTCCCACCAAAAAAATAAACCTGCCTTTCCAATTTAAATATCAAATGCTTGCTTCTGGAGCGTGATCTTGGTCATCTGTGTGGGGTGTGGAATAAAGGAGTTCTAGAAAGGGGAGGAGGCGTTTGAGCAGCTTCTATCATACAATTGTTTTCACTCTATTAAGGGGCCAGATTGTGGGGGGAACGGGACGGGACACACGTATATGTGTGTGTATGTGTGTATATAGAGGTCGTCCCAGCACATGGCATTTCATTTCTTTCTGATCATGCTGCTTACAGTCTATCTCAGCAGGAATATCTGTCCCCTAATGCTCATAACTACCTCCCAGAACAGTTATATTAACCCCCACCTCTAACTCATGAAGCTTTTATCAAATTAAACCCTTAGTTTTCATCTCTTCCTGAGTTTTGTAACTTGATTTGAGTATAGTCTTACATGGTCTTTGGACTCAGCTGCAATCAGTCAAAAAACAGCTTTGTATGTGTTATAAACGTGCAGGCGTAAATGGTATATTTGCCTGTTGATGTGACATTGAGACTAAAAATTAACTGAAACTCATTCTTTATTACCTTCAACTGGATTCTTAATTGTGGATTATGAATACACCTTGGCTGGAGTGGTTTAAAAAAGATTGAGTTTGTTTTCAAAGTACGTATAAAGTACATATTCTTATAGATAAATCGGAATTTTAAAGTTTGGAATGGGCTAGAGAAGCTGAAATATTGATAAGGACTGGATATGCCTGTGTCTTTTTGAAAGGAGAAACTATTTCTACAAAGATCCCTGGGAAGGTGGTGCCAGCATCTCAGAGCCCCCACGCCACCTTCTTAAAGTTGGAAGCCGGGTGTGCTTATAAAAATGCTTGGAGAGATAAACTGAAACTTCAAAGTTTGGAAAAGGTCAGAGAGGTTGAAACATCAAAAGGACTGCATATGTCTATATTTTGCTGAAAAGAAACTATAAGGATCTTCCGTTGTTTGCAACTCCTCATAGACATTTCAAGAGAATTGGATGAGTGAGAACTATCTACTCTTCCCTTCCTGTGGTTCCCAGCAACTGGTATTCAGAAGCATCACTGCCTCCGTGGAGGCAGAGCAGAGCTATCCTGGCTGGTAGCCATGGGTAACCATCCCCTCCATGAATGTGTCTCCTCTTCTTATGAAGCCATGCAGACTGGTGCCCACACATTTTGTTTGGCCTGAGATATTTTTCTGCCTGTGGCGACAGAGAATCCTAGAATTGTAGGACTGAAGGGACCTCAAAGATCATCTAGCCCACATACCCCCCTGAAATGGAAGAAGGCAGCACACACATTCACTGGTTCCATGGACGGAGTCCAACTGGAGGGGTGGCTGGGTTTTATTCTAGCTCCACCAACTCTGGGAGTTGATGTGATTTCAAAATTTGCAGAGAACAAAGTTAGGGGAAATGGGTTTTAAGTGCTCATGCTCACGATGTTAAGTAAATAAACCAGAAATTAGCACTTGCAACTGTAAGTATCTTATTTTTCCTTCTTTTAATAGTTTCAAAGGGGGGTTGACAAAAAAATTTCCGCACCGGGTACCACCTGACCTTGCTATGCCATAGGGTCAACAACTCTGGGAAATGGGAGGCAGAAGGATCTTTGCACCACGGTGCCGGATATGCTTAAGATGGCCCTGTCCCTGTAGCCTCACTTCTCGCAGAAGGCCCTTGTATCTGGATATCAGTGTCTGGGCTGAATGATGTGGTAGAGACACTCCTTCAGGTGTACAGAGCTGAAGCCATTTAGGTCAGCACCAACACTTTGAATTTTGCTCGGAAATGTACTGGAAGCCGATGTAGATCCTTTGGGACTGGTGTTGTATGGTCCTGTCAGCCGCTCCCAGTCTGGCAGCCACATTCTGGACTAGTTGTAGTTTCTGAGTCACCTTTAAAGGTAGCCCCATGTTGACCACATAGCAGTCCAAGCAGGAGATAACCAGCACATGTACCACACTGGCAAGACAGTGCACAGGCAGGTAGGGTCTCAGCTGGCATACCAGATGGAGCTGGTAGATAGTTGCTGGTAGATAGTTGCCCTGGACACAGAAAGCTACTTAGTCCTACAAGACTTCAAGCCAGGATTCTGCCCCTTCAGGATTTCTCCAGATGCCAGCTGAGTGCTGGGTGACAAAGCAATCCCAGACACTTGCTGTGACATACTCTAATCTTATGAGCCTGGGTTCTATGGGGCTCTTCCTGCTTCATACTGCATATTGTTCAGCCCCTCACGGCTTATGGCAGGGGTTGCCAACATGGTTCTCTTTCACCTGTTGTGAACTACATCTATCACCTCTGATCATTGGTCAGGCTGGCTGCAACTGATGGAAGTTGTAGCCCACAGCATCTGGAGTGTACCACATTAGTATGGCCTGGCCCATAGTATGCTCAGGTTCCCATCTAGCTGTAGATAGATATCTCCTTTTCCTGCTTGCATGTGCTGCATTGCAGTAAAATACACTGTTTAAACAACTTGAATTCTTCTCTTGATTTTTTTCTTGCACATTAGCAATTGCCAGCAATTATATCTTATTTTACAGGTTCCGACAGGGTAGAATAATAAGAGAGTGCAGTTCCTAGACCATGGGTAGGCAGACTTAAGGCCTGGGGGCAGGATCCGGCCCAATCGCCTTCTAAATCCGGCCCGGGAATCAGCGTGTTTTTACATGAGTAGAATGTGTGTTTTTATTTAAAATGCATCTCTGGGTTATGTGTGGGGCATAGGAATTTGTCCCCCCCCCCAAAAAAATAGTCCGGCCCTCCACAAGGTCTGAGGGACAGTGGACTGGCCCCCTGCTGAAAAAGTTTGCTGACCCCTGCCCTAGATGTTTGAAGTTGAATGAAGAAGGCTGGGTTTCCTGTATGAGATCCCCCCATAAATAAATCGAATCTCAGAGCATTTTGCTTCCTCCTTGTCCTCCTTTTTTCTGATGGAGATTGAACTGACTTTCAGCAGCTTGCCAGTTATGGTGGTTTGTGATCTAGCTGGACCTAATGACCAATGAGGCTCAATGAAGAGTTATGACATCAGGTAGTTAGTGGCACACACTTGTCTGCCTGAGAAGCTGCATGTCAAGGCCAGTCACCACTTCTCATTCACCTAAGCAACACTTCAGCTCATGCAGCTGGCATTTTCTCAAAGCATTAACATCAGAGAATACAACTGAGAAGAAAACAAGACAAGGAGCATTAGAGCGTGTGGAAAGGAGATTTTGCTGCGTCCCACCCATCTCATGAAACAGAATGTCTAGGAAAAAAACTCAAGATGATGATCTTTCCAACAACATTCCTGATGGAGCCGATTTCAAAAATCTACTGAAACTGTTTCAGAAATTAGTTGACCAAACAGTTGCTCAGAAAAGGGATGAAAGATTAGGCTTGTATATAAAAGATGCTGGTAAGTAATCCGGTTGTACACGCAGAGGGGTGGAATTTGGGGTGATAAATGGATTTACCCTTCAGAATGAACAAGAGGAACAACAAGAGGAACAACAACAAGCAACAAGAGGAACAGCCATTTTAGATCTGGTCCTAACCAATGTTGATGACCTGGTTAGTGGGGTAGAAGTGGAAGGATCATTAGGCGCGAGTGATCATGCTCTTCTGAAGTTTACTATACAGCGGAAAGGAGCAGCCAAGCATACTAGGACTCAATTTCTTGACTTTAAGAAAGCTGACTTCATAAAACTTAGGGAAGTGCTGGGTGAGATCCCATGGACAGTAATACTAAAAGGAAAGGGAGTTCATGATGGCTGGGAGTTTGTTAAGAGGGAGATAGTAAAAGCACAACTTCAGGCAATACCAATGAGACGGAAACATGGAAGGTGCCTAAAGAAGCCAGGGTGGCTATCTAAAGAACTTTTAACTGAGTTAAGATTTAAAAAGGATGTGTACAAAAATGGAAAAGGGGGAAACCACCAAAGAGGAATTCAAACAAATAGCCAGCACGTGTAGACACAAAGTCAGAAAAGCTAAAGCACAGAATGAACTCAGGCTTGCTAGAGAGGTTAAAAGCAACAAGAAAGGCTTTTATGGGTATGTTCGTAGCAAAAGGAAGAACAAAGAAACAGTGGAGTCACTCAGAGGAGAAGATGGTGAAATGCAAACAGGGGACACAGAAAGGGCTGAACTCCTCAATGCCTTCTTTGCCTCAGTCTTCTCCGATAAAGAAAACAATGCCCGACCTGAAGAATTTGGAGCAAATGATTCAGCAAAGGAAACACAGCCCAGAATAACTAAGGAGATAGTACAAGAATACTTGGCTAGTTTAGATGTATTCAAGTCTCCAGGGCCAGATGAACTGCATCCAAGAGTATTAAAAGAACTGGCAGATGTGATCTCAGAACCACTGGCAGTCATCTTTGAGAATTCCTGGAGAACAGGTGAAGTCCCGGCAGACTGGAGGAGGGCAAATGTTGTCCCTATTTTCAAAAAGGGGAAAAGAGAGGACCCAAATAATTACCGCCCAGTCAGTCTGACATCAATACCAGGGAAGATTCTGGAGCAGATCATTAAGCAAACAGTCTGTGAGCACCTAGAAAGGAATGCTGTGATCACCAATAGTCAGCATGGATTTCTGAAAAATAAGTCATGTCAGACTAACCTGATCTCGTTTTTTGACAGAATTACAAGCCTGGTAGATGAAGGGAACGCAGTGGATGTAGCCTACCTTGATTTCAGCAAGGCATTTGACAAGGTGCCTCACGATATCCTTGTAAAGAAGCTGGTAAAATGTGGTCTTGACTATGCTACCACTCAGTGGATTTGTAACTGGCTGACTGACCGAACCCAAAGGGTGCTCATCAATGGTTCCTCTTCATCCTGGAGAAGAGTGACTAGTGGGGTGCCACAGGGTTCTGTCTTGGGCCCGGTCTTATTCAGCATCTTTATCAACGACTTGGATGATGGACTCAAGGGCATCCTGATCAAATTTGCAGATGACACCAAACTGGGAGGGGTGGCTAACACCCCAGAGGACAGGATCACACTTCAAAACGACCTTGACAGATTAGAGAACTGGGCCAAAAGAAACAAGATGAATTTTAACAGGGAGAAATGTAAAGTATTGCACTTGGGCAAAAAGAATGAGAGGCACAAATACAAGATGGGTGACACCTGGCTTGAGAGCAGTACATGTGAAAAGGATCTAGGAGTCTTGGTTGACCACAAACTTGACATGAGCCAACAGTGTGACGCGGCAGCTAAAAAGCCAATGCAATTCTGGGCTGCATCAATAGGAGTATAGCATCTAGATCAAGGGAAGTAATAGTGCCACTGTATTCTGCTCTGGTCAGACCTCACCTGGAGTACTGTGTCCAGTTCTGGGCACCACAGTTCAAGAAGGACACTGACAAACTGGAACGTGTCCAGAGGAGGGCAACCAAAATGGTCAAAGGCCTGGAAACGATGCCTTATGAGGAACGGCTAAGAGAGCTGGGCATGTTTAGCCTGGAGAAGAGGAGGTTAAGGGGTGATATGATAGCCATGTTCAAATATATAAAAGGATGTCACATAGAGGAGGGAGAAAGGTTGTTTTCTGCTGCTCCAGAGAAGCGGACACGGAGCAATGGATCCAAACTACAAGAAAGAAGATTCCACCTAAACATTAGGAAGAACTTCCTGACAGTAAGAGCTGTTCGACAGTGGAATTTGCTGCCAAGGAGTGTGGTGGAGTCTCCTTCTTTGGAGGTCTTTAAGCAGAGGCTTGACAACCATATGTCAGGAGTGCTCTGATGGTGTTTCCTGCTTGGCAGGGGGTTGGACTCGATGGCCCTTGTGGTCTCTTCCAACTCTATGATTCTATGATTCTATGATTCTATGAATTAAGTCACCCTAGAAAGGAGTCTACCATTTCTCCCTTTCTTGCTCAAAACTTTCTCTAATATTGGGACCCAGGAAGCCAAAGATCCCTGCTGTACTATTTCATAAATTACGAGACAGAAAAGGGATTCCAAATGAAAATGAAGACTAAACTAAATTCTCCAAACACTGATGATGATGGATTGCAGCACGAGGTGATGGTTGGAAAAGTATCAAAAATAGCTGTGCTGATGTGTTAGCTTTTGTCTTTTCTTTCATTGCAGAGGAAATTGATTACGATAAATTCTTTGCTGAAGTCCAGAGGCTGTTTGGTACAGATGTGAAACCACAAGATGTTAAAACCTTCTATAGGAAGATTAGCAACAATCCTGATGGGCGGACGGAATGGTGCGAGGTAGATACGTGTTGTTAATAATAATAATAATAATAATAATAATAATAATACCGTAATTTATACCCCGCCCATCTGGCTGGGTTTCCCCAGCCACTCTGGGTGGCTTCCAACAAAATATTAAAAACACAATACAGCATTAAACATTAAAACTTCCCTAAACAGGGCTGGCTTCAGATGTCTTTTAAAAGTAAGATATAGTTGCTTATTTCCTTGACATCTGATGGGAGGACATTCCACAGGGAAGGCGCTACTACCCAGAAGGCCCTCTGCTTGGTTCCCTGTAACCTTACTTCTTGCAGTGAGGGAACCGCCAGAAGGCCCTTGGTGCTGGAACTCAGTGTCCGGGCTGAATGATGGGGGTGGAGATGTTCCTTCATGTATACTGGACCGAGGCCGTTTGAGGCTTTAAAGGTCAGCACCAACACTTTGAATTGTGCTCTAAAACGTAGTGGTGTTGCTGTTTGCGGTGTATAAATGTGTCTTGAGCTCAACCCTAAGTCAAAGCAATCCAATCTGCACTCATATATGAAACCATTTACAAGAAAGAGAATGCTGATACACTTTTACTATTATTACTGACACAAGATACCATGCTAAGTTAAACCGTAGCTTAGCTGATGTCCCACACTGACCTTAAAAGCCAAGGGAGGAGCAAAGGCCATGTAAGTGCCTCCTCAGGAGCCAGCATAGTCATGGCAAGTTGCTCCTTGGTTTACTGTGACATGAGCGCCAGGCCATTATAATAAGGTTACCAGATTTTTTTCAAAGAATCCGGGGACACTTTTTTTAAAAAAAGAGAAATCAGTTGACCGGGTGGCTGGGCGCTCTCGTTCCTGGCTCGATTTGGGTCACGGTTTGTGTGTGTCAGTGGTTCCCCCTTGGCAGTGGCAGCAGCAGTCTCAGCAGCCCGGAGCCAGCCTGGTAGCACAGTTTGCTCTGGCTGGCTGCAGGAGCTGTTCACTGCCGTGGTGCCCGCCATTTTGCCTCGCCGGAAGTCCCCATATGATGTGTCTTGTGCCTTTGAAGCAATCGCACAACATTCATTCCCTACTAATAAATCTACAACACTTAAAATCTAAATCCGGGACATTAAATCAAATCCAGGGACAGATTTTGTCTGGGGACAGATTTGTAAATCTGGGGACTGTCCCCGGGGACATCTGGTAACCATACATTATAATGAAGGATTCGGTAGGGTGAGACCATGGGGATCAGGAAAGGCTTTACTAAGTGAGGCAGTGAGGATGAGAGGGAGCTATCTTCTTGGGCAGGAGGCTGTCCCAGCACAGAGAACGAACCATTTTTTTGGCCCTTGCAAGTCTTTTGATCAAGTTTCTCCTGCATTCCTACTTATGGAACAAGAAGAACCCAAGGAGGATAGCAGCTCAAGCGAATGATTGAAGGGCTTGCAATCTGTTCAACATTGCACCCGCAGTAGATCATCTCCTCTGTGACTGAAATAATGCATAGTTAGCTCCTAAATAATCGGAGGAGTTGCCTTTTATAAGGAGACTGAAGTGGGCTTTGTGACCATGAAATGCACTTCATCAGGAAAGTGAACTCTTGACAATTTCTGCTTAACTGATGTTCCAGGGAAGCGCATGAATTTAGCTGATAAAGGCAATTCTTATAATTCACACCATTCATTTTCTGGCTGCTGACTAACTTTATGCTGCTTCAGCTCATGGAATAGTAATCACTGGAAAGTAGCCTGTGGTTTTTGGTGAGGCTTTTCTGAGTGGGAAGGGGGATGGTGTTGCGAACAACAAGTGAGAATATTACCAGTTCAGCCATGCTATATAATTAGCACACAGGCTCCAGGTTATGGGATACAAGTGTCTCAAACCACAACTCCCAGCAGTGTATCTTCGGCACTGCTCTGACTTTGCTCTTGTAGAATCACAGAATCTTAGAGTTGGAAGGGACCCAAGGGTCATCTAGTCCAACCCCCTGCAATGCAGGAATCTCAGCTAAAGCATCCATGACAGATGGCCATCCAACCTCCGTTCAAAAACCTCCAAGGAAGGAGAGTCCACCACCTCTCGTGGGAGTCTGTTCCACTGCCGAATGGCTCTTACTGTCAGAAAGTTTTTCCATATGATTAGTCAAATCTCCTTTCTTGTGACTTGAAGCCATTGGTTCGAGTCCTACCCTCCAGAGCAGGAGAAAACAAGCATGCTCCCTCTTCCATGTGACAGCCTTTAAGATATTTAAGGTTGGCTATCATATCTCCTCTCAGTCTCCTCTTTTCCACACTAAACATACTCAGCTCCTTCAACCGTTCCTTATAAGGCTTACTTTCCAGACCCTTGATCATCTTGGTTGCTCTCCTCTGCACACGTTCCAGCTTGTCAACATCCTTCTTAAATTGTGGTGCCCAGAATTGGACACAGTATTCCAGATGTAGTCTGACCAAGGCAGAATAGAGTGGTACTATGACTACCCTTGATCTGGGCATACAGTACTTGCTTGTATACAGTAGAGTACAATCACCTTTTTTCATTTTGCTGGCCATGTCATCCATTTTGTGCTGGCATCCACAATTCTGTTGTCAATATATGAGCACTGGTACCTCATTTTTGAAGCTTATAAATATTCATAAACCTTAAATAAAAATGAACTCTACAAGTGGTGCTCCTAAACCATGGCTTTTTCCTGCAAAAAGTAGAACTTGTACCCTGGAGTTCTTTCATCGGCTCCCTCTGATTTTCATGTTTAAAGTATTATGCTGCTAGGGCAATGAAGCTCACAAGCAGCTACAGAAGCACTTGATAGGCTGCTCTCCATAAGGTGGAATGTGATTGGCTCCAGAGGCAATTTGGGGTCCATAAAGTTCTCTTCAGATGAATGTGCTTCTGATTACAGTGCCTTTTTCACCAACTAGATCAGTAGACCGTAGCTAAGTGGTCCATGTATTACACCATTAAGCTTTTGAAAGCTGCATTTAAATCATTCTTTTGCCTATAAATCCTTCTTGTCTTCTCTAGGGTTGGAGAGGAATTTAAAAGAGTGCTTTGCTTAGTTCTTCATGTAAGCCTTTGCTGGCAGTAAGAAAAAAAAGTGCGAGGGAATGAGAAGCTGGAGCCTGCAAGAAAGGGGAAGGCGAGATCTGATCTCTTACTCCACGGGGTGTGGATATGAGGGATTTGCCCAAGAAAGGATGCTAAGAAGGAAGTGTTGCGGATTCCTCATACTGTACCTTATTGATATTGCTATATCATGGATTAGATGTACTGTGCAGACAGATTCTATATCTGTCATCACAACAATCCTTGGCAATAAGTTCTTACTGACCTGGAACTATGAGTTGTTTCACATATTCACACAGTTTGTGCATTGGTTACTGCAATGAACTGCATGTGGGACTTCGGTTAGTGCAGAATGCTGCAGCAAGATTGCTGAAAGGAATCAAACCTTGTTAGCCTTTCACACCTCTGCTCAGGGACCTGAACCAGTTGCCAGTTTACTACTGGGTCAAGTTCAAGGTGTTACTATTAATATATAAAGCCCTTAACAGTTTGGGACCGGTTTACTTGCAAGATCACCTTTCCCCATATATGCCCACTTGACTGCTTCAGTCTGAGGAACTGGCTATGTTAGAGATGACACATCATACCTGTTCCTCATTTGTAAGAACCTGATATTTCAGTGTGGCAGTACCCACCCTTTGCAACTCCCTGTCTTTTGAGATCAGGCAGCCACCTTCACTGTGCTCTTTTCAGAGCCTGCTAAAAACATCTCGGGTGAACTTGCCTTCTTCCACTTGTGCAACAATGGATCAAAATTATGGTAGAAAACTCGATGCAGAATTACAAGAAAATCAAACGACATCTAATACACCATCAGCCATGGAGGTTAAGCATCATTAAAAGATAAGGCACTTTGGCTGGAATGCTAAAAGGCCCTTAGGATTTGGTTACATAGCTGAGAAATGCTCAAAGTTTATCTGTTGAAACCACAGCTAAATTTGCTTTTGAAGACAATGGCCATTTTCCACAAGGGACTGAAATCATGTTTCTGTTTTCCCTGTGTCTGTAAATCAAAGGCAGACCTATACACTGACTAGAAAGCTTTTGAAATGACTTCTTTCTGTAATGAGCCATCCCATATTTTGTGTGCTGAGTCTGATTTTCATTTCAGTCATGCCTGGAACCTAATTTTGGAGTCCTCCTGAAGGCTTTCTCCTAGACAAAAGGAACATAGCTTTTCTCCCCACCCCCCATCATCTTGCTTGTTGTTTCTACCAACCATGAACACAGTATGAAACAGTCTAGAGAAATATGTAGGTTCCCAAAGAGGAGACAGCAGTCTCCGGAAAAAAAATTACATATCACTTGGAAAGACAGGCAAACTAATGCCAGTGTACTAGAAGAAGCAAAGATCACCAGTGTCAAAGCAATGATTCTTCAGCATCAACTTTGTTGGACTGGTCATGTTGTTTGGGTGCCTGATTATCGTCTTCCAAAGCAACTACTCTATTCTGAATTTAAAAATGGAAAACATAATGCTGGTGGTCAACAAAAGAGGCTTAAAGACCCTCCCAAGGCAAATCTAAGAAAAATGTAGCATAAACACCGACAACTAGGAATCACTGGCCTGCGAGCGCTCAGTTGGAGAACAGCCCTTACCAAAGGTATCATAAACTTTGAAGACGCTTGAACTCCAGACTTGAACTCTCACACATTCACACTAAGCCATGGTTTGACTTAGCATTGCATGAGAAACCAGCTCAGCATATCCTTCTGGGTTCTATCTAATTGTTCAGTTAGCTAAAATTGCCCCTTGATTGCATAAAGATTTTTTTCTTTGTAATATTCTTCTTTGGCCAGCTCTTCATAAGCCCTTGCCTCTTGCCCTCCTGTGCCTCGATTATTGGTCCATTCATCACCAGGAAAATGGTCAACTTCCTGACACTTCATCCTGAACAATATGTGCTGTGTGGCAGTGGTGACTGGACAGTTGCCCTTCTATGCCCTCAAGCCTTGTTTTGGAAAATAGAATTTGAATTCAAGATTCCTCTAATTTTGAAAGTATGTATGCCTTATGTCTGCATAACCCCTTGGGTTCCAATGTTTACACTTTTCTATCTTGCATTAACAGCATTTAGAAGTGATGCATTTGAGAATAAAGATGTCTGTAGTGTTAGCTGTGGAAAAACCCAGAGTTGATCTTTCAGTCTATCACATTCTCTATTGGAGTGCAGCAGTTGTGAGGACACACACATACATAGAGATAAATATAACTGTGGCAAAAGCAGCATATATATATATATTTAAATACCCTTCTGTCTCAAGTAACCTGGTCCTGAACTGTGTAGAACTTGGCCCAGTAGCAGACTGAGTGCCATTGCAAATCCCACAAGCAAGGTGCTACATGCTGTTAATAGTTTGCCCCACAAGCAACCTAGCTGTGACGTTCTGTATCAGCTGCAGCCTCCAAACCAACCCCAAAGGCAGCGGCACATAGAGCAGAGTGCAGTAATCCAAGTGTGAGGCCGGACAGCTGTGGTTGAGCTATCTTGATCCAGGATTGGCTGTAGTTCTCTTACCAACCAAAGGTGGCAAAAGGCACATCTAGCCACATGTGCCTCCAGTGACAGAGCTGGCCCCCTCCTCCCCACCCAACTAGCATGAATCAGCCATGAAAGACAAGGATCCAAAGGTAACGTCATTGGGCACATACTCACAGGCACTCTGTCAATGTCATTAGGCTGCAAAACTTGAAACTGATTGCATAAAACATGGCTTGATGGAGCACTGGAATTCTTGTTTGAGAATGCATCAGTCATGGCATCTAGCTAGCTACAGAGATCGATGACTTCATCCTCAAAATGCCTAGCAAGCAACTCTTGGATGGTTTCTAAGGTGTCCTGGGTGCCAACCACTGATATGGATGTCAACAGCAACAGACCACCCTGATGATCTCTGCTGGCCATGTTCTCGAGGAAGCAGTGAAATAGGCACAATTATGTGCTCTAGTCATCTTCGTAGTGGGACTTCCGCCACCTGTGTTCTAGCCATCATCTGACTACTTGTTGTTGTTTAGTTGTTTGGTCGTGTCCGACTCTTCGTGACCCCATGGACCAGAGCACGCCAGGCACTCCTGTCTTCCACTGCCTTCCGCAGTTTGGTCAAACTCATGCTGGTAGCTTCGAGAACACTGTCCAACCATCTCGTCCTCTGTCATCCCCTTCTCCTTGTGCCCTCCATCTTTCCCAACATCAGGGTCTTTTCCAGGGAGTCTTCTCTTCTCATGAGGTGGTCCTTCCAGTGAGCATTCAGGGCTGATTTCCTTAACAATGGATAGGTTTGATCTTCTTGCAGTCCATGGGACTCTCAAGAGTCTCCTCCAGCACCATAATTCAAAAGCATCAATTCTTCGGCGATCAGCCTTCTTTATGGTCCAGCTCTCACTTCCATACATCACTAATGGGGAAACCATAGCTTTAACTATACGGACCTTTGTCGGCAAGGTGATGTCTTTGCTTTTTAAGATGCTGTCTAGCTTTGTCATTGCTTTTCTCCCAAGAAGCAGGCGTCTTTTAATTTCGTGACTGCTGTCACCATCCATCTGACTACTACTGACTTTTAAATATATGTAGAGTTTTAAATATATGCCATCATTTCTCCTTGCAGTTTAGGTTCTTCTTATGTGGTGCTGCATTTTGTTTGGCTTGTTTTAGATCTTTGGATATTATATACTGGAGGGTGATGCTCTTGCTGCCCAGCTTGATGAAGAAAATATGGTTTTCCTGGTATCCAAAAAGCAGCGGATTTCAAAAGCAGGTAGGATCTTTTAATGTTCTCTCCCCTTATTGAACTTCTGCATAATGTGTCATCAGATGTGGGCAGAACAATATATTGCCCCTCCTCCTCTCCCAGTAAGCAACATTAGCCCGCCCGCCGGGAAGTCAGAGTAGTGGCTCCACCCATTCAGTGAACAGCTTCTGGTTGCAAATCTATACACACTTGCTGGAGAGAAAGCTCCATGCACTCAGAAATGTTTATGTCTGAATAGACCTGCCCAGGATTGAACTGTGCCTGCTATTATAGGGTTCCTGTTAGACTCTTATGTAATTAAAGTAGATTTCCCAAACAGTTCGTTGATTTTCTTTTTTTTAAATCACAGCATTTCTGTTGTAACTCTGAGTTGCATTTTTCTCCAGCCAAAAGACAACTAGCAAACTCCTCCATTGGCATCACCAAAGTCGCACCCAAGAAACTCCCTATATGATCATATTGTTAATATAGCAGAAGTTCAAAATCAGAGCATGCTTTTTTATATTTATAAAAGTATGTTTTCATAAGTCTCCAAAGATGCCATGTTGTACATTTTTAATGCATTCTATGGCTCTGCTGTAACCATCTGTTCATTTGTACTCACCTATGAACTGCCCTTGACAAAAACTGCTTGTAATTCTATTGTAAATGCCCTCACTGGTTTTTAGCCATTACTTTTATTTTATTTTATTTTATTATTTTATTTTATTTTATTTATTTTACAACATTTACCGGTATATACCACTTACTCAACAGAAAGGCCCTAAGCAGGTCAGGAAGAACAAGAGAAATTATCTACTTAAAATAAAGCATTAAAAACAAGTTGGCATAAAAGTTTATAAAAACATTTTTAAAAAAAATCAGTTTAGTTCTCACTGAGTTGGTATATTTGCCTCTGGACTGTACCATTTCTTTACAAGTAGGGATGGGGGAGAAATTCTATTTGTTCATGTTTAAAGGTGAATCTCCCTAATTTGCGCTTTCCAAAACAATTACATACGATTTTGCAGTGTAGTCATCCAGCAATTAACATGTACTAAAATGCATATATTTAGTGAAAACTGCAAATTTCTAAAATGAATTATATTAGGGGAAATTCCTCTGCAAAGACATGTCTGTTAGGGAAAATTCCATATAGATGTGTATCTCGCCTTGTTACTAATTGTGTGCATTACCTAATTCCTAGAAGTTTTGTTGTTCAGATTTTAGAATGTATTTTGTCTTTGGCAGGAGTCAAGAGACGTGATGTAATAAAGTGCATAGTGAAAGTACCACAGCTGGATTTTTTAGTAGTAGCATCACAAAAAGGGATGCTGTCCGTTTTCTCCAGCCAGGTAATTTTTGAAGTAAACTAGATTTGTTTTCTCTATGGTACAGAGCACTTTCTAATATGAACAGCTAATTACAATTGTAAATGCATCTGCCCTTTGGTTATATATGAGTGAGATAGTCAAGCAAACGTCTGCCATACAAGAGATATCTGGCTTCAGGTTCCTGAAATACGTATGCATTTAATACAATTTTCATATTTTATTCAGGCCCAAATTCAAACAAAGTAAGAACAGGTCACTAGAAAGTGTTCTGTGGAAGCTTAATTGAAGTAAATGGCCATTGCACAAACTGAAAATGTGTTATTGCCCAGGCCACCTTAGTTTGGATGATGCATTAGTAGGAAAAGAAGCTCTTGGTATATTGTTTGCTTTCTCTTCCTTCTAAAACATAATGCACCCATCCTTTCCCACTCATTCAGACAAAGGCTTTCAGAAAAATGAGTAGCACACACAGACATTTAATACATATTGTTCAAAAAATTGTATGACTTAGAAACCAGTTCTCAGGATCCCAACACTCTATCGTGACAAAGATGAGAATTATGCAGGTAAAAATTTAGGATCATCCAGATAGGAGCAAGCTTGATGGTCAATGGCTGGGATCTCCAGGAGCAGGTTCAGTCTGACAAGTTAAGCCATTTCCACAGCAGGGTCCTCCATTTCCTTCCTTGTTGAGAATAGTAAAAGCCTGCAGCTGGGCATTTTGGAAAAGGCTTTGACAAGGGGCAGCCAGCTCCAGCTTCACATCTTTGTGGAGGGACCTGCTGGGATGACATAAGAAACTCTAATGGAATTTACAACAACGATGTAACCAGATTTTTTTTCAAAGTATGTGATGGAAACTGCTAAGAATGTAAAACATGGCAGTTCTACGTACCTGCTCCTTACCTGCTCCAGGTAAACCTAGAAGAAACATCTGTGTCAGAAATGGAGGGGCAATTCAGTGCTGGCAATAGTGAGCTAGGTAGACCAATTATCCAACTTGGGAGAAGGCAGCTTCTGTCAGAGGCTGGTCCATTAGGGCAAATGGGGCACTGCCCCACCATCCTCATTCTGCCCTCAATCAGTCCCCACCTGCCTACCTTTTTGTTTATAACCTGTCCATGGGTGGCAATGCCTTCCACCTTCTTCCTTTTGGGTCTCAGTTTTGCCCTTGCAGAGCGCAGAAGGGAGGAAAATGTGGGCAAAAGCAGGATTGGTTGGCTCCATATCTGCCCATCATGGGCTTAGGCACCACCCGCTGGTGGCCTCCCTTCCTTCCCAATGGGAACTACCATTGGAAGCTTCCCATTTTCCTAAAACAGAATATTAGAGTACAGGAGTGCACAAACATGGGAATCAGTATGACCACGCATAATTTGTGTGTGGAGGTCATGTACATATTGGTAAGCTGGTGAAAACCCATGTCTCAAATTTTATTAAAGATTTTCTTGTTTTACAGAAGTATGTGTAATGTCTCTCATATTTTTTCCATGTAACATTTTAACAAATCAGTTTCATTTGTTGAGACATTAGGAAGAAAAGGGGTGGAGGGGGGGAAGATGGGTGGGGTCGGGTGGTGATGTTTCTATTTTGCTTAATGTATGTAGGGTTTGGTGTCAGCGTTGCTCGTGCAGGTTCTCTGCTGTTCATTTGTGTTCCTTTGGTGGTGAGAGAGGTTGGGGTTGGCCCAGGGTGTGGTTGTTTGTTTGTGATTGGCTATGGTGATCTTTGTTTTCGTGTGTGAGTGGGGTGGGTGGGTGTTTTGGATCAGCCATATTGATTTGTATGCTGTTGGTGGATTATTGTCATTGTCTTGTTGGGCTGTGGTGATAAAGGGGAGCCATACTGGAGTAAAGGCGTCTTCTTCTGTTTGTCCCCGTGTCAGTTTCAGTTTATTTGTTAATTTTTCTAGTAGGGCTGTTTCCCATACTATTTGGTACCATTGGTCCATGCTTACTCCTGACAGGTCTCTCCAGTGTCTGGTTATGGTGTTTCTGGCTGCTGAAAGTAGGTGGGTTATGAGTGCTTTGTGGTGTAAATGGGAATTGTTGTCTTGGAAGATGTTGTCTCAAAATAATCAATTCCATAAAACGTTGGCAGTTACCACTTGTATTTCATCCTTTTTTCTTTCTTTTTTTGTAACCCGTTTAAGTGAGATGTTGGAAGAGGGGGAAGAAAAGCTATGCTAATAAATCTCCCAAGGATGCAAGATCCTTTGTTTAAATGCAGCAGTAAACTACCCTGGCAGAAGGCACAAATATGAGGCTATGTGCTGTTTATTACCTTTATACTTCTGTAGCTATGCTTGTGCAAGTAGCCTATGAAATGTCGTGACTATGCAGTAATGCAGCAAAACACACCCAGGGTTTCAATTTAATTAGGACACAATATGCATCATAGGCGTGTACAAGATAATAAAAGATCCTTGCAGGTGATTAAACACTAAAGCAAGGCTGAGACATTTGGGAACTACTGAAGGAATGTGGGAGAAAACCTATTCAGTATCCCTGTACATTATATGTCTTTCACAGTTCTACGAAGAACTGCTCTAAAAAATAATCCCCCTCAGAGAGCTCCCGGCTGCTACCTAAGATTTTCCACTGATGTCACATTGACATCAGTACTTCCATTTCATTTCCAAAGCTCAAAAAAATATTACCTTACTTTTTGAAAGCTCTGCATGGAAATTTTGAGTCACATTAATATAACAGTCCCTGCTGTTGTGAAAACGGGAATAGGGTATGAGTGTGCCTACATCTTTGGCAGGTTATTAAGGATATAATCACACACGAGAATAAACCACTTGACTGATAGCTCAGTTGGTTGGAGCGTGGTGCTGATAATGCCAAGGTTGCAGGTTCGATCTCCATATGGGACAGGTGCATATTCAGGTTGGACTAGATGCTCCCCGGGGTCCCTTCCAACTCTGATTCTATGACTGTGAATGAGCATTCTGACAAATGGGAGGTTTCTCTTTGCAGTTTAAACCCAGTTGAAACAAGAGGCACTTGTGTGAAAAGTCCCTTAACATTATTTATTAAATTTGGATGCCGCTTTTCATCCAAAGACCACAGGACAGTTTACAACATAAAACTACAAAATGAAAATACAATACAGGGTGGCCCAAAAGTCGGTATACTGCTTTAAAATCTACTTTCTTTGTTTTTGACTCAAGCTCTCACCATTCACAATATCAGTAAAGAAAAATAATCCATTTATTTATTTATTTATTTATTAGTATTATTATGCCTACTTTTGGGCTACCCTGTATACATAACAACAACAACAACAACAAACCAACAATCCCCATCCCACAAACGCATTTAAAAAGCCATAGATTGTTTAATCAACCAAAGGCCCGGTTGTAAAGAGGCAGTCCTTGAGGTATCATGGTCCTGAGCTGTTTAAGGCTTTATAGGTAAAAAACAGCACTTTGAATTGGTCCTGGAAACTGATTGGCAGCCACTGCAATCAGGCCAAGTTTGGTGTTATATGCTCAACCCGTTTTGCCCCAGTGAGCAACCTGGCCCCTGAATTCTGCACCAGCTGAAGTTTCTGAACCATCTTCAGAGGCAGTCCCACATATAATGCGTTGCAGTAATCTAATACAGAGCTTACTAGAGCATAGGCAACAGACGTTAGGTTATCCCTGTCCAAATAGGAGCGCAGCTGGACCACCAGCTGAAGCTGATGGAGGGCACTGTGCGCCACTAAGGCCACCTGAGCCTCAAGCAACAGCAGAGGATTCAGAAGCTACATACCTGCTTCTTCAGAGGGAGTGTAACCTCATCAAGAGTAGGCAAACTCCCATCCAGCCTAGGGAACTACCCACTGACAGTCTTATCGGGATGGAACATCAGTTTGCTGGCTCTCATCCAGTCCATTACTGGGGTAAGACACCTCCACTGCCACACCTGCGGTTGTAAAGAAGTTCCTTGATCAAAATGTTTCCAGCATCAATGTGGACATAGCTGATCATTTGACACATTTGCTCATGACAACAAACATCTGGAGTACGATGAAATAACAGTGAAAAATGCTTTGCCTTTTTATTCTAGAAATTATCTCACCATGAACATTTACCCCCCAAAAAAATAATTTGAGAAAATCATTTTTTAATGAGATAAAGAGTTTACCGTCCACTTTTTATGACTAAAAAAATGATCTTTAAATTTCCTGTCTTCAGCAAGATTCAGAAAAATTCCCATATTAGGACTGCCTTTAATCTCTGTAGTACCTCTAAGAGCAATATTTTTTTCTTGCACAAAACAGAATAACATTCAAAATAACCGTTAATATGTCTCAACATTTCTCTTTTTCTGCTTAAATTGCCTTTTGTAGGCAATCATCAATAAGTGCATTTTTTTAATAAAAAACAAAAAACCAAGCTCTTCCATTTTAAAAAATTATCTTGATGGTCTGATGTGTTTTCATGAGCAACTGTTCAGTTCAAAGCCTTTGACATACTGCAAATATTTGAATATGCTTCAGGAATGTTTGTCACAAACAATACACAGGGAAAGCAAACCAATGTCTTTGATACTTTCAAGTACACCAGCCAATTTTATGATCAACAACTTTGCTATTGGGAAGTTTTTTTGGAAACCAGTTAATAGAAAATTTGCAGCCATCTTCCAGTGCAGATTTCTAAAAATGAGCCAGTAAGTTAGACCCATGTTCAGTTATTTTTAATATCCTGTCTGTATCAAATTGAAAGAAAGGCAAGACAAAAATCAAGCTCATATACATATAAGCAGTGCTTTTGGTGACAATCCGCACTGGTATAGAATCCTGCCACCTCTTTTAATGCTGCCCATGGCAACCACCTCATTTTTGGATATGGGCACCTCATTTTGAACCCAAGGAAGCACTGTATATGAGACTGTGGCACTGTGAGTTTACTAAAACAATGTCTGTGTGTGCTCTGCGTGGTTTTGATTTTGTCGCAAACATGCTCTAGCCACACATGTTTTCTGAGAGCAGAGCAGAGGGAACTGTGACTGCATCTCACACTTCCTTACCTGGTTCTTGAAATGTTTACCTGGTTGCCACCAACCTGAGTTTAAATAGTATTATTTTTCTTGCAACTGTATCTCACTTACTTCCATGATTTTTTCATTGATTTTCCAGATGAGGATCCTGACGAGCACAAGCATTCCCGTAAGTTGACTCTTTTTCTCAAAAATTCAATTACGAATTAGACATCAGTGAAGTGAAACAAGAACCTGTACATGTTTGTATTTGAAGCTCCCATATAATTTTGCATTGTGAACTACGCTGGGTTTGATAGCTTCATTATTTCCTATTCGAGTATGAAAATACTATCTATGGCATGATTATCTTACATATTTAGGTCAAAAGATGCATTAAAAAGCTTATTAAAAAGCTTGAAGGAGCGTCTCCACCCCCATCGTTCTACCCAGATACTGAGGTCCAGCACCGAGGGCCTTCTGGCGGTCCCATTGCTACAAGAAGCCAAGTTACCGGGAACCAAGCAGAGGGCCTTCTTGGTAGTGGCACCTGCCCTGTGGAACGCCCTCCCACCAGATGTCAAAGAGAAAAATAACTACCAAACTTTTAGAAGACATCTGAAGGCAGCCCTGTTTAGGGAAGCTTTTAATGTTTAATAGGTTATTGTAATTTACTGTTCTGTTGGAAACCGCCCAGAGTGGCTGGGGAAACCCAGCCAGATGGGCGGGGTATACATAATAAATTATTATATTATATATTATTATGATGTAATTCATGGAATCAAACCTATTTTTTGAGTCGTAAATAATGGCAATAAGATTACTTTGGTCAGTGTAATAAGACCAAAGTAATACAATAAGTGCAATAAGATTACTTTGGTCATCCATCTTTAATTTACAAAAAAAGCTTGGACAAAGCACTGACCACATTTCTTGAAAACTTGATTGTATTCTGACAACAACTTCCTGCAGTTTAGGAAAGTGTGGCTGCAATGTTACATATACTTCCTTGGGAGTAAGTCCGCTGAACAATTCTGAGTAAACATGCAAGTGACTTGTTCAAAGACTACCAAGTAGTTATTTATTAAAAATCATGGTACCAGTGATGAAAGACTCTCTGCTTTTGTATATGGGGGGGGGGGGAGAGAGAAATACAGATCTGTGCATTTACACACATACAAACAAAGTTATCTCATTTTAAACAGTATGAGTTATGCAGCTGTGTTTCTTTTTTGTTACCAAAATGCTAAGAAACCAAACTTAACTGAAATGTACACATAACTATACAGGTAATGTAGCTGCCATATTGTGTCAGGGCTATTCCCGCTACTACAAAGGGAGTCCACCTTCGCATCATCCATTCATTCACCGTATAGATTTTCCCCATCGCTACAATGAAGAATGCACTGCACATTCCCTTTTAGAACACCTTTTTGCCATTTTGGTTCAGAAAACCCATCTAAACTACCACAAACTTTTGATGCTATGCTGCTAATCCCGTTTGGAGATAATAGCCATCTGAAGACAGAGAGAGGTTCCTTCAGATTAGGTGCATCATTTATCTGGGGACTAACTGCTGCCAGGTTGTTTGAAGAGAGTTGAGCTTGCTAGTTAGAGATTATTGTATTTAATGTCCAACAGCTGCTGCTGGCACAACAGTGAGTAATAAATCGATTCATTAGGATAACTTCTCTTCTCTGCTCTTGATTATGAGGCAGCATAATTTTCTCTTCTGACTGCATTCCCCAGGTGATCATATTACTTGAACTATGTTCTTATTATAAACATTTTTCCCATAGCAGGCCTGCCGGTTCCTTGCTGTACTCATTTGGACACAAATTATATAATTCCTCCATTGTAACTGATTCTCTTTTAACATAGTTAGATCTGGTTCATAATCATCACAGGCTGTAAACAGAACTTGAGGTTCTGCAATAATTTTGACAGCTATAGCCTCTTAAATTTAATTTAGAATCCATTAGCGTTTCCAATTGCTCTATACAAATAGCAGAGCATAGGGCAATATATCTTTGTGTAGCACCCACACACGATATGAAATTAATTTATAGCTGTGTTGAGGCGCAGAAATGTTAAAGGGTTTCCATCATAATCGGATGCAAGCAACTACAAAATGTCTGAAACAGTCAACGTTTCAATTTCAGCTTGATTCTAGGGATATTGAAAAGCTAGGATGCACATGTACCGGTAATCAACTATGAAATATTATTATGAAATATTAACTATGAAATAATATAAATTATTAAAATACTTTCACATCTTTATTCCACTGGCACAATATTTGTAATTCCGTAAACACAACTTTATCACCAAATTCTGGCAAACTCAACTTTTACATTTGTAGTTGATACTTCGACTGTAAATATTCCTTGAATTATTCTTCTTTCCATAAATCATTCCTAAGGAGACTTTCAGACATAAATTAAAGATAAAGGTTGCAAACTAGCAAAGCGGTTGATTCTGCCAACGTTTCTCTTTAACCAGGACACCTCCTGGATCACTGGATGTGATTACCTGAGTCAGCTCAAGCGTGTTGTTGCTGTGACGGAAAGAACCATTATCATCTGGGATTATAAAACACAGGGCACTGCCATGGTAAGACACTGAGTCATGCAAGTGTGTGTGTATGTGCATATGCGTTTTGGGGGTAGGGGGACAAAACAAAAATCCAAAGAATGTTTTTTTGGTATTGTGCTACAGTTTAACTGAACTATTCTGCATTCTTGTTAGCATATCTCATACTGAAGCATTATAGCTAGTAAGCAGCTGTATAGAGACTGGAGACTGGATTCAGTTCCTACATGCAGCAAATATCCTATCAGATCATGAAGGGATATAAGCCTGGGCAAGAGAGCTGTAGCTTCTCTGTCCAATTAGGACAAAAATAGACTTGACATGGGAAATCTGTGATTGGACAGTCTGGTAACTTTGGGGGGGTGTTATTGTTAAAAGTAGTAGCAGGGGACTAGATTGGGACTACAGCACTGGGGGTGAGGATAATTCTTCCTTACCATTTCACTGTTTTAAATGGCCCAGCTTCTGTTGGTCACAGCTTCTGTTGGTCACAGACAGGTACCCAAAGTGTCTGCTCTACCACTGTGCTACAGCACTTCACTTAACTCTCTCTCTCTCTCTCTCTCTCTCTCTCTCTCTCTCTCACACACACACACACACACACACACACAGAGAGACATTCTTTTATCAGGATAGTTATCATAGTTTCTCCCAAAGCATTCTGGAAATCATAGTTTGTTGATATTCCTGAGAATTCTCCTGACAGGTCCCTAGTGTCCCCCTTATAGAACTACAGTTCTCAGGTTATTTAGTGGGGAGGGGGTCAATATTAAACCTGTTTCTTTATGGCATAAGTATAACTCAGGGGTACAAACTACTTGTACAAACTACTCTCCTGGTATGTCCCACAGAGGAACTTACGGTCTTCAAATAAAAACATCCTGAAGGTCCCAGGCCACAGAGAGGTTAGGCTGGCCTCAACTAGAGCCAGGGCTTTTTCGCCTGCGGCTCCAATCTGGTGGAACGCTCTGTCACAAGAGACTAGGGCCCTGCGGGACTTGACATCTTTCCACAGGGCCTGCAAGACGGAGCTGTTCTGCCAGGCCTTCGGTCGGGGTTCAGTCTGACTCCCTCTCCCCTTTCATAAGAACTTGTATGAAAGTGTCCTCCCAATTTTTCTCACAGGCCCATATAAGTTCAGCACAAACAGTTGGGCCTGGTGAACATTTAAGGTCCCCAACCCTAATCTGCAGGTTGCCATCTGATTGGATTTTATTCTGATCCTGATCTGATTTGAGGATGGATTTTAATTGATTGTCTGATTTTATGTTAATGTGTTCTACATTTGATGTTAGCCGCTCTGAGCCTGGCTTCGGCTGGGGAGGGCGGGATATAAATAAAATTTATTATTATTATTATTATTATTATTATTATTATTATACTGATTGTAAAGCACACGTTTTTGTGAATGGCATATTATCAAGTATATTTATTTCAAAGGACAAGGCAAGCACATCCTCCGTCCCCTTTATTATTTGTTTCCGCCATTGAGCCACTAGCTGCTGAGATAAAGGAGAATCAAGAGATTAAAGGGATACAGATAAATAAAACAGCAAAAAATAAAGCTCTACGCAGATGATACCGTGTTAACTCTAGCAAATCCTATGCAGTCTTCAACAGCACCAGAGAAACAAATGTGGAAGTGTGGCTGCATATAAACAAATAAAGCAAAAACAGAAATTATAGGAGTAGATACTGGAAAGGAGGGGTGGGGGGAACAAAGGGATAATTTTGATTTCCATTGGTCTACTAAACTAGTGCATTACCTATAGAATTACGTAACACAAGACCTTCAGGAATGCTGCAAAAATAACTATGAAGAGTTAATTAAGGAATGTCAGTTGCTTTTGGCAGCATGGCAGAAACTGAACCTGTTTGAAAAGGTTTGTGTACTACTTAGGCATATTTGACAAGCTAGGATATATATCTCACAGGTTGCAGCCAGGACTTTCGAACTATCTTCTCACATAATTTTCTGAATAGCATCTTTAAGGCAAGAATACTTATTGGTGGATTAATAGAATAAATGCCAAAACATCTAATCGACAATCTGCTTTATTTCATAGGACAATTGTTTTATCATCAAACCCGTGGAACATTGCGTTATTTGTGTTTGTGCTGTTCAGCGACCAGCAGAACTACTAGTGAAGGATGACATCTTACTGGGGGATGACGGGGGATACGTAAATATGTATACCATGACCAGCGATGACTTCGGCCTAAAGCAATCTAAAGCTAAAAAGAAAGCACAAATTATGGTTATCGATTCTAGGAAATTCAAAAGGTAAGTCCAGATACTTTGACAATTCTCATTATTGAGACTGAAAGTTATTGTTTTTAAATAGAGCCCATGATGGGAAGTTTCCACACTTCTTGACACAAAGAGAACATAAATATTGTATAGAACAGGCATCCCCAAACTCGGCCCTCCATCATCCCTGACCACTGGTCCTGTTAGCTAGGGATGATGGGAGTTGTAGTCTCAAAACAGCTGGAGGGCTGAGTTTGGGGATACCTGGTATAGAACAATGGGCCAGGTTTTCCTTGACATCAGTAGGCTACGGTTAGAGCAAACCATGAAGAATCCCATTTCAAATTATTTACTTGGTATAGAGATTATAATTTATATTCCATTTGAGCTCAGTTTCTTATATATGTAGATATATGAATTAGTATTTTGTTTTATCACTCCCAGCATTAGACGCAAGCTACATGAGGACTGGGTTGTGAAAGTCAAATACTTTCCGGCCTTGAATTGTTTTGGATCCTGCTCTTTGGACAGTGTTCATTCTTTGGTTTTGGATGACCTGAGAAGACTTGAAGACAACACGTAAGTCCTTATTGTACTATATATTATTTTCATACAGATAGTCACACGTATGGGTTAAGTCAAATTGAAAACTTTGAAGGAATTGTGAGTTATATGAGCTGTGGGGTTTTTTTAATGAAATCAAAATTAGTTATCTAAAGCCTACCAAAGTGATCTTTCATACAACTATCTTGCAAATTAGGACGCACTGTTGGTCAGAAATATTGGTTTCTTTCTTGTACACCTTAGAAGTGACATGAAATTTCATTCAGGTAGGTAGCCGTGTTGGTCTGATGCAGTCGAAATAAATTTTAAAAATTTAAAAATGTCCAGTAGCACTTTAGAGACCAACTAAGTTTGTTCTGGGTATAAGTTTTCGTGTGCATGCACACTTCACAAAAGCTTATACCCAGAACAAACTTAGTTGGTCTCCAAGGTGCTACTGGACAATTTTTTAATTTTTTAATGAAATTTCATGTTTACAATCTCAACAGTCATTTAAAGATTTTTGTCTTTTTATAATACTAAAGAAGATATAAAGGTAAAGGTAAAGGTACCCCTGCCCGTAAGGGCCAGTCTTGACAGACTCTAGGGTTGTGCGCTCATCTCACTCTAGAGGCCGGGAGCCAGCGCTGTCCGCAGACACTTCCGGGTCACGTGGCCAGCATGACAAGCTGCATCTGGCGAGCCAGCGCAGCACACGGAACGCCGTTTACCTTCCCGCTAGTAAGCGGTCCCTATTTATCTACTTGCACCCGGGGGTTCTTTCGAACTGCTAGGTTGGCAGGCGCTGGGACCGAGCGACAGGAGCACACCCCGCCACGGGGATTCGAACCGCCGACCTTTCAATCGGCAAGTCCTAGGCATAGGTAATTCTCAGAAAAAAGCAAACATCAGCATTAACTATCATCCCCCCCCAAATATCATTCAAACACACAATGAATACCATAACATTATAAAGTTTATACACACACACACACACACACACACAATGTAGAGTCAAATACAAAAAAGGGTTTGCTCCCACTACATAGGACTATAGGAAGTTGCCTAATACCAAGACAAGCCTGTCAGGAGTGCATGCAGGAGCCAGGCACTGTGACTGGTAGGGCTTTGCAGAACTGGGGCTTTCCTAAGTTTGTTCTGAAGAGGTAAGGCGCAGCTGCACAGGTGAAGCCGATTGGTAACTCACAGCACCTGGTGGCAAGAGCCGGAAGGGGATATAAGGTCAGCATTTCCCTTTGGCTCTTTGCCACAGCAACACACTTCCTGCCTTGCTGCGTTTGGCTTCTTGACTCCTTGCTTCCTGACCCTCGGACCCTTGGCTTCTGGACTCCTGGCTCTCTGACCCTCAGACCCTTGGCTTCCTGACTCCTGGCTTCCTAGCTCCTATTGCTGCTCCCACCCCGCAGTCTTGCCCCCAGTCCCAACATCCTCAGCCGGGACTTCGACCGCCAGTAAGCCGGACCGTGACAAAGCCATTGGTTGATCTAACTCAGTACTGTCTGCCCTAATTGGCCGTGGCTCTCCAGGGTTGTAGGCAGGCTTCTTTCCCAGCCCTACCTGGAGGTGCTGGGGATTGTACCACTGAGCTGTGGCCCTTCTTATTATTGAACGAAGGAGAAATTAAGGAGCAAAGAAGGACAGAGCCTCTGCCCCAGCAAAGCCAGCAGAGCAGAATACTTATTTATATGGGGTTATAGAGATAAAACAAGGAGACAGAGTGAGAGCCATAAGAGAAAGAACTGTGAGAAAGGGTTAGGTGTGGAAGGATGTCTGAGCTTCCAGCCTTGGTGGCGAGCCCAGGGATAGCAGACGGAATTTACAATTTATATTACTGAAGGGACTTTGTGATGGGGGGGTCCTTTCCTCCCTGAGGGGTTGAGGACTCACCAGGCAGAACCTGGAGTAAGGATCTGATCCTGGCTCCGAGGGCTCCTTGGTGATGTTTCGGGAACAAAAAACTGGACAATTATGTACTACTTTGGCTAATGTTACTCATTACTCCTTCCATTTTGGAAGAGAGAACAGGCTACCACCCTTGCATAAGACTTTATAGCCTTATTTAATCAAATGTTTTCTTGTCATTGCAGACCTGTTAGGGAGTTCTCAGTACCAAGGGGAGTTAACGCTTTCACATACTGTGGAAAAGCCAATATTGTTGTTACTGGGGGTAGGTAAAAATGCCTTCAGTCTACTAAATAAGTCTTGGTGATCGTTTCCAAAATTTCTCGGTTGCTAAATAATTGCAATGTTATTGCTGCTGCCTACAAAACATAAATTATTATTATTATTATTATTATTATTTCTATAATGCCCTCATCCAATGATCCCAGGGTGTTCCACAACATAAAAACACAAAAATGCATACTATAACCACAAACAAAAACAATACCTCCCACAGGTTAAAAGGCCACAGTTTGCTTAAGCAGCCAAAGGCCTGGGGGGAAGAGGAATGTTTTTGCCTGGCTCCTAAAGATAGAAGAAAATTTTGGATTTGATATCCCGCTTTATCACTACCCTGATGAGTCTCAAAGCGGCTAACATTCTCCTTTCCCTTCCTCCCCCACAACAAACACTCTGTGAGGTGAGTGAGGCTGAGAGACTTCAGAGAAATGTGACTAGCCCAAGGTCACCCAGCAGCTGCATGTGGAGGAGCTGAGACACGAACCCGGTTCCCCAGATTATGAGTCTACTGTTCTTAACCACTACACCACACTGGCTCTCAAAGGCACTTGGTGAGCCTCCTTGGGGAGAGCATTCCACAAGTGCGGAGCCACCACAGAAAAGGCCTGTTCTCATGTTGCCTGACCAATGCCTCACTCGGTATAAGGCTACTTCCTGTCTTCCTGTGCTCCATCCTGACAACAATGTACCAGCTGCAATTTACATCAGTCTCTGGATGAAGTAGCAGCATCAAGGCAATCCTGCCATATTCTAACGTGAGGAAGAAGCAGACGGTAGACATAGTCTTCCTGTATAACATCATTTCAGACTGTTGGTGTTTCTCCTAGTTTCATGTTTCATGCCTGGGATGACGTACTGTAGGTTTGTTATAGAGAAAGTGAAATAATCATCTCAAATTGCAGGTGGAACACCTAGGCTTTGCTAGGTTAGTATTCAGCATCACAATGAGCCTCCAGTTGTTCAGATCAGCAGTGTTGTTTGTTGAACAGCAGTGAGCATGTGGAATAATTGACAAGAAATACCATATTGGCCTGAATATAAGCCGCACCCGAATATAAGCCGCACCTTTAAAATTGGAGGGAGGGGGGAGAATAAAGAAAAAATACACAAATATAAGCCACTCCATTCCAGGCTGCATATGGGCGGGGGGGGGGGGGGAGCCGCGCTGCATTGCCAGCGGCCTTTCCCCTTCCTCGCTGTCTCCCTTCCTGGCCTTGAGGAAGAGGATGGAGGACTATGCGCGGGGCGCTGTTTGCTCCTGGCTGCATACTGTAAGGTCGCAAATATAAGCCGCACTTTAACTTTTCATGGTCAGAATTGGGGGGGAAAGTGAGGCTTATATTCAGGCCAATACGGTATGTCTAAAACTGAGCACATTTGGGTCCAGCTATAGCACTACTCTATGAATCTCAATCAGCAGAGAAAAATAAAAATGTCTGATGCTAAATATAGCTAGGTTACCGATATCCTCTTATTGATTAGCAGAGAGAGTGTGGCTAAAATATTCAACATCTTATTCCCTGTAAAATAAAAATTGACATCCTAGCAATATTTTTTACTGAATTACACAAACATTTGCTGAATGCATTGATCATGCAACTAAAACAAGAACTTATTTAAGAAATGAGTCAGCTGCTCCTAAATACTAATACTTGGGACTAAAAGCAATTTATATTTAGTATTAATTGCTAGGCTGTCCATGGCTGTTGCCGTACAGTTCTAATAAAGTGCTGTCAAGTCTTGCCTGTCAGTGGAATAATGTTGTTTTAAATCATTTGAAAAACTAAGTTATAACTCAGTAAACCTTTGCTGATAAAACTGTCTTTTCATCATTTTGCTCAGAAGTATTGGAAGAAGGTTGAACAGAGAGTGTATTCTTTTATTGCTCATCATTCATGTCAACATAATTCTTAGAAGTCATAAATTTAATGAATGCTGCAGATGTCTAGCTGCCTTCAAATCCTTTTTATACATTGTTACGCAGCTCAAAGTCTGCCTAACACTTTCTCCGAGCCAGTTCTATAGCACATGCTGTTTTTTGACAAATACAGGGAACTATGTAATTGCTTATGATTTTTTTCCATTCACACCTACCCACACCTGATCGTCACACTGTTCTCTGTTTGAGGGACAGCTGCTTCCATGTGTCATCATCAACACCACCAAAAAAGCATCCCTACTGCCTGCCTGCTGGGCTGACATTTTAGATGAAAGATGCATAAGAAATAACAGAGCTTTATTCTTGGAACTCAAAGAAGTTTCAATGGAAGTTGAGTGCAGTCTTATGCCTAGTCACGGAGACATAATAGTGATACAAAACAACCTTTTTAACTTTGTGCCTTCCCCATGCTTTGAACTACAGCCACCATCATCTCTGACTATTGGCCATGCTAGCTGGGGCTGATGGGAGTTGGAGTCCCAAAAACCTCTGGAGGGCACAAGGTAGAAAAAGGCTGGTATAAGCCTTTCTCAGGTTATTCATCAAAACATGGTGGCTGCTTCCTTACCCTAGGGACAGTAATGGGAAAGTAGAAGAAGATGAATGGTTTGGAAAAACTAGCATTATGCTAGACCTCCTTGATTTTTTCTTTAAAATGCAAGGCGTGCATCTGTAAAGACTGACAGCAGGTTTTCCTTTTCAAGTACATGTATTGTAATTGGCTTCCCAAACACATGGCTGGGAAATGAAGCACAGCCCCTTGCCGTAAAGGCTAACAGCAAAGATGCTGAAGCCAGAGCCTATCCAGGTGCTAAATAAATCATTTTAAAATTGCGTTACTGAAACATTTCAGTAAACCAGCCACCCCCGTCTAAAATAGCTAGTCACAAAGTATTAGTTTGAGCAATTTATACATTCTTTGGTTACCTGCTTTCTGGATGTGCCTGTTTTTTTCAACAGAGGATCAATCGGTCCTAGTCAGAACAGGCTGACACTGTGATAAGGTGTCAGGAACAGAGCATGGTTCCTTAAAACCTCTGCAGTCACTATCAGGGTAGCAGTTGCTCCCCCTAAAAAAGATGGGAGGAAGAAGAAGAGTTTGGATTTGGTATCCCACTTCATCATTACCCGAAGGAGTCTCAAAGCGGCTAACATTCTCCTTCCCCTTCTTCCCCCACAACAAACACTCTGTGAGGTGAGTAGGGCTGGGAGACTTCAAAGAAGTGTGACTAGCCCAAGGTCACCCAGCTGCTGCATGTGGAGGAGCGGAGACGCGAACCCGGTTCCCCAGAATACAAGTCAACTGCTCTTAACCACTACACCACACTGGCTCTTGTTAAGTTCAAAGGAATCATATGCATGGGAGAAGGATACCAGATCTGCATGAAACATGATGAATAGAGACTCCGGTGTCACGGGGTGGTAGTCAACTAAGTTTTACTCAGAGAAGGCCCACTGAAATTAATGGATCCTTAGTCATGCTAGCCACATGACCCGGAAGCTGTACGTCGGCTCCCTCAGCCAATAAAGCGAGATGAGCGCCGCAACCCCAGAGTCGGCCACGACTGGACCTAATGGTCAGGGGTCCCTTTACCTTAACCCTAATTTCAGTGGGTCTCTTTGGGATATTCTTCTCTCTATTGCTCTGATATGCCTTGAGTTTGACTGAAGATGGTATGTGCTTCCATTCAAGAAGCGACAGGGGTCTGTTCCATCTGGCATGTCTCCACGCCAAGGCAAATGTGCAGTGGGTTCTCATCCAAGAGATGTTGTTTGCAGATGACGCAGCCTTCACAGCACACTCTGAGGAAGCTCTACAGAGACTCATCAACCACTTTGCCCAAGCCTGCTTGGAGTTTGGCCTCACCATCAGCCTGATGAAGACCAACATCTTGGCTCATGATATTGCCAGCACTCCACACAGCAGCATGGGTGACCACACGCTTAAGGTGGTTGACAATTTTGTCTACCTGGGCTGTAGCATAACCAGCAACTTCCATTGACACTGAGCTGTACAAGCATATTGGCAAGGGAGTGAAGGCAATGGCTCATCTTTCCAAAAGGGTATGGAGGAATGTGATGCTAACAACTCCCAAGATGAAGATCTACCAGGCTTGTGTGCTGAGCATGCTGCTTTATGGAAATGAGTCATAGGCAATGACTCACTACCCGCCAGGAGCAACGCCTCAATGCCTTCCGTATGTGCTGCATCAGGAAGATTTTGGGCAGCACATGGTAGGACAGAGTCTCAAACAAAGATGTGCTCTTCCAAGCTCACATTCCCAGTATGTTCGCACTTATGTCTCAGAGATGTCTAAGCTGGCTTGGTCATGTACACAGAGTGGCAGATGGCAGGATCCCCAAGGATGTGCTTTACGGGAAGTTGGCTTGAGGCACCATGCCTGTTGGCAGATCAACTCTGCTATAAAGATGTCTGCAAATGTGAAATGAAGGCAACACCAACCTTGCCGTGGAAATTCCTTGCAGATGACCGCAGTGCCTGGAGACAGTCAGGTTGTGTGTCCACATCAATGGCCACAGGAGGAATGACTTCTGGGAGTAGCCCAGAGAGAAGAAATGCTATGGTGCATCCATAACAGCAAAACTGGATGCCTTCATTTGCCCCAGCTGCAATAAGATATGTCTCTACTGTATCAGTCTCAGCAGCTACAGCTGGCACTGTAACTCTCCAACAGTTTGACTTAACCCTCAGTGGTGGACTCTTCCATTGTCCCTCAAGAGCAATGGAGGCCAACAACTAACTCTGCATAATATTTAGAAGAAAACCACCCAGAGTGGCACTGCACAATCTGTGACTGTGCTGGTCAGACACGTAACACCTACTACAAAGGTGCTTAATATACAGTTATCTAAGCAGGAATAAGGACATAGAGAGGAAACAGAATTCTCCCCTCCCCCCATTAGACCAGTTAGCTAAGAATTCCCATGTGGTACTTGCAATATCAACACAGTATTACATGCAGCTACAGAAGAAAGTAATACAAATCCCACAAATTTGCTTCTGACAGGCTAATAGCTCAAACAAACACGGACAGACAATGAGCTTTCCCACTCTCCAAAATGGAGGTTACATCTTAAAATGGCAACATGTTGGTTTGAGATGCATAGAAAAAATAATAACCATACAAGTGTAAGCTGCTAAATGATATGGTAATAATAATAATCTCATATCATGTACCAGTCTGTGATGATGATGATGATAATAATAACAACAACAACAACAATACCACAGTATATTAATAACTCTACCAGTTTTGAGTTGTTTTGCAGCCCAGGTAACAGGCTCACTGGTCCATTCCTTTCTCCAGGAGATGATAAAATTCTTCGTTTGTGGCATCCTAACATCAATACAAAGCCAGTGGGGAAGCTGATGGGACATTTATTTAGCATAACAGAGATTGTCACCAATGAAAAGGACCAGCACATTATTAGCCTTTCGACTGCAAAGGTAAACTACTTTTTCACTGTATCTTACTGAGCAGTGGCGTAGCGTGGGTTGTCAGCACCCGGGGCAAGACAAGTAATTTGCGCCCCCTAACCCGGTAGGGGCAGAGAGCTGCGAGTGCGAGCGCGCCCCCCCAGATGTTGCGCCTGGTGCAGCCGGCCCCCCTGCACCCCCCACGCTACGCCACTGTTACTGAGAGAAGCTGCTGCTTTCTCCTCTCATCAGTCAGTAAAAATTATAGATGATAGATAGATAGATAAATAGATAGATAGATAGATAGATAGATAGATAGATAGATAGATAGATAGATGAGACAACCCACAATTTTTCCTTTGAGGGATCTTCTGCATTCTAGTTCATATAGATATAGGCGGTGCTTTTTTTCTTTTAAAAAATGGTCAGGGGTACTCTCATTTTCCTACTCGTATTGAAATACTGCACTTCAATAAGGCCAAACTTAGATTCACAAAATGTTTAGGGGTATGTGTGCCCCTGCGTCCCCCCAAGAAAAAAAGCACTGGATATAGGAGGTAGTCAGCTGTACAGTGCATTAGTCCAAAACTACTCTTTTCAATGTTTCCCCGAAGTCTCTATTTAAATCCCTTTCCCCCAATCAAAATGTTGAATATATCGGAAAAGTCCAGGGAAGCAGTCTATAAGCATATAGGAAATGGCTGCATGAAGAAAGGGATACTATAGAAAATCTTGTTAGCATATATCCATTTGCAAATAGTGAAATTGTTTATTTATCCGGCATTTCTAAAAAGAATCTGCATTAACATCATGGTGACTCCAATACTTTCTTTCCTCTTTCTTTAGTCCCAAAAGGATTTAATGTAGTGTAGAGTCTGGTATGACCTAGCCATGAGTTTGAATTTCTCTGGAGACTTCAGAGAAAAAGTAAACAAACAAACAAACAAAGCACAATCAGTGCAATCTTGATCCTTTCTGAGTTTTGCACATATATTTTTCACTCTTGATACTTGTACTGGAATATAACTCTTAAAAAGAGTATTAGAATATAAGTTTATAGTGTTGTGAGTTTGGGGGGAGTAGGCTGTATGCCAAGACCCTTCTAATGCCTGAGCCCCACTTCTAATTCTTGGAATAGCTTCCCGGTAAAGGGATAGCCTGGGTGATGGGCCATTAAGGGGAACAAAGGAAGTGGATCTGTGCAAGATGGCAAAAAGGTGGAGGCCCTTCCCCCAGCTGGTGGGTAGTTAGAAAGACAAAGTCTGAGAGCCGAGAACTGGAGTGATGTGAGGTAGGAGCAATGCTTTTTTCTGAGTTTGCTCAAGGGTACACAGTACTGGCACCCTTTTCCCCAAATGTTAAAAGTGTAGCACTTACTGTAAGTACTTCATGGTGAGTACTATGAAGTCAATTTCTTTTTAAAAAAATGCACTGGGTAGAAGGAAAGCTGCAAGCTGGGAAGTGAGAGAGTCGAGCAGTGTTTCTTAATATATTAATATAATAATAATAATTATAATATAATATAAATCATAATAAATTAATAATAAAAATATAGCAATATAGCTGCCAGGTGTAGCAAGGAGATACATCTTACTATATCCCTATAGTATCAAAAGGGTATTTTCTGTTTTCCCATCAGCCTACCATTGCGTGAATGAGCTCTTGGCAAGCCCAGCCAGAGTCCACTGTATTCTTTGTTTGTATCAAGGCAAAACAAAAGCCTTCTGGAAACTATTAGAGGGAATTAAGAAGACTTAGTGTTGATGATGCAAGCGCAACACCCGAGTGGGGAACTGAGTTCCAGTATCTGCTTCCCTACTTATGTTCCATTCACTACCTGCTGTGACTCTGCTCTCCTGAGCTTGAAGAACAGCAGCATTCCTTGTCAGATTATGGCTGCGAATTAATTTGGCCTGATAAAGCTGATAAAACGGGGGGGCGGGGGGAGTAATTAAATCAATTAAAAGTGTGTAATTGAACAAACCAGAGGAAATGTGAGGTTGGCCACAATTCAAACAGCTCACATCCAGAAATGAAGAGGCATGGCGAATGGTCTCAGCCCTTGAAATGTCAGTACATTATGTTATCTGCATCCCTCTCTCCTGAGTGGTGAGAGGTTTTGAAGATTACCTGAGATGGTGGTATCATTGTGATGTATGGTTTTATTTACACATTTACACAAGCTGAGTATAAGATGGTAGGGCTCACAGCATTAAAACTCCAGCAGATCATGCTCTCCTATTAGGTTTTTGGGGGGACTGGAGCAAAGCCATGCTTTTGAACTTGACGCAGAGAGGAAGCCAAGCTTAGGTGTCTTCCCAGCTCGAAATGAGACTGGGCCAGATTATCTGTGGTCTAAAAACAGATGGAAACAACTTAGGGAAAATCCATTAAGACAACCATTTGATGAAGACATCATGTGGCTGCCCCATATCAGTGAGCAAAGTGCAACAATTCCACATTAAGTTTCCAAGGGTGCTTCCAGAGGATCTATATACTGGGCAATCATCCTGATTTTTTTACAGGGAGATTAGACAATGTTGGCTATTTAATAAGTATTCTGAGTTGTTTGCAAGAAGGTTTGTTGATGTTGCATCAGAGCAAGTTCTCATTCTACGCAGTGCATTTTCTCATTATTTTCCTTTTTGCAAAGTCTGATACCTGTGCATTTTTTTTATGGTCCAAAATGCAGAACTTTGCGTTTGTCCTTGTTGAATGGCTTGGGGGGGGGAGATCCAGCTCAGTTTTCTACTTTATCAAGATCATTTTGAATTCTATTCTTGCCTTTTGAGTGTTAGGTTTCTTCACACTTTTGTAACCTTCACAAATTTGATAAAGATTCTATCCGCTTCTTCATCCAAGTCATTGATGAACATGTCAAAGAGCATCAATCCCAGCCCTGAAGGATCCCACTTGAAGCCTCCCAAAATTTGACAATGAACTATTGATAAGCGCTCTTTTTCTAACCAAGATACAGTGCAGAACTTTGTCAGATCCTTCGCTTAAATCAAGATAAAACTGTGTCCACAACATTCCCATACCCACTTACTTAGTAACCTAATCAGAAAAAGAGATTATTATTATTATTATATTTTATTTGTACCCCACCCATCTGGGCAGCTTCCAACAAATATAAAAACATAATCACTTCCATTCATAAACATCATAAATACTTTCAGGGTGTCATGTTATAAATGTTACTATTCTAGACGGTATAGTTGTAATGTTGCAAAAGTCTGACTTTTGTAAGCCATATCCACAATTTATTTTAAAATACTCAGCTTCACTCAGTTTCTTCTGGTTTAGCCGGATTCCAGCCAAGTGGCCTTTGTTCACATTGTCCAACGCTATCCATTGAAATGACATTGCAAATTAGACAGATGTTTCCCATAGTGCACTGGGCTCAGCAGGCTGCTTCTACTCACGGAGAGGTTCTTTGTCGAGAGCAAGCAGCAGAGTGCTGTGGGTTTAAATAGAAAGCTGTGGGGCCCATCTGTGAATACAAATCTTTGATAAAGGCTTACTGAATATAGCCATTCTTCTCCAACCCCCACCCCATTGCTCTCTGGATGGAAGACTGACGTACATTTTATAATGGAGACTCAGTCGCAATAAATAGGGTGTGAACTGTAAGAACAATCACAGCAAAATGCACTGTTTGAACAAATTCTAGATTATTTCCTATATACATCTGGCACTTCGGCCTAGAAAAGAAAATGGACTGAAATGGGTCAAGTGGTGAAAATGTACATTTTTGTTTTTACATATTGGTTTTGTTCAAAGTAGCAGCAGGGAGCAACCTTTGTCATGTTGCATGAAAATGGGGCAACGCGATCCACCATTTTTTCCCTATTGCACTCAAGGAACAAGACCTACAGCAGGCATAGGCAAACTCGGCCCTCTAGCTGTCTACAACTCCCATCATCCCTAGCTAGCAGGACCAGTGGTCAGGGATGATGGGCGTTGTAGTCCCAAAACATCTGGAGGGCCGAGTTTGCCTATTCCTGACCTACAGTGTATAGGATGTCAACTTTAAGCATGTATTTCACTATCTCCTTGATTTTTACATATAATCCAGAGCAAGACTTTACATACATACATCATTTTATTTGTATGCCACCTTCCCATTTAAAGCCATGCTCAAGGCAGCTTTCAGCATGGGGCGGGGGGGAACCTAATTACAAACATAAGTAGTCAGACAACAAATTAAGCATCAAAAATACAAAACTAAATTGATCAATTTCCACATAAATCATAATAAGATACAAATATATATATATATAATCAGTAGCAGCAGCAACCCTGCCTCCCTCTCTTTACAGAGAGACTCCCAACAACTCTTAAGAAATTCATTATGGTTGGAGGTCTCAGGAAACTGCCCAAGTGGTGTCTGTTTTTACATTTGCCAACTGAAGAAACAAAATGAGATTTGGGCTCCTTCCCCTAATACTGGCAGCCCCTTTCTGCTACTACTTGACTAAATATTAAAGCCATTTCCATATATTAACAAATTAAAACCAGCAAAATAGAATTCTGAACAGAGCCATGTGATATTCAGACTGTAATACTAGACACAGAGGCTCCACTGAACAGTGATCCACTCCATGTTTTCCAGTTGTGTAACATACTAGAATCTGGAGCCCTTCAAACCCAGGACTCAGGCCCCATCTGCACTATACATTGAATGCTGTGTCCTACCATTTTAACAACCATGGCTTCCTCAAAAGAATCCTGGGAACTGTAGTTTGTTAAGGGTGCTGAGAGTTTTCAGGAGACCTCTATTCCCTTCACAGAGTTAGAACTTTCAGAGTAGTTTAACAATCCATCCCTTGTCCTAGGGGACTTTGCTTTAAGTGTATAGTGCCTCAGTCTCCTCTCTCTCTTCCCCTACCAGGGAAGCTGTCTTGCTATTAGACAGCTATGAAAGAGTCTAGGAGGCCTCACTTTTGACTAAAGTCATTTTAATGAAACCATGATCTGCCCTGAGCACTGTCCTTGTCTGTTTTTTTCTGGGGCCCTTGGAGTCTTACACAAAATGGGACTTACTGAGAAAACATGCAAAGAATTACACCCTCTGATTATTTAAAATGGCTCTGCTTCAAATCTGAACAATACAGTAGCACAGCCAAATTCCATCCATTCCCTACGTAGCCGAGAGCCAACTGAACGGGAGAAACATTCTGTGAGAAAAGTAACCCAGATATGAAAGCAGTATCCTCCAGGAATAGCTTTCAGTGTCACAGTTGTTTAGCTAGCCTGTAATTTTCATTTTTACTCGCATTAAGGTCTCCATAGACTTCTTGAATTGTGTAAGTGGACTACAGTGCTATCAGAAAGGCTGTAAAATCCACAGTCAAAACACTGGTGAAAGCCAGACAATTTTCATGTAATGCCTAATAATAATATTCAAGCTACAGTTCTGATGGTATCTCATCCCACGGAGATTAATGCGACTTGATCACTGTTCAAAATGTCAGTCTCCAGGATCAGATGCCTTCATATTCTTTACCTATATTCAGTTATTGTAGCAGCCTGTTGGGAAAAGATCTTAACTGAAATGTTTGGTTATGACAGTCCATATAACTCAAAGAATGTTCTTTAGGGATTTTTAAGAGGCACAGCGTTAGAGCTAGTTCTCATCCTGAAGCAAAGTTCTTAACCTGAAGCACTATTTCTGAGTTAGCGGAGTCTGTAACCTGAAGCGTATGTAACCTGAAGCATGTGTAACCTGAGGTACCACTGTATGCATGGATTCATAGTTTTCAGTTTCAAAAGCCAGCACTCACATGGCAGTCTACATGCAGATGCATGACAGGGTCATTTGTTACTTTGCCCAGGCAAGTTCCCTAATTTGTCAGAACTTAGAATAGCGCTGTTCGCTATAAATAAAAGCCTTCCCCCAAAGCGGTTTGTCGCTGGTCACCTCCAAAAGTCCCGAGCAAATGTGCTGGAATTTCTCAGCTGCTCATTGTGCCTGACCTCACGCAGCCATGCGTGTGTGTACATTGTTACATGCACAGTGGTGACGCTGACTCCCCAGCCCGCTTGCAGCAAACTGTGTCAAAGTTACTCATGTTTAAACTTGTCGCTTGCATAATTGCTGCTGCTCATGCCCACAGGACAAGGAAAAAGATCAAGGTGAAAGTGTTTGTTCCTGTCTCTCTCTGTAGGAGCTTTGGGACTTACCTATGAAATGGCAACTTTCTCTTCTGAATGGCAAAGGAATAGTGTGCCCGTCAAATATCACGTAATGAGCTCAAAGTGCTATATTATTTATCCCTTGCCAAATAATTTATGGCAAACTATCATGCCTTCCATGGAAAAGCATTGTGTAAGACCAAATTTTCTAAACTCATAATGGAATTCTGTTCATACAATCCTGAAGTTTAGAAAATTGTGTATACATGGCCATCGGGTGCGAGACCCAGAAAAGTTTTGCATTGCAGATTTGTAGGGCCAAGATTAGATATTTAGACTTCCTATTGTTACGCCAACCCCCAATCTCTTTTGAGCAGTGTACAAGCTTCTAGGGGATTCCAGGCACTCACCCTGGGTTCTGTTTCCATTGGAAATCAAGACACGGCAGAGACTGTAGTGACTTTAAGATATAATATGGCTTATTCATATATATATACAACCTGAGCGTAAGTGGAGTGAGTTGCACATCTTACAGCATTGTCTTCTCAAGGGTGTCTCTCCCTGCTTCTCTTATGGCTTCTGCCAGCTGGAGTCCAGAGCAGCCAGCCATACTCCCAAGTCTCTGGGCTGCTGCCTTCCCAGCCAGCAGCCAAGATGGTTCTGGCGCTCCAGCCCCCACTTGGAGTGCTGGCCTGACTTCCTTTCTTCTTCCTAGAAAACCCTGCCAAAACCCGAAGCTCCTTCCTGTCACCTCACACCCCTCCTGGCCACCTTGGTAACCTCTGTTTTACCAAGACCTGGGAGATTCCTCTTGAGGTGACCTCTGCTTCTTGTTTCATAATGAGCTACATTCAGCCAGTCTAGTCCGGCTAGTGAGCATAGGAGAACTGCTGCAGCCTGTATTTTCCTTTCAATGTCCCAAATATTATCTCAACACTACCATTTCTTGATTTCTACTATTCACTAATAAACTCTGGCACTCCAAATCTGTAACACTAGAATAGAAAAATGCATTGTAAATCCTGCACAAAAAACCTACTTTCTAAAAAAGCTAAATCAAAACTCTAAAGCACGGATCATATGGCACTTGCTAAGGAGTAAGGCTGCAACCCTATACACCGGGGTAGTCAACCTTTTTATACCTACCCACCCACTAATGCATCTTTCTTGTTGGTAAAATTTCCTTACTACCCACCAGTGCTCAACGGAAGGAGGATTCAACTTCTGCTATAGAACTCCTACTGCCCACCAAGAATCCTGAAACGCCCACTAGTGGGCGGTAGGGACCAGGTTGACAACCCCTGCTCTGCTATACACACTTACCTGAGAGTAAGTCCCATTGAACAGAATGTGGCTTACCTCTGAGTACTATAGATATATGTATGTTTACACTGCACATCTCATTTAAATCTGTCTTATTAATAGACACAAATAGTGTTGCTATTCTATGGTGGGACAGGCAACATGGTGCCCTCATGTTATTGGCCTACAACTCCCATCATCCCTGATTATTGATCAAGTTGGCTGGAGCTGATGGAAGTTGTAGTGCAGTGTCTAGAGCAGGCATAGGCAAACTCAGCCCTCCAGATGTTTTCGAACTACAACTCCCATCATCCCCTGACCACTGGTCCTGTTAGCTAGGGTTGGTGGGAGTTGTAGTCCCAAAACATCTGGAGGGCCGAGTTTGCCTATGCCTGGTCTAGAGAGCAGCTTGTTGGCTACATTGTGCTATAGCATTTTCACAAGTGATCCTGGGAACAGTGTTTTGTCTAGAATATGCCACATGTTCCTATACATTCAATAATATAAAACAAAAGAGGCATTTTAAAATTTAAGGTGCATCTACATTTGAATTACTGTTTTAAAAATGCAAAAGAAACCCTTTTAAAGCACTGTTTGTTTATACAGCTGCATATATTTAAATTGGATCTTAAGGGGGAAGAATCCAGTCATAGTTAAGCTCATTTAAAACCATTGATTTCATCAGTGACCAGGCCGTAAAAAAGTCATTTCAACTGAATGCATTCCAAGTGGTTCTTATTTAAAGTTGATTTGAGCATTAGAGGCAAAATCTGTCTTCAGTCTGACTGAAACCATAATGACATTTCATTCAAGTTTTGCCCCCATAAAATTGATTGATGTTATATTTATGTTTTTGCTACTAGTTTCCATCTTGGTGCTAGAGAAAGTGATTCAAAATGCAATTACTTTTAGAATCCACTGACTTTAATCAAAATTTAATGTGTCCTTCTCTGACAAATTGTGGGGAACTCTAGGTCAAGTGCATCCTGGGGGGTGGCATGCTTGAATGGAAAAACGAAATCCAAAATATAATTTGAACTTCTATATAGAACATATGGTCCTTCCGTTTTTTTGTGGAACAAGACAGCATGGTGACACAATAAACTCTTTAGCTGATGAAGAAATAAACCATTTACCTGCCTTGGTAGTTCAGCTGGGAGAGCATGAGACTTTTAATCTCAGGGTTGTGGGTTCAAGTCCCATGTTCGGCAAAAGATACCTGCATTGCAAGAGGTTGGACTAGATGACCTTTGTGGTCCCTTCCAACTCTACAATTCTAAGATTATATGATTCTAATTGTTAAGGACAGTCAGTTTAAGAGTGAAGATCCATTTAGTACTGGGGTGGGTAATCATTTTGGGGACTTTGCATTGTGTTTGTAAGTTAGTGTAGGTCACTTTTTGTGGAAAAAAACCTAAAAAATACAATTATTGTTAATACTGATAACTATACAGTGGTACCTCGGGTTACATACGCTTCAGGTTACATACGCTTCAGGTTACACACTCCGCTAACCCAGAAATAGTGCTTCAGGTTAAGAACTTTGCTTCAGGATAAGAACAGAAATTGGGCTCCGGCGGCGTGGCAGCAGGAGGCCCCATTAGCTAAAGTGGTGCTTCAGGTTAAGAACAGTTTCAGGTTAAGAACGGACCTCCAGAACGAATTAAGTACTTAACCCGAGGTACCACTGTACACAGACACACACACACACATTTAAAAGTGGGAAACACTGGGGAAAGGCATTGTGGACACAAAAATATCTGTTGGCACCCTGACATCATAGTGGGACACCAAAGGATCAGAAAATTTAAAAAAGGGGGGTATTTTCAGGCCACAAAAAAGTATTGAAAGTCAGATGTGGCCTGCAGACCATGGGTTAGCCCCCCTTACTCTAGGAATTTTGAGACTCTTGGTTCATGCATACACAGCTTAGGCAAAGAAAGTGGCTGAAAATGTCCAATCTAAAGCAAATGTACAGTATGCATGTATAGATAATGGACGTGGTACCCTTGTCCATAATTCAACTGTCCCATAGATTTCAGTGTAGCTTAGACAAAGGGAAACACCTTCAGGATTTCTGGCCAGAAATAAGGTTGCTTAGTGAGAGGCAAAGAACAACATTTTGCACATGGCAGTTTACACTATGTATCTGATGCTTGAAGTGGACATAGCAAAGGCACGCACTGGCGTCATCACTTCTCTTCATATAATATTTAATAATGTAGGGTAGTTTATTAATTTCAATGGATCTACTATGATACGAAACCACTGCACTCCTAGTTTCTCTGTCATTTCCTTGGTTGTTGTGTTTATTATGTTGTTTCACTAGACTTTTAAAAGGAGAGAGGGAGAAGTAGAGACGGGGTTTCTGGTTTTGGTGGGAGGAGTTCATCCTCTGTAACAGACTGTTTTGTACTGATGAGAGTTTTTGTCCATTCAGCTCTCTCTCTTGGGAAGAAGAGGGGAGCAAGGAACCAAAAACAGGTAGCTTATGACAGATGTGCTAACAAAGCCATACAAAGCTATTAGGCAGCCATCTGGCTCTCAGCATGATCCCCAATCCGATTAACTCTGTTCGGCCAAGAGCCCCCAGAACGTTAGTAATTTCACAAATTGAATATAAAATGATTGCTCCTTGTTTTGGAACTTCTCTTTAGACAACAGGCAGGCTTGCAAACAGAAGGGTGTTTTTAAACCATATATTGCACTGATGAGGTGAACACACTGGTACATCTATAAATATCCCAAAACATTCAATCCACAGCACATGAAGATCTGTGGGGACGTTTTATGTTATATGTTAGTTTGTTGTTCCTGAATTCAATGTCTGGAGAAAACTGTCCATCAAGCCCTGTATTTAATAATGCTCATGTGTACTGTGATCAGCATAGTTTTGTCACAATGCATAGGCATCGATCTCTGACAATATCTTGTCAGTGATGCTACTATAATTGTTCTGATGCAGTAATTGTTATCATTTTTTTAAAAAAAATCCGTTGACTTTTAATTGAGAAATCTGTGGCACTGAAACATGAGGTTGTGGTCTTCTAAATGCTGTTAGTCCTGCTGAATTCACTAGGAAATGCGAATTAGGTTTTGCCCAAATGATGCAGGTAGAAAAAATTAAAGTATCCACGCTGGCTTTTAAGAAAAAGTGAGAAATAATGCTGGTGGTTTTTGGTTACCAAATCAATTATTTTCAAAGCTTATTTTTCAGATAAAAAATTAAGGCAGATAAGTATCAAAAGCGATAGTTATAAAATATAAAATAATCCACAATTCAAACAAATCATAAATAAAAAACCCATTTTTTTACAAATAAACTTTTTATTTATTTTCCACATGCGGTGTACCTGATTTTTATGCTAACAACCACCAGAACTAAAACAGCAAAATCCCAGAACGAGGAAATATTGCACTGAAGGCCTTTTAAAATATGCATATAAAACAACACAGTGAGGAGGCCTTGAATTGATTCCAAGTCATATACATAACTTAGGCAGTCTGGGCCTTTTTTAAAAAATCTGCTTTAAATTTTGTGTGTGAGAGAGAAGTTCTGTCTTGTTGCATTGTTATTGTTTGGTTTTGGTTTTTCTTATGCATTGTTTTTTTACCTATTCTTTGGAAACCACCCAGAATACTTTGTGTTATGGGGCAGCGAATGAATTACATATATAAAGAAATGCAGTTATTGCACCACAAGATAACCCATCTTGGTTTTCTTTCAGATTTTCAGAGTGTGGGATATCCAGACACTTTCCCTGATGCAGGTCTTCCACGATTCCCAAGCAGGACCTAGAGAGACACAAATCTTTACTATGGTATTTGACAATAACCATGGCACACTTATTACAGGTGTGTTTGTCTAATCATTAGGAGCGAAATACCTCTTCAGATATGAATCTGGGGTGCTGATACATAATTGTGAAAAGTAAATGGATGGCCTTCCAGCTGCATTGTTTAGACCAAGAATAGCTACAGAAATGTGGGGAAAACAAACTGGTGGCTTTAAATAATTAAAGCAATCCCATCCTATGATGCTGATAATTCAAAACCACAAACATCTTGTGTCTTTTTGTCCTTGAGAAGCACTTATTTGGCATCCATTAAAATCTTGAACATAATTATTATGTGAAGTAAAGTCTGAAAATTAATTTATCATAGTTCATAGCCACAGAGGCAGGAATTCCTGTAAGATATGTAACGTAGATATACCTCTTCTTCCTCCTCACCACCACAGTGTTTTTTTTAAAAAAAATAATATTAATTAATTACAGGTAGGTAGCCATGTTGGTCTGCCATAGTCGAAACAAAATAAAAAAAATTCATTCCAGTAGCACCTTAGAGACCAACTAAGTTGGAAGGGATTTTTTTTATTTTGTTTTGATTGATTGATTGATTGATTGATTAGTACCCCACCCATCTGACTGGATTGCTCCAGCCACTCTGTGCGGCTTCCAACGTAAATAAAAACTTGATAAACCCTTAAACCTCACAAAGCTTCCCTATACTAGCCCTATACTAGGGCTGCCTTCAGATAAGAATACTTGATGGGTCATTGAGGTCAGTGACAGTTCCCTGTAGCATCTTCCCCTCTCGTTTTCCCCATCTTGAAAAAACGTACATATATTTGTCTTTCACTTTTGGTGAAGAAGTGCACTCACTATTAATCTTTCCATAGGTGTTTAGTTCTGCTGTAATATGTGGTGGCCTTTGATGGTGCAAGAGACTCAGTCTTTATATGTTGTATCCTCTCTGCTTTTTCAGAAAGGGCAGGCTCCCATTTTCATTCCTCCTGCCACTCAACCACTCTCTTCCTCTCATGCACACACTGCATGATCAAGAGTTCATGGTGGTCCTTGCAGAGTCAAGCAACATTCATGATGGGTCTCACAGTCAGGCATAGCGGTGGCATGCTCTTGACCTCCCAGCACCAGCAACTCTGCAGCTTATCAGTGAGGTCTGAGGTGGCAGGGCGGTTGGTGCTGTCTGGACACACCAGCAAGGCCAACACAATCTTTATGTGTGGTTAGGGAGTACAGGAGTAACAAAGTGGGTCTTGGCCACATCTTCAATGGCATGCTGCCCTTGGAGGGCTGGCTGACCCTCAGCGGAGCCCTTGGGCTGAAAAGGTTTACCCACCCCATTGGACATGTTTGCTGACAATAGCATGCAACGGATGCAATAACCCTTATTATATGATTCACAGGATCAGCTGTGATTGATATTTATCCTCTCACTCGAGTTATACAAGACACGAAACAGGTTCCCCAGACGCATGAGAGGAGCATCAATGTGCTGATTTACAACAAAGTCTTTCGCCAAATTCTAACTATCTGTTCTGAATCAATCGTAAAGGTGAGTATGAATCCTGCAAGCTTTTCAAGTGCAAAGCAAAATATTTTGCACAAAGGATTTAAGAGCAAGTAGGCTATCGGGGGGGGGGGGGCTTTATCTTCCTACATATTGGTAAGACAGGTATGGGGGACCAAGTGTTGCTGGACTTTAGATTCCATCATCTTTGACCATTGGCCATCCAGACTGAGGCTGATGGGAGCTGAATTGAGAGGGCCACAAGTTCCCGATCCCTGCATTAAACCCAGGGGGAAATGTTAAGAATAGGAATTCTTAGCTTTTTCCTTTCCACTTTCTCTTATCCCCTTAGCTTAATGTTTACTATAGATATTTGAAGAAAGTGACAACTATGTAAATATATATCTGTGTAGGTTGAATTTCATATAATTCACTTTATCTTTAGGTCTGGGAACTGGAAACAGGCCAACAAATATACCAGATTGAGGATGCCCATGGACCTAATGTTGAGTTGACATGTGCAGCAATTGATAAAAATGGATTCCACCTGGCCACTGGAGCATGCGATGGTAAAACTGTGTTATAATTGCAGATTGTAATAACACCACATCTTTATATAATTGCTTTGTGATGAGGGCTGTAAGAATACTTAACTGGAACCTATTTTTAGTACCCTAGGACTTCACAATGAAGGCCAGTTGAAGGCTGCTTCCTATATGACAAAGAGAAATCTCAGGTGCTTCCATGATGAGTGACATTCCTTCTGCTTTGTTGCACGTTTAGGAACTGTGAAGACTTGGGATTTTGGAAGTGGACAGCAACTTAAAGTTTTGCCTTTAATCAGGGAAAGCACAGTTAATGAACACTGGCTGATGCAAATGGTTTACCTGAAGGCTAGTGGAAGTAGACATGTCATCCTGGTCTTGGAGTACAGTGGGACTATCAAAATTGTTCAGGTTTTGTTATAGCTTGTTTTTATTTGGTTTGTTGGTTTGTTTGTCAATGAATTATACATCCTTCAACCTTAGGTCCCAGAGCAAGTTACAACATTAGAACACAATGTTAAAAACCGTGCTTGCACTAACAGGACATTTGTAACAGGAAGGGGTTGAATTCCTCCCAGTATATCCTTTCAGTATATCCAGTATATCTCAACTAAAGACAACCAACCATGCCCTGCCCTTCCAACCTCTCTCACTGCCAAGGGAAAAAAATAAATGAAAGAGAACCTACCCAAGTGACACAGATGCAAAGACCTCACACATACACTAAGTAAAATAATGTAAATTCACCATTCCCCTTCTCCTCCCTCTCTTCTCCCCCAACCTTATACTGTATAATAATAATAATCATCATCATAATAATTAATAATAATAATTTATTATTTGTAGCCCGTCCATCTGGCTGGGTTTCCCCAGCCACTCTGGGCGGCTTCCAACAAAGATGAAAAATACACTAAAATGTCACACATTAAAAACTTCCCTGAACAGGCCTGCCTTCAGATGTCTTCTGGATGTCAGGTAGTTGTTTATCGCTTTGACATCTGATGGGAGGGCGTTCCACAGGGCGGGCGCCACTACCGAGAAGGCCCTCTGCCTGGTATACAACATTAATATCTCACATGGAATGTAACTGATCAGTAGAAAATATTCTACAACCTGGAAATAGAGACAATGAACGTAGTTTTGTATCCCAAGAAAATCTTTAATAAAAATCCTTCTCCCAGTATATCTGAAGTGCCTCCCCAAAATGAATAATTAGGTTAGCCTCAGTTAGAAGACCCACCACCCCAAAATATTTATATTTGAAGAAATAAATCATGCCTAGTTGATTCTCAAATTTTTCTGTGCTACTATTCTTCCAACTCCTTGTTCTCCTAGGGTAATGAAGGTGAAGTTTATCTATGCATTACTTGGGAGCTTCCTGAAGCAGTATCTCTTGCTCTGCAAGGCAATCCACTCATGTCCCTAAAACTGAGTCCCAATGCCAAGAAAAGTAATGGATTTTTTCCAGACGTTCAGCTGCTGCTTGATAAGGTGCCTGTGAAAAAATCAAAGAATGAGGTGGGTATTGATTGGCAAATCTGTCCATTTCAGTTTCTCATTTTTTCCAAACTTCATTTCAGTCCGCCACATATCCATACCAGTTGACAATAAAAAAAAATCCTCATGAAAATTGAGCATTTTATTTCAAATTTATCCTAATATACACATTTTTGTGTCCAGTTTTCCCTAATAAAATGCATTTGTATGTGTTATTTTCACTAATGCATGCATTTCAATGCATAGATTATCCTTGAATGTGCATTTTTGTATATATGACCTGCAAAATTTGAAGAAATGCAAAATTTGATGGGTGGCTGTTTGCTTATTTGCTCTATTGTTTCACTTTGCTTGTTGTTCCAGTAAGTGAGAATTAGATGGGTTCACATTAAAATGCAAAATGAACTGAACTTCTCTTCCATCCCTAGAGGTGGGTGCATTTCCAGACTTTTCAAGACCTGCTAAGAAGGAAGTGTCTTGGAGCCTGAGTACACATTATACTCACCACTGAGAAGTAACCACATGAAGTAAACTTAGTTTTTACTGTTGAGAGGTCTCTTTGGAGAGGGGCAGAGAAAACTCAACGGGATTATAGAGAGCAGTGCAAGGGACTTTTGTTGGGTGGATGGAAAAACCACCTGTCAATGTTTGCCTGCAGGGGTGGGGACAGATAAAAATCTGGCCCACTGGGCCAAAAAGATCCCATACTCTTTCCCTCCAATTTTCTCTGCCTCCAGGAGCCTACTTTTCATGTAGGCAGCCTCTTGAGCCGTATAGTCATTTTCTTTGGACTGGGTGATGGGAAAATGCCATGGCACTTTTGTTTGCTGCTAGCCATGCTTAAATGCACAGTGATTGCATAGTCCTGTGTTTTCACAGTTTGGAACAAGAATTTTAAGAAGCAAAGGCAGGTATTTTCTATCCTTTAAAATGATGAGACTGTACATACCGGCTTTTAAATACAATTTTAACAATCATCTTCTTTTGCCGTCTTTCAGTTACCTCTGAAAACGGAAGTGAAATGCTTTGACCTACTAAGAGTGGAAGGTTATAATTTGTTAGCTACCGCAAGTGCAAATGGCGCAATCATCATGTGGGATTTTGAATCTGCCACTGCCAGGCACATGTGAGTAATGAAAGCTGTGAGAGGGCTCTTGCCACAGTGCTGTCCTTCATGCACCTTGGCTGATCACGACTCTGAGTAAGCAGAGAGACAGACAATTGGGAGCAAGCAAGTGAGATACATGAAGTGGGGAACTTGGGCAGATCATCTCTTACTGCTCACACTGCCAGAGGAGACCAGCTCCTTGCCTCCATCTTGGCTTGGGTCATATGAGTCACTGGGCAGAAGCTATATGCTACCCCTTTGGCCTTGCTCAGTTCAACATCTGGAAAGGGTTGAAATTAGCTCCCAACCAATGCATCCTTCAGTACACACCTAGAAGGCAAAAAATACTTTCTTTACAGATTTAAAGCTGGGAACGCTGTCCAAGAAGATGGAAAAGAATTATTAGGAATCAACGGGTTACTGTTCCTCTACCGAGGTGCTGTCTCAGAGAGGTAGGTGGACTATATATCAGGCATGTACAAGTCATATTAGGCCCACTTTTGCTAACTTGGAGCCCTCCAGGTGTTTGGGGTTGCTTGGAGGGCTCAAGGTTGGCAGATGCTGCATTAGATCTATACTGGGTTAAAGAAACAGTGAGCTAGCTAGGTCTTGGACTTAGGTGAAACTGATGAGCGTTTCTCCAACCTAGTGGTGGCAGCCAGTGTTGCACAAGCAGACTTCCACTAATGCAAGTGGGCTTCTCCTTCTTCCCCCCATTCCTGTGTTTCTTTATTACTGTTAATTGGGGCAAAGATTTTATTTATTTATTTGCTCGGGAGGGAGTTCCACACAGGGGTTCCCCATGAAAAAGCTCTGTCCCCAGTGCCCACCAATCTAATTTTAATGGCAGACCAACAAGCTGGTTCCCCAATAAAGGCAGTCCTTCAAATAACCTGGCCCTAAACAGTTTAGGTCTCTAAGTTATTGGTCCAGCCAGTGCTGTCTTCTCCAACAGACAGCAGCTCTCTTAGGAATGTGGGGAAGGGCAATCAGCTCCTTGCATGTTTGGCCTTGTTCATTCACAACCCATTAGGTTACATTTCAGGTTGGTATTGGTGTTGCTCAAATTCCACATGGCAAAGGCAATTGCTTCCATTCTGTCCCATCTCCAAAACATTTGCCATTTAAAGTCATTGGGGAAATCTGCCAGTCTTGTTTTTGAGTAGGCCCTCATTGCCAGTACAATGTATTCTTTAGGTATAAGCTTCTGGCATTTCTGTTTGGCATTCTCAAATGCCTATTAACATTCTTTGGCACCTAGAGGCTCTCTTTCAGTGTGCCAGTGTAGTGTAGTGGTTAAGAGTGGTAGTCTCGTAATCTGGGAAACCGGGTTCGTGTCTCCGCTCCTCGACATGCAGCTGCTGGGTGACCTTGGGCCAGTCACACTTCTCTGAAGTCTCTCAGCCTCACTCACCTTACGGGGTGTTTGTTGTGGGGGAGGAGGGGAAAGGAGATTGTTAGCCGCTTTGAGACTCCTGAAGGGGAGTGAAAGGCGGGATATCAAATCCAAACTCCTCTTCTTCTTCTTCTTCTTCTTTCACAAAGGAAACTTAGCGAGACTTCCACCGACAGTTTAGACCAACCAAGTGATGTCAACACTACACAGGAGGTGGAAAGCAGCTTTGCAAGCATAAAGAAGGTATGTCCTTTGACGTTTGTACAGCAGTCAAAAACACTTGTAAGAATGTTGTGCATGTTAACAGTTAGATTTGCTAAAAACTAAGACAAGACAGCAAAGCGTGAAGTGTTTATCTTCATAAAGGCAACATGGGAGAGAAAGGAGTGTTAGCACATGTTATTCTCTCGTACAGAGTAACCATACAGAGCTGCCTTTAGACATAAAATGTAGGGCTGCTGTCATGCTGCAGTTTGCGTGGTCTCCAAAAGGTGGCTACGGCAACTCCAGTGTGACAACAGGGTAGCAGGTGGCTGAGGTGCATTGTTTAATGGGGAGGGCAGAGGTGCTTCAAAGAGCAGCTTGGCAAACAGCTCTGTGAAGTGCCTTCCTCTTCCATTAAACACAACTGCAGTGAGGTTCAACAGTGGAGGGAGACAGTTTAGCAAATTTGGTCTCTGAAGCTCCTCCCCTCCTCCTTTAAAACCTGGTGGGGCTTGGAGCAAACTGGAAGAGGAAGGGGCTTGTGTCAGCAAGTGGTGGTGGGGATAGATGGGGGCATGGCTAAGATGTAAAGGGAGGGGCATTTGGTCAAGTGTAAAGGAAGGGAGCATTGGAGGAAGGAGTTTGGTGTGTAATTTGGGCTGATGAGCAGACTGAGCAAGGGCAGCAGCCCCCAGTACTCTCGTGTTATTTCAGATGCACATCAGCAGCATTTCCAGATATAACGAGGAATGCTCAAAGGGCCAGTGCATGAGCAGAATTTCCCTTTCTTCAAGTCACATTTTAAGAATAGATTATTTGTAGCAATTAATGATCATTGCTGGAGACGGGATGAGCAAGCTAGGCCAGTTCCCTCTTCCATGCAAAAAGTCAAATATGCAAGCATGTTTTCAATAATCACTACAATTATTGTGATGTGTGCTTCAAAGAATGCTGTACTGTACTGTCTGCTCAGTATCAGAACATGTGAGAAATATGATAGCCTCTGTACTAGCAAAAGCTGGAGATTAATGTTAGGTAAAAATGTCAAAAATGCAAAATGCCACATTAAATCATGTTCTCTGGTTCATAGATAAAGAAGCTGAGATTAGGGGGAAGTGAAATTAGACGCTGGCAAAAACCAGCAGACTGTGCAAGCCTGAGACTTTGCTTGGGCTCCTCCTAGCTCATGCAGAACCATGGTTTAGCATTAAGTGCCACAGTGGCCAGTAAGAACAGGGATTTGTGCACATGCACAGTGAGCAAGTTGAGGATAAGTATGATTCTACAGGAGACTGCACTGTGAAACTGTGGAATTGCAATACATTAAATGGTGGTGGTGATTGCTGTTAAACGTATTACCTGGCTTTCACCCACAGGTTACAATTAAAAATCAGAATAAAAATTTATTACTGTCACAGGAATAGGTTTATAGGCTATTATTTGTGGACTCTGAATCTGTCAGCATTTCTGGGAATGGAAGTATTTTCTTCTTCCCAGTAGTCAACAACTAGAGTTTACTCTTTATGCAAGCTATTTTCAGTTCCAAACCTCTGTTTCAATATGCATGCTATTGTTTAATTTCAGGAAGCTGTTAAAAGTGAAACTGATACCAAAACAGAAACTTCAGGTATGAACTGGAATGTCAGAGTTAAGTTGCAGAAAATCTTCTAATATAAGACTATGTTTGAGAAAACTTTTTTTTAAAAAAAGCTATCAGAAATTAAGCAAGTGGTTGAGTAAAAGAATAGTTAAACATTTGTAAATACCACAGAAAAGGTTTTGAAAACATGCTCATTCAGTAAATGACACAGAAAGGTTTTGAAGAAGTCCTTATTCAGTTAAATGTTTGAGTTTGCTTATGCTAGTGGATAACTGAAGTTGCCAGAATATTATTATTTAAGACTGGTAAAATGAAGGATTAAATCTTATATACAAAGACTAGGAAACCCATGCATGTTATCTTTGAGCAATTGCTTACCAGAACTGATCCCTTTCTGGAGACCATGAACTTGCATTGAATTGTGAACTGCACTCACTACTAGACACCCAAATAATGATCATGATTATTTACACAAAGATGAAACAAATAGATTGAGCCTTACTTATCTGGCAGCTCTTTTGTCACTATCTACTTGTGTCACTTTCAGTTCAAGTTAAGCTTATGATTGTGCAAGGAAATCAGAGACTGAACCAAGTTATACCTCAGCAGGATACTTAATGACTTAACCAAGATGTAGAATTCCATGCAAATCTATACCCCCTTAGCAACCACTGCCCTGGAGGCTGTTGATGAAGATGCAGACATTGAAACATTAGTATAAAACACATTTTGCCATAAAGCATGTGTCCATGTTCAAAGGAAAAAATAAGCACTATTGTGATGAATTGAAAGTTCTTACTATTTATTGAACTTTTCGTTAGTTGCTTGTTGCATGAAAAGATCTCCAAGCTATTTAAAACATGTGCAATTCACAAACCATACATAAAACAACATACACACCCCAGTAGAGAGCTTTGGCAGCCCCCTAACAGGGAAAAGAATGTCATAGTCCATCCAAAGCATGGACAGGGGGAGATTAGTTTTGGCCTGACATTCAGTGAAGGTGCCAGGCAGATGTCATTGGAAAGAGAATTCCTCAAATGGAGAGCCAAAACTGAAAAGGCCTTCTCCCTATAATCAATTATGCTTTCTTTTAGAAGCAAAATTTACAGGGTCTCCCACCTTGGAGAACAAAACACTGGGATCTGCTTTATTAGAACCTCCAAATCAGGAAACAGAACGTCGTTCAAGACCTATACTTGCCTCTGGCCATGAAGATGGTTTTATTTATCTCTGGACTATAACGGTAGGTCCTTTTGCATAACTGGATTGTGGTAGAAAACAGTGGGTTCAAGCATCCTTGTATTGTGCTATCAGCCAAAGGATGTACAATCCAAAAAGATTATTCTTCTACATCTCCTGTCCTCTTTCTCTGTTTTTGTAGGAAACACATAAAATTATATTACTATTTATGCTTCATCAACAAAGGAAAGGATTAAAAAATATGTAGAACAAAAAAAACCATTGTTTAGAATTCATTCTGATCCAGCTGTTCTTCCAGCAGTAGCCTCGGGAAAGCCACAAAATGGGGCATTTGGGGGGCAGGGGTTCCGCACCAACAACTTTGGATCTGCCCAACAGATTCCTCAAAGGGATCAAGCCTCAGGCCCCTCAGCTGTGGTAGCAACCCCCCACCCCACCCCCGTGAGCATGAGCAGCAGGGTTTAGGTTGTGTTAGTCAAATCTCACTGCCCTGCTGATCCCTAGCCAGGAGTCAGGATTGCTGTGTTAGCCAGGGTGCTAGTAGACTGGTGTGACTCCAAACCCCTAATGTCAGAAAACGCTGCTTTGTTAAAAGAAAGTCCGATTGTGTTTTTGTTTGTGAAGGGAGATCTACTGAGAGAAATTTTGCCTTTCACAAAACATCCTCCAATTCCTTTGACAGCACTGTGCACTGGTGTATCTTCTAAAACACTTTTTGCCGCTAATAAAGGTAAGCAACCATTTATCAGTTAAGGCTGTCATAACAGTTTGTAAGCATTTAAAAAAAAAAAAAAAGATGGGTGCAGACAAGAACTGAACCCTTTCCAAAGCCTGGCCATCGGTCAAATTACTAAAACCATGTCAAACTTTTGAAGATAACTAAAGAATATCTGTAAGCACTCAATACTAAGCACATGCAAGTGTGAAATAAAATTAAAAAGAAATCCTGCATATGTCTCCTCAGAAAGGGAGGAAAAGGAAGGGAATAGAGGGCTGTAGTCTTAATTACGTTGGTTTAAACATGCATATAAATGCTAAGCAAATAATACTTTACTTTGAGGAATCCCTGAGGAATCAGTGCTCAGCAACAGGGAAGCAGCCAAGTGCTAGATCTTTTTCTTCTTTTTAAAAAAATATTTTTATTAGTTTTTCAGATATATAAAAAGTGCTCGGCTACTGTATAATGTCAAATGAACAGTTATTCTTATAATATTTTTATTAGTTTTTCAGATATATAAAAAGTGCTAGGCTATTGTATATTGTCAAATGAACAGTTATTCTTATCCTGATACAAAATAAATGGTAAATCATGTAACAATTTCTTTAAACAAACAACACAGAACAAATCACATCTTGGAAAATTAGGGCTGTAAACTGGGCACATAATCCAGATTCAGTAATCATAATTTAAATCAGAACCAGAATCTTAAAACTCTACCATATCAAGGGAAATAGACCACAACATTAATTTTACATTATGTTTAATGTATTAACCAAATCTTCTCATAAACAAAAGGGGGTTCTTGACAGTGGTCCTCCTTACCTGCAAATAAGATAAAATTGAACCAAACTGTTACAAACTATCATTGACCTTTCTGAGTCTGAACAATCTGATTGTAAGGTGCCAGCCTCAAGAAGGCTCTATCTGAACCTGTATAATCCTATTATTAATTTAAAGACTAATCCAGATCCCATCTTGGTCATTATTTACGGATGTCATAAGCCATGAAATTATCTGTGAATTGCTCCTGATCCATATGTGTAAATATTATTTTTGATGGGGCATTTCTCTTGCAGAGGGGCATGTTATACGGTGGCATATTGGCTCCTTCTTAGAAGATCCACAGGATACCAACAAGGTGAGGCAGCTGGAAAATAAGTGCTTGCTTTTAATTCACTTATTACATGGGAAATAGGTATCCCCTTACCAATGCCATTTTGCCCATTTTCTTTCCTTGCTTGCACTGCAAATCAGAACTTTCATGTTAAATAAATAAAATGCAAAGAACGGTGAAGGTCTAGTATAATCCTAAAAACATGAGGCTTTGTGTTTGACCCGGGGTTTATGCTTGGACCAGGGCTTACTGTATTCTAGAAAATTTATAAAATCTGGCACATGTTTGTGATTTGACAAGTAATCCAAATGGTCAGCCCACCTCACCCTCCAAAAAATCCATTCTGTAATCACCATTCTATAATATAATAATCCATTCTATAATATGGTGATATTTGTTACCACACCTCACTAATTATCTGAATGAAGGGTGTTGTTAGGGATAGCCCAGAGGGCCTGAACCGTGAATCTCTCTTGGCCGGCCTTCCCTTTCCTTCCCTCTCACCTTTTAAAAACTTTTTTTTTAAAAAAAATTACTTGCTTGCCTTTAGGGCAGCTATGACTGGTGCCACCCACCATTCCTAGAGGCATTTTATACAAAAATTATCCTATGCAAGTTTGTGTCATGGGCCTGTGCCCTGAGTCCTGTACTCTAGGAGGGCCCTCCAGCCAGTAGGCCCAAGTTGGCCCCACAAGGATATTTTCGTGACGTCTTCTGATGAGCACAAGGGTGCAGTTATATCCTGTGTTTGTTGTGTATATCTGTTTCCCAGCCGACAACCGTGGCACTGTCCATGCCAACCTGCATGGAATCCCTTGCTAAAACAATGAAAGAGCAATTCTGAAGCAAGAAAGGGTGTGCATCAGAATCTCTGGCAGAAACAGGAAGGTTTTCTTACCATTGTATTAGGAGGGGATCCCTAGAAACTGCTGCTAAAATGAGGAAAGAAACCATTGCCTTCTAGCAATTTGGCCCGCAAGGCCGATCCTGATAAGGATCTGGCCCATGGAGCCAATGAGGTACCTAGCAACACTCCTGGTCTGAAAATGGAGCAGCGTTTTTCTGTAGCTGTGCCTGAGGCCTGATGTCCATCTTTGATGGAGACACAGACAGGCCTGTTTCCTGCCAGACATGATGTACTTCCACGCTGGAGGACTGAACCAATATTTATTTAAAGCATTCATTTTCCACCCTTCAATTCAAAATGTTCAGAACCGTATGCAGTCTGCACTGGTAGCAAGTTTCCCTGATCATCTAGGTGGTTTTACTGTTTTTAAAGTTGGTGTGTTTTGTATTTTTTTCTCATTTTATCTTGTACAACAGTTTGAATCTTTCCAGCTGTGAACCTGTTTCTAAATATGTAAAAGTAAAATAAAGAGTTGGTTAGCTGTGTTGGGATGACTTACCTACACCTGTTCACATCAGCTGCTTGAATGTTAGAGCTTCTCAACGCCCACCAAAGCTGTCTCACGTATTGCTAACCTCTCTTATTCTGCAGCATATAAAGCAACAAATTTGCTGGAGAGCTCATTCTGCCAAAATAGTCAGCTTGTTCTATGAAGAAGAAAAATGCCTTGTGGTGACTGCTGCTAGTGATAGTTCTGTCAGGTTAGTTACAATTAGTGGCAAGCATTTGAATTTGGCCTATGCCAGAGTTGCTTTGTCCGCTTGATGGGGCATTTAAAAGCACATAGCTTTCCCCAGTGAATCCTAGGAAGTGTAATATGTTAAGGGTGCTGGGAATCGTAGCTCTGAGGGGTAAATTACAGTTCCCAGGATTGTCTGAGAGGAGCCATGGTTTCCAAAGTGGTATAAATGTGCTTTAAATGAATGGTGTGAATGTGACCTCTGTCACAGTTTTGCACGCTGGCAAATAATATCACAACATGGCCTGGGATACTGTATGGAAAACTGCAGAGAGGGCCAGTTCCAGCATTGAGGGGTCACTCAGCAAATGCCGTCCATTTGGCCTTTCTCCTACTGGGCCTCTCTAGAACTTTTGCTGGGCTCTTGGAGGTTTCTCTTGGCTATGGCTGTCATTTTGGATTTCTTGGTACAGAAAGTATTGATCTGATGTTTCCCATTCTAATTAATTCAAGAGGGTTCTGGAAGCTTCTCTGTGTGAAAGAAACAAGCAGAAGGTTCATGGTATTTGGGTTATTTCTTCAGAGAAGCTGAGTACAGCTGACTTAAACTGGTTCTGTTGCCTCTTCTGTCAAGGTCATGCTGACTATAATAACAGGCCAGAAGGAGGCTGGGTTTCACTTTCTCTTTCTATCTCTTTCCTTCTGGTGTGGTATTCTGTATATAGTGTTAAGGTTTAATCTTATTATAAGTTATTGTAAGTTTAAATGAAGTCTGCTGCAACTGGATTTCTTATGGACAGTGCCAATCCTGAATGTATTGGATTTGTGACCATTATGCTCATTTGCCTTCAGTAGGAGTAAAGCTCTGCTGGGTGAAATATAATTGCCTCTGGTCTATTTTTTGGGAATCCTGCAACGTGCTTTTACTCGGCTAACTATAGGTTGGAGTTCTGCTCTGGATCAATATTGAGTAGAATTCCATGTCAATGGCAGCCATGTTTTTGCTCAAAAGTTGAGTTGACTTCCAGGGTACAGTATAGAAAAATCATGGTCATTTGCCCCCCAAAATATGGCCACTGCTGAAAGCCAGTGAGAGTTGTTTGAGGGGAATTTTTTGATAGAGGGCCCAGGGCAAACATCTACCATGGGCCCTGTTGGAGCACTGTGATCCCAGCAACTGCCAAAGATATTATTGTGCCTGACTGCAGCTTCTGCTCCTGGTGGACATGCTGAATAACTATTTTTCTGTGGGCTGCCACAGGCTAACCACTACAGACAAAGAGTTTTTGAGCACTGGTTCTTAATATATTATGCTGTGAGCATTCCAATTCTTCTCAAGTGGAAATCTGTTTCGTTTTTGGTTAGTATTTGGTTAGTAGTCTTCTGTTTAGAAATCGATATTGTTTAAACATTTCTTTATTGGCCTTCTTCCTCACACAGGCTCTGGCATGCACCCGATGGACACTACATTGGTTACTTTGGTCAGCGCAGGTTGTTTGAACTCTTGGAATCCGCAGATATCATTTTGCCCTGTGACGTGAATGAAATCCCCTTCAGCATAAGAGACAACAGCAAATATATGGATAAAAAGCAGAAGTTTGAATATCCTCTGGTCCTTGACAGAGAGAAGTAAGATTGGCCACATATTAGATTGCATGAGGAGAAACACCTGCAGTTTCTATAGGAACTTGTGTATAAGGCAAGGATGGGAAACCTGTGGCCCTCCAGCAGCTGTTGGACTCCAACTCCCATCAGCCCCAACCATCTTGGCCATTGGTCAGGAATGATGAAAACAACATCTGGAGAGTAACAGGTTCCCCATCTCTGCTATATAGAATTACTACAGAATACACTGAACTGAGGCTAAACAATGTGGGTTCCACCCACCTACCATCTCACTGTCACAAAACTTTTGTCAGTCACCGCAATATCCCCACCCCCTGAAGCTCAGCAATGCCTGTGAAACTTCGCAGATGCCACAGCTGATCTGAAGGACAGTGTCCCTGAAACCTCTCCACAAATCAGCAAGGGGTTGACTTTCTTCATATTCTCTCCACCCTGTTCTGATACGACTCAAAGATAATTATTCACATTAATAAATGAAGTTGTGTCTTTTTAAGCAGCTGGTTTTTTAAAAAAATATATATAGCTGCCAGTTACCTTTATGCCCTCGTAAAGATTTCCACAGCTTGCTCGTGAAATAAAATTAATATTTCAAATGAGTTGTGAGTGCACATTTAAGGTTTAAGAGAGGTATAAATAACCTCCCTTTTGGGTTAGAACCCGTGAAAGCTGTCCTTTGTAATACACATTGCAATGAATGGTAGTCTATAAATAAATAAATGACAACAGTACAATTCAGCAACATGGTGTTAGGTTTAGCACTTTCACTATGCGCATTTAGGGCCCATACTCCTAAGGCAGCAGTCAGCAGTTCCTTCATCCACAGGGTGAAATCCCCGTGCCCCACCTGCTTTTGCACTGCATTTGATAGATGTACTTACTACCAGTTCAAATGCAGATATCCCTCCTAAGCACACCCACCCACAACTATTAGGCAGCTGAAAACTTTTTTTTATTGTTTAAAGCACTGCTTGTATGTTTATGCCATTAAATGTTGGTTTATGCCCTTTTTTTTAAAGGTAACTTTTTAAAATGGAACAACTGCCCTGCAGGGTAGGGGTGAGGTAATTCATGATATCACAGGCACCTGCCAATCAGCTGTCAGCTTCTGCAAACTAACATGACGTGCTTCCCCTCTTCTCAGTTCCAAAGACCCCACCATTCACATTATATATGTGGAGCATTTACATCCTTTTGAATTTACCTTTGTAGAAAAGATGTATTTCTTAGTTATGGGGCCATCCATCTGCAGAGCATTCCTATGTATATTTACACAGAAACAAGTCCCTCTGTGGTCAGTGAGTCTTACTGTGCTTCCGGTTGCAGCCTGAAAAGGGCAAACTGTACTGCTTTAAATTTTCTAAATTTTATTGCAATTATTTTTTTATTGCAAGTTATACTTTATTTTTATCTTGCATGATTATGACATTAAGTTTCTTTTGTTTTGTAAGTACAACATCTTTTCCTTTCTTTTTTTCTAGATGGAAGACTCTGACCAGAAGCTCCTTGTCATTGAAAAAGCCTGGCCCTTTTGAAGTTGATCAAGATTTCAAGTTTTTCAAAGCCCTGGCTTCTCCTATGGTACTAAGAGTCAATTGTCATGTCAGAACTCCCTAAAACTGCCATTACATAGAATCGTAGAATTGGAAGGGACCCAAGGGTCATCTAGTCCAACCCCCTACAATGCAGGAATCTCAGCTAAAGCATCTATCACAGATGGCCATCCATATCTTTAGTTGCCAGGTGAAAACATTTCCCCTTAACCAGACCTGTGGCTGATTAACATTCTATGTCCCTTTAAATGTGTTTGGGCGGTTTTGGTTTCTTCTTGTTGCTTTTATTATGTACTTTGTTTTCTCATTTTTGCTCTGTGATCTTCAAAGGAAGGGTCCTCCACCTGTAGAGACAATGTTCATTCATGAAGCCACTCATAGAAGTGGACCATGCTAGATAGAGTTGCATGTGTAAATCATGATTAACTGAATTTTGGAGGTGGGGTGTCCATCCTAAATATAATGGGTGCTTCCAGTTTGTTGCTACTTTATGCTGCAAGCCATTCATAGAAATCACATGACTCCCCCCACAAATAATCATAGGAACCATAGTTCAGACCCCCTGGAGCTGTACTTTCCAGTACCCTTAACAAGCCACAGTTCCAGCTGTTTTAAGGCATTTGCCTGAACATGTGAAGACTGCATCCATGCATGGGGGTGGGGGTACATTGTCACCAATTCTTCCAGTGTCACCAGACAATGCAGGCTTCTCTTCAGACCCTTGACTGTTAGCATGAAGGTCAGAAGAAGGTTTCAAAAAAGCGCATTCTGAGCCCTGATTTGACAATTTTGACAGTAGCACCAGATTTTATTTTATTTTTCATTTGTTGATACATGTTTCTGTTCAGGTAACTAGGAAGATCAGTATTGACCATAATGTTAAATCACTGAATGGACTAAATGCTATACAATTAGATGTGGTGGGCTTTTTATTTATTTCATTATAAGTATTTGTTTTTGAGTTTTTTTGCTGGAAATGAAAATACTGATGGTATTGTTTGTGTCTTCTAGATTAACAAACACCCCCTGGAAAGTTTCAAATCTGGCAGCAAAGATACTGGTGTTGTATTTGGGTCTATACCTATATACAGGGTGAGTTCAAAGTAATTTGCTTAAATAAATGTTTCGTAATGGAAGAAACATTAAAATTAAGCAATGTCTCAGATTGTGAATTGCTACCATTTGCTTCTCATTTAAGTATCTCCTTTTTACTGAGCTTGAATTATTCCTTTTCCGCTCTGAGTTTTGTTTCCTTCCTATAAAATATCAACTGTCCTGTAAGATACATTTTGGCTCACCTATTATAGCGAGTAATATTTGACTTTTACTAAGGCCTTGAGCATCACATATGGGCTATAAAACACCTGCATTCAGCATGTCGTCATAATGCCAGGGCTGTCTGTAGACGAGATACTGAGCCACAGTTATATCACAATCCTATGCTTACTTACCCAGAAGCAGGTCCTGCTGAGTTCAGTGGGAATTGCTGCCAGAAAAACGAGCATGTGATCACAGACTTAGACTGCAATCCTGCACTTAACTGGAAGTAAGTTCCATTCAACTCAGTATGTGCTAGTCCCATTAAACTCAATTGAGATGGAGCTTACTTCTGACACACAGGATTGTACTATATACCATATATTTTGACCTGGCTGTGCACATTGCTCCTCAGCTCAGTTTTTTCCCATCCCAGCGCCCTCCAGATGTTTTGGACTACAACTTTCATCAACCAGCATAGCCATTCTGGCAAGGGCCGATTCTGCTGTAGTCTAAAACAGCTGGAGGACATTAGGTTGGGGAAGGCTGCCTTGAGCTTTCTTTTTCTAAGGAGAACCAGTTTTTGCATTCCACCTTAATACATGCTGTCACCTTCCCTCACATTCTTGTTTCCTCCCCGCTATCCTCAGAAGACTTGATTATGCAAACACAAAGAAGCTCTGGTTGTTATTATGTGAATGAGGAAATCCTGGGTTCAGGCTCCCAACTCTTCCTTGAACAAAATGGCCTTAGGGAAGCCACCATCTCCCCCATACCACAATATAGGCATTAGGTAAGGTCTAGAGGTGCCCTTCTGCTAATGGAAGGGGCTGCAGTCCAGCAGAGGCTCCTGCTCATGGAAGGAAGAGGACAGGCAATTTCCACTGGTTCTCCTTGCAGCTCCCTGCACACATTGCCATGCTGTTCTAGAGGGTTCTCATCTCACAAAGCAGATTTTCAGTGGGCGGGGAAATCAGAGAAATTTGCCTCTCCCTCCTTATGTAAGTGGGAGTGGAATGCTGGAATCGACCCTGTTAAATTTTATTGTAATAATCACTGAGCTATTTTATGTGAAGTACATTGAACATTAACAAGTCCTGTATAAGTGCTATTGTTACGATCAATGTTGTCAGATTCATTCACCTCTATTCCACCTCTGCCACTGCGCAATATCTGTCTTTCCTTCACTCAAGTTTTTTGCCTTCCCATCTTAGTGATACTGTGACTCTTCCTGCTCTCATAGAATCTTGGAAAAGGCACTCAACTGGCATTGTCCTAAGAGATGTTTAGGACTGATGTGTGATATGATATACTAGGCATAGGCAAACTCAGCTCTCAAGATGTTTTTGGACTACAACTCCCACAATCCCTAGCTAACAGGACCAGTGGTCAGGGATGATGGGAATTGTAGTCCCAAAACATCTGGAGGGCTGAGTTTGCCTATACCTGTGATATACACTGGATGTGAATAGGCAATGAGAGAAGTTTTCAGGAAAAAACAAACAAACATGAACATGGCTTTGGCTAGACTTTGCCAATATGGTGCCTTCCTGATGTTTAGGCCTTTCTTCCAGCATCTCTGGCCTTTCATGGTAACATGAAACATGAAATTTATTACGGTCAGAGACCAGCTTGAACCTTTCATGGTACATGTGCTGGGTAAGATGAAAATTGCTATTGTGTGCTGGGGCCTAGCATGACAGAGGTTTGTCCCAGTTGGCTCCTAGATGCTCTAGGCACTTTATGGGCCTTAAAGCTGAGCCTTAAATTCATTTTTCTGTTACACTGGAGACTTCTGTACCAGTATACAGATTGCAAGGCAGTCAAGAAACATATGAATCTTCTCTAGGCTTTTTAGGACAACTGTCAGTCTTCCATTTCCCGTTATTAGTTTAAAAGAATTTTGTGACATGCTTTCTGACAGAGAAGCAATAAAACCTGAAAAACATTCGCTTCCATTTTTTTTCCAACTCTGCAGGTACAAATCAGGAATATCACTGTTACAAAGTCACAGGGAGTTAAAGACAAGTAAAAATAGAAATATCACACATTTCAGTAGTTCTATTGGGGGTACATTATTCCAAAAGCTGTGTCTTGTTGACTAAGCAGCCATAAAATGTTGTTCTTGCCTTTAAAATAATGCTTATATATTTGAGTGGTGAGAAGCTCCAGAGACACAGCACTTACCCAGGGTTGGTTCTTTTTAGATGTTTTTGGAGGTTTAATTGTGTTTTGTTGTACTTAGGTTTATTTACAAATACGCATTTTGATCATAAATGGGGACACACATTTAGCCAAAGTTTAGCCAACATATAGCCAAAGTTCACTACCCCTACAACAGATATCCATAGAAACAGCCAGCACCCTATGAAGCCCAAAACTCTCTTCACACACCAACACCTGAATTGCCTCTTCCTTAGCTGGGAAGGCAGAAGAACTGCTCTCTACTCTGATCATGTTTCCTATTCAAAACATTCCCAAAATCATCCTGCATGGAAAAGCAATTTTCTAAATATTGAGTTCCCATGACAATAGACTGCCTGTAATTTACCTAACAAAAGGATGGATTGGCTAACAGGTTTGACCAACTTTAAGCAAACTTTCTGATCTGCTCCTCTCCAATATTAACAATATTTGGCTTCAAGTACTGTAAAGCAGATTCAGAAGTCGAGAATTTTAATATGACATTTTGTTAAGGATTGGAAATTTGGCTATTTAAATAGCTGGACAGTCTGCTGAATAAAAGACTGGCACAAAATCAGGTATGGACCTGACACCCTTTACATCCTTTCCACTCCTTCCCATACATACACTATCCCATGTCTGAGACTTTCCTGTTGCTGATAGCTAACCCACAAACGGTGCTGCGCTCATGGGAAAGCTGCTTGGAAAGCTCCAATTGCATCACGTCTGTGTTGTTTAATAGGAAAACACCCTTACAAAATGTGCACCAAGCTACAGAAAACCCACACTCTTCATTTCAGCTCTTAGGACTGTGGCCTTAATGCATAAATCCCAATTTACTATCTATACCTGCTTAACTGAGAAAAAAGTGCAATTGAACTTGAGTGTAGGATTGCACTGTGAAAAAGACACATCTGAAAATATGTTATATAGAGCTAAAAACAAATAACAAAGTAATTGCCAAATGTGACTCTTTCGCTTTTCACTGGGGTACAAAATGAAAGTCAACAAGGAAATATTAGACTTTTGGTGTGTGTTTTTAACATACAGGAAAGGAAAATTAAGTTCACACATATACTATGGGAGATAACTGGCATGAGCAAGCCACCTTTTTAGAGAAAGGTTTAGAGAGAATAATATATAAGTAATTGAAAATGAGCCAAAATGCAAGCCAAAATCACTTTCCACCTCTACAGAAGTAATAGAAATTCTCCTTCATTCAGCACAGCTAAGTGTTTTTGCTACTGCAAGCTACTCTTCATGTAGAAGACAGATTCTACCAGGGCAGGCTAAAGGCAACAGGTGTATCTTGCTTATAGAAAAGAGATTGCAATCCAAAGCACTCTTAAAAACTGAAGTGCCAGGTTTTTTTGTTTCTGTTTTAAACTTAATTAGTGCTTTTCCTTTATAAATCTCAAAGCAGTTAAAGTAATTAAGAACAATTAAAACATATAGGTAGTTGCATCGCATAATTTCAGTAACAACAGCAGCCAATCAAGAAATGCCATGGGGAGCTCATTCACAAAATGGGCACAACAATGAATATTAGAATTACTTATAGGGATAGAGAAGGATTTACCTGATTTGATCCAGCCAGATCCTGATTATCTGGATTGGATCACTAGTCTACTTTAGTCCATTTTAGAATCTGCAGTCCTGGGGGCTGAGAACAATAACGTGTCTTCAAGTTCTGCCACTCTCAGACTTGCTCTGTTCTACTCAAAGTGCACAGCAGCCAAACAAACCAAACAACCATATGCTAGTAGCTGGATTATTTCTGGAATTTTTTGTAGGTGTGGGGCAGTGGATTTAAAATGGACAAAGGCACCACTGGAGCCCTCAGACTGCCTTGTAGATGCTTTTATTTCATGCTGACTTAAAAGGATTTCCCTTTTAGAAATCAAATGGAAACAAAGACTCCTTTGAAGTGGAACAGACAGGACCGCAATGGGTCTCTCCATCCCTAATTACTTCTGAGCAAAAAGGTGCAGGATGGATCTCAAATAAGGAGGCTGGTGTTTGCTGACAGCGAATACTAACAACAAAACAAGGCAGGGGGGGGGCGGGAATAGCTGTACATGTTGCCCACTAATGACAGCACAAGAATGAATGGTTTTAAAATGGAGGCAAATACAGAGAACATGCACCACTTGCAGCATCCATGTTCTGGAATAAACATGCATTTTATATGATGGCAATGGAACTTACAGTTCATGGGTGAATTCTTTAGAGTGTAAAATTGATATGGGCTTTGAAGAAGAAACAGTACCTCAGTGGAAGCAGCTGTCTTGAGGGGGCTGTTGGATCTTCTTCCTTGGAGGTTTTTCAAGAAGAGGCCAGACGGGCACAAGCTATATTGTCTTGGGGAAAATAGTTGAAGAAGGTAATCAGCTGGGCTTCTTCAAACCATGTAGATGTGACAAAAAGAATGACACTATTCCAAAAGCAAAAGCCAGAAGAACAAGTTTCCTTTTTTGGGGGAAATTATAACCTGACACCATATTAGTAAGATTTTTAGGTCATTACTTGCTGGGGTGCCAAAGGGATATTTTTGTAAACAGGAAAATGTTGGTGGTGGAGTGGTTTCACTTCAGGCTATCTGTACACCGTAAATGCCAAAAATTGGCGTGAGAGGACAGGTATATTGGTATAAAAGGCTTTGTAGTCTAGAAGCATCTGTAGATTTATTTCACAAAGTTGGTCATGGCCCTTTAAATAAACGAATACAAACATAGGCAAGCAATGTTATCATTCTTATGATTCCTATCTTGTTGGCACTATTCAGAAAGAAACTTTGAAAAATAACAGTTAGAAAACCCATCAGTTTAACTCTCACCTCGGCACCCACAGCATTTATTTCCCATTCTCAAAAACAGCCAAAGAGCCTTGAAGCACCCTAAATAACTAATTTATTATGGCATAAGCTTTCATAACTTCGTCAGAAGCATGAAGATAAATCTCAGTGGTCAGAAGAAGAAAATTGTAAGTTGAACAGCTATGAGATGACTAAATTACAGTCAATGAGACCTTCAATAAATGTTATAGGCACACCTTTAACCTTTCACAGTACCAAGTTGGTGATAATTACTGAGGTTATGGTATTAACAACTGTAGTGGGCAGGGAACCATTCACAGCAAACAACCGTAGATAGCACAGATATGTTGGTATTGACCATCTAATTAACTTGTGAATTACTGTATTTATCTCCATTTCACCCACTGCAAGCTGAAACTGCTTGATGAATTTTTGCGTTGTATTCTTCCATTAAAAGTATTCCACAGTGGTCAATTACAGAATGTCCCAGGAGTTGGGGGTATTTTCTCACTGATTTATGGACAATCCCATTCGTATCATCAGATTTGTGGACATTTATGCTTTTGCATAGAGACTTGTCATGTGTGTCCTATTTAGAACACAGAAGAGCATTGTTGGCATAAATCACACCTACCTCAGCTATATATGTGTTAATTACATTTCCCTGGCAAATAACTTCTATCTCAGCCTCAGTTTACCTTCTGAAAAAGAAATTATAATATTGACCTACTGCAAGGGGATTGCTGTGAGGCTGGACATGATAAATGTAAAAAACTTGTACATCAAAAGTGTTTTATATAAATAACAGCAAGAAGCTGACTAAGGGATTTTTCCTTAGTGCAGATGTCACAAATGTTGCACCTGTCCACATAATTCTTGATTTTTTTTCTAAATTACTTGTAAAAGGTTACAACTCCTCCAAAGATTAAACCTATTCATACAAAGGATCAGGAAGACTCTGTTGACAGTATTGGCATGAGAAGCAGAATTATTTCCCATTCAGTAAGTGTATTGTTTCTTCATGTAGCATGCATGTTATGTCTAAGAATGGGAGGCGCGTGGAGGGAGTTTCTGGATTTTAAATTTCAGGCAATACAACTGAATCTGCTTAAATTCAAATAATTCACCTTCTGAACTGACACATGTGTTTGGCCACTTCTTGGTCAATTGGCTGTGGGTAGTTTGTTTTGCAAAAATGAAATTAAGATTGGGACAAATAATAAAGTGCAAAAAGCAAAACAGTAAACTAAATGGTTATAGCATTCTTTTTTCATCACAGTGAACCTTCAAAGTCTACAAGCCAGGATGGGGGAGAAATCCAATTCACTTTGCATTTATAGGCAGACCTCCCTAATTCACCCTTTCCAAAACAATATGTGGACCGAAGCACAGCCATCCTTTGAAATATTTGCCCTTCTCTGAATTTTGAAAGGCAGTTTCCAGCCAAGTAATATGTACAAAAATGCAAATACTAAAGTGTGCGTATATATTTGTGAAAATAACATACAGAAAATAGTTATAGTGGGGGGAAATTTGCTTTGCAAAGATGTATATGTTAGGGGAAATTTGCACTAAAATGGTGGTTAATTTTTACAAGGATGGGGGGGGGTCACAATGATGTGGAAATGTGGAGATCCGAACTTAAGAGTGAAAAAAATACAAAATAGAAAGAAACTGAAATGGACAGATTAGCCCATCCCTCCCTCCAAGTACAGTAAATGTCCCCCCCCCCCCAAATGCTGGCAAAGAAGTACATAGGAGTGTATTGCCAGAAGAATATTTTGGAGTGTAAGAAAGTAGGCATATTCTAATGCTGCTCTTCTCATCTGCCAAATCAGAAGTTGTCTGACAGAGCCCCATTAGCAGTAGGGTGAGCAGAGAAGAGACCACCCCTTCTTTCCTGCAAGGCAAGCTGAAACCATAAAGCAAGGAGGGCTGACTCTTGTGCCTTTAAGTAGTACTGGTTTTTTAGCATTAGCTGTAGGGAAACTACTTACCGTTGCTGTACCTTTCTACTTGTTTAGAACCCCGCAAACCTCTAAATATGTGCTTGTAGTCAAGCTGCTCGCACTCGCCCTATAGTTCCCATCAGTCAACCTCTTTAAGCTAAATCCTAGCCTCCTTCCTTTAAAAACACATATGTCTTTTGCAAGATCTGGACCAAAAGCAAGCAAAGCAATTTAACAAGAGGGCTGCACCAGAATCACAGAAGGTGGGAAGAGAGATTGGGTCTTCTGATTGTAATAGACTCATGTGTGCTGGTACCGCCTTTGATATTCAGGATCATGTGCAAAGATCGGTATAATGCTCACATACTATTTGGGTTACTTTGCCTTAAAATGGGCATCAGTAAGCATTTGCTCTGCTCTTTCTCTTACAGCCATCGCGTGTCGTCGCTGCAAAAGCTGCCAAAGCTGCAAAAACCCTTCAGGCCCCTCCCTTCTAACCTCCTCTAATGCCAATCCAAGTATGAAAACCATGAAACAGGAAGATGTGTTGCAATGAACATCGGTGAAAATAAAATTGTGATAACACAAAAAAAAGGAAAGATCTCTGGATTTTTGTATCTGAAACACTAGGCATGCACAAGCCTACAGACTTCATTTTCAGCAGTTTCTTTTCCCGTTGTTAATATCATTGCTGTACTCCAACAGAGGAATTTTAAAGTGAGACCCCAGCACACTATATCTGAACTAGAACTAATAACTAAATTTAATTCTGTTTATTTGGGCTTGGATGGAAACAGTGGCTTCCTGTTCCACCTCAGTTGTTGATTTACCAAGCAGTGCTAAAATGATTGTGTTTTCACTAGTTACTGCTGTTGGGAATAATTTCTGTGTTTGTTGGTGTACATTTAGACTTGAGCTGAATTGTTTCAGACTCTGCTTTTTGCATGTCTTTGCCATTTTTACCCCAATGTTTGCAGTTTTTCCTGTCCTCTGTACACTCATACCTGCCAGCTGAGGATGCTGTGCCTCTGATGAACTGCACTCTGGTCCATGAAAACTTATATGCCATAATAAAGTTACTAGTCTTTAAGTTGCTATGAGGCTCTCTGTTGGTTTTGCTGCAAAAGGTTAAGATTACCCCTCTGGATCATGTTGAAAACTTCCTGCCGATGCAGACGCAGGTGGCGCTGTGGTCTAAACCACTGAGCCTAGGGCTTGCCAATCGGAAGGTCGGCGGTTCGAATCCCCGTGACAGGGTGAGCTCCCGTTCAGTCCCAGCTCCTGCCAACCTAGCAGTTCAGAAGCATGTCAAAGTGCAAGTAGATAAATAGGTACCGCTCCGGCGGGAAGGTAAACAGCGTTTCCGTGTGTTGCTCTGGTTTCGCCAGAAGCTGCTTAGTCATGCTGGCCACATGACCCAGAAAAACAGTCTGCGGACAAATGTCGACTCCCTCGGCCAGTAAAGCGAGATGAGCGCCACAACCCCAGAGTCGTTCGCGACTGGACTTAACTGTCAGGGGTCCTTTGCCTTTACCTAATCCTGCCGATGAGGTGCTGGCAGGGGAGGGAAGTCACATTCTCAAACTAGCTTATATACAAGTACAGTACACACTTTATATTATGAGTGCAATAAGATTTGTCTGGCATATAGAATAGCCAAGTAAGCCAGTCTTCCTGGCACTGAGAGAGAACCCAACATATAGAAATATTTCTGAGAAAACGAGCCTGTGTTATATCCCTTCCAAATACATGAAACAAATGGCGACTTGGGGGGAATCTTTAACTTCTCATGAAAACTAGCTGTGACAAGGTAGATAAACCAGTTTCCTTCCTTGAAATAAGAAGAGGGATGCAAGTCCACTCACATTACTGGGCCTCTGTGTTGTACCACGCTTCCTGGGAGGAACCCAGAGGAACAATCTGCCCATGATGCAATCCTGCAAGATGGGCACCTACTTGCTAATGACGCTGGAACATGGGTTGGGGCTCTTGTCTTCTGTCCCAGACCCTGCTCCAAGTGTGCCCTGCTATAGATGGGTCACACTCTACTCTTGCTTTCCCCCAACTTGGTTCAGATGTTTTGAACTGCAACTTCCAACAGGCCTAGCCATTATGGTCAATAGGCAGGGGTGATGGGAATTGTAGTCCAAATTATATGGAGGTTGGGAAAAGCTGCCCTGCCCAGTCTAATGATGGAATTCTTGCTACTTATCACTGTAAATGCTTTACAAAATGTAATGTTTTATCAGTCATCAATATTTTAATATTACTGATCCATGTTTAAGGGATTCTTCTTGTCTTAATATTATCCTAATGCGTAATTTCTTAAGAAACATCTGTCGATTGATTTACATAGGTATCCATGCCTCCCTTTTCAAGGCAAAAAAAGGCTTCACAGAGTGGCTATAAAGAAAGCAGGGGTAAAAATTCTGTGACCCAACCATCTACAAGTCACCTACAGTAGCTGTGAAACTTCAATGTAACGCTGTTGTTTTAAGTGTGAACAGACTGGTTTAAATGTTTTTCGGATTGCGTTTCTGGTACTAGCTGATAAACCTGTGTGTAGGAATCTCGTGTCAAAATGCTTTATGCAACACCTCGGAATTTTGTTGAGTGCTGGTTAAGATGTGTTAGCCCACACATTTCAAGTGCACACCCTTATTCTGTGCGTGAACTGGCTCTCAGATGAATGCATGGAGTCCTCAGCACCACTTAAGCATCCATTAAAGGTCTCCCAGGTATGTTCTGACCTTGCTTGACACGACTGGTGTGATACTTTGTGATCACATTTTAGATTTCATCTTCCTGTGGAGAGAGAAAACAGAACCTAATGGGACTTACATGCTTCTTAAGGTCATTTTTATAAAAGTTAACTTCTAATGGAGAGTGTGTTGTTATGTGCATTAATCCCATAATACATTTCTACACACAGAAGAATCTTGGCTGTGTTTTGTAACCTTGAAAATGCCAACTTTTGTTCCTTCCTCATTTCTTGTTTTTATGATACTGTTCCACTGTTTTTATGTTTGTGTTTTTTGTATACTGCCTTAAGAGATTTTAGATATCTTAGACATTTTAGAGGTTTAGAAATTCATTTATTTCATAAAATTTGTACAGCACTTGATTGTTGTTTTTTAAAAAAACTTGAAGCAGTTTTCAAAAAGAAAAAACAAGAAAACCAAGAAAAATTCACACCAGTACTTTCAAACATGCACAAGTTACAATACTGAAAACAGATTATAATTCCCTGAACTTTCAAAGCATCTGGGTACGCTTGTCTGAACAACGTTTTTAGCAAATAGCAGGTGTGGAAAGAGTACAGTGAAGGTGCCTGCTTGATCTCAAACGGCAGGGAGTTCCAAAGTGTAGGTGCTGCCACACTAAGCAATCAGATTCTTACAATGACTATCACTGGAACAGGTATTAAGTGGCACCTGTGGCAGTGCCAGTTCTGTCGATCGAAGTGGTCGAGTGAGTGCATGTGCGGTAAGGCAATCTCGTAGGTCTCATAGAAATGCTTTTAAATAAATAAATAATGCTGACTTAGGCTGTGTGTACACACTTCTGAATACTTTGGATGCAGTGCACACTCACCCCTGGTTTGGGAAGCAGTGTACACAGGACATTAGTCACAATCTGTATGTATTCTGTATTTATCCTGACATTTCTTATGAAATACAGTGGTACCTCGGGTTACAGATGTTTCAGGTTACAGACGCTTCAGGTTATAGACTCCACTAACCCAGAAATAGTACCACAGGTTAAGAACTTTGCTTCAGGATGAGACCAGAAATCGTGTGGCAGCGGGAGGCCCCATTAGCTAAAGTGGTGCTTCAGGTTAAGAACAGTTTCAGGTTAAGAACGGACCTCCGGAACGAATTAAGTTCTTAACTCGAGGCACCACTGTATTGCATTTTGATGCATTCCCCCCCCAATCCAGTTTTGGTTTGAATCAGGAAGAAGAATGACCTACCCACCCACCCAGACAGAAGACAGACATACTCACCCCCTAGTAAAACAAGACAAATAATTGCAATAAAAACAGCACCAGCCCTTTCATTCAAAGCAGTCAGTTCCCAAAAGCCTGTTGGAACAAGAAATTCTTCACCTGCTGGAGGAAGGACAAAAATGAGGGGGGAGTTCCAAAATCTAGCGTTTGTTATTTTAAGTAATTTGGGGTTGCACTGGCAAAAAAAAAAAAGACTAATAAGCGTAAAAAATAATAATAATCTGCACAACCCTGTTTTCTTTGGTAATAGGTACAGTCCTGCAAAACAGCTGACCTCCTAGGTTCAGTCTTTTATCCCTGTCGTCATAGCTGCATAACACTTCCTAATTAAGTAACTGCCTCTCATTCTTTGTGTTCCATAATTTCAGCTGCTTATGCTTTCTATTAATCCTGTCAATGGCAGCAAGGTCACCAAAAACCACATACAGAGGTTGTCGATTTTGGAACACTGTATTTTAACGAGGCCAGATGACTCCACGCCACCCTCAACACACAAAGAGAAATTGCATTCCGGTAAAAGAAACTCGGTCACCCCCACTGACCAGGCTTGCTTTGCCTTTCTGAAATTTATTATCTGGCACAGCCATTAGAAGCTTTCCATGTTCTTCTCCCTATGTCAGAAATTGTTTCTGCATCTCTCCCTTTTGCTCCTGTTCTCAGCAGGCAAATTGTACGGCAAATTGTGTCCAATTGATCAAAATGCCAAGTATGAGGTAGGGCTTCAGCAGTGCTTGGGTTTAAAAACAGAATGAAAAAAAGAGGGTGTAAGAGAACTTAAGCTGTACAGTACTTATGTCAGAGGTGCGGAAGCTTTTTCAGCTGCAGACCACATTTACTCTTGGCATTCACCCCGAGGTGTAGCAAAAAAAGTGTGTGTGTGTGTGTGTGTGTGTGGCCATGCCATACTCTCACATACCACACACTACACAAGCCACACTACACTCCCTCTTCAGCTGGGAGAAATCACCAGGAGTGGATTTTGCTGCTGGTGGTTGTCAAGCACTCAGGAAAGCTCAGAGTCCTCAACTGCATATTATGGTATGGTAATTATAATGATCTTTGCAGGCCAGTGTCATCAACCTCTAAGCTTCTTTGCAACCAATAAAAGCCCATACGTTTTGTCAATTTGCGTACTTTTCCCCTGACACATCCCTGTTTCACAATCTTTCAAGCGTTACAGCAACACATTGATTTTAAACTGTGTAGGCAGCATTTGACTAAGAGCTGCAGTTTTCAATTGATGCCCTAAGACTGCAAAAGCTGCAGGTGAGGTGTGAAAAACAATATCTATATTTGAACCACCATATTTGCATATTTGCTGTGGGACATCTTGCGCACTTTACATCACTGGTAAAGAAGTGACAAATGTGAATATATTTTTGTCCTTCGAGTGCGTTTGTTAATTTACACCTACTAGAAAAAGAAAACATTTTGCATATGAGTGACAGTAATATGAAGAAGCCCACAGATGAAGAGTGGGGAAAAACTGAGTTCTCTGTTTTTTTGCAAATCTGTGAGTTGTATAAAATCTCACTACAAGTTAAGCACCCAAAACATTAAAGTGGCTGAGGAATGATTTGTTAAATGACCGACCCCAGCTGTAAAGTTTAACAAAAATAATTACCAGACTAGCCAAGTTAGGATGATGAGGTCTGACCAATCTATGACAAGTTATTGCAAATGTGTTCAATGACTTGCAGGCCTATGCTCAGTGGAGCTTGCTTGCAAGTAAACATTCATTGTATCAGGCCACATTTAAACCAAGAAGCAAATTAAGCAAATTAGCTTTGGAATGAATATATGCCAGCTATTTATTATACTGATGAAGCTGTAACGTGTAAGAGTCCATGCTTAAAAGAATTAGTACAATGTGGTTCAGAGTAGATATCATTTTTTGTATCTTTATTTTAGATCTTATTATGATTTATGTGGCAACAATTAAATTTGGCTGTGTACTTTTTGATGGTTTGCTTGTTCTTGAACTTTGGAAAAGCCAGACCTTCCAAATGTCCCTATTTTGCAGGGGCAGTTTCGGATTTATAGAAGCCATCGTGGTTCCTGATTTGATCCCGGAATGTCCCGCTTTTCTATAAAACATCCCTATTTTCCTAAGAGAAATACTGGAGGGTATGAAGTCATCCAACCCCTGAACCATCTGAAGGCAATCCTGTGTAGGGAAGTTGTTTTTAATGTTAAACGTTTTACAACATGTTGTAATCTAGCCAGAATAGATAGATGGGGTATTACCGTATTATTATTATTATTATTATTATTAAATACGGCGTCCCTATTTTCTTTGGAGAAATGTTGAAGGGTATGAAAGGCGGCATGCAAATAAAACGATTGACAAATAAATAAATAAATAAATAACGGAGGCTGAATAGAACGAAACAGTCCCGTCCACCAGGAATTTGCCTTCCTCACTAACTACATTGCCCAGCATGCGCGAGGTTATCTTTGGGAAAACTGGGCCACACTCCTGGCGGCCGCGTTGCATGCCGGGCGATGTAGTCGAGAGGAGGCGCCTTCGCTTCTTCGGAGGGAGGGAGGGAGGGAGGGAAGAGAGAGCGGGAGTGCGCATGCGAGGAGCAGGAGGCGGGGCCTGGAGGCTGGGAAGGCGCGCGGGGCTTGAAAATCGCCTTTACTGTTTCCCGCGCTGCGCAGCCGGCGCTCTTCTTGCTTAGTGGACGGAGCCGGTCCGGTCCGCCGTCGCTGTCAACGGGCGCTTCCTCCTCGGTGCTGAAGGTCCCGGGGCCGGAATAGGTAGGAGCTTAGCGGTGGCCGCAGAGGGGGTCGGCTGTACGTTTATAAACTCCCCACGAGGGTCGAGTGGGCGAGCCTAATTGGTACCGTTTTCAGAGGGATACCCTGCCAATGGGTCGTGGAGTGGGTGCGTGGGCGGAATCCAATATACTTGGATGCACGATCTTGGCTCTCCCACTCCGCACACAAAGGGTAGTGTGTTTGTTGTTTGTTTTGTTTGTTTAGGCCCCGAACAAGGATGCACAGACTTCAAACTTGCCGAATCTACTTCGATTATTATTATTATTATTATTATTATCATTTTATTAGAACCCGGAGAGCTGCCAACCGAAGCCTAGTGCAAAACACAAAAACATATATACATGCTACTCTGAACCCAGTGTTTTGTTTTGAGCACCGGAACTGAACGGAGCTCACAGTCCTTCAGTATAAAAATCCACTCCTGATTACCCCAAGCATTATTCATTTCAGCAGTATATTTTTGGGGCGATGTAATCACTTCGTGTCTGCGTGGGAAATCCTTGCTGCTCAGTTGCAAATCACCAAAATCAGTCAGTAGTTCCCACCAGCTCACTCCTGGATTACAATGTATAAATAAGATTATAATCTCCTCTGCTCTTGCAGCTAGAAGGGCTTGCTGCCTGATTCAGCTTGTTTACTTGGAAGCAAGCCCCACTGAACTTAATAGTGTGATTTGGACTGTGGGGGGAAAATCCCACTATCCTGATCCGGTTAAATGGGTTTCTTTATATTCATTGATTTCAATTAGCACATGACTTGCAGTATTGTACTTAAAAGGTGCAATCTTTTATGTGAAATTACATGGAGGGGAGGGGGGAGTGGAAGAGCTCTGCCATCCAACCTTTATGTAAGTGCTTCCCGCCAAAACAATTGTGTTGTGAAAATGAACATGAGTTACTAGTCCTCTGCATTTTTGTGGATCAAGTTCGACATTGGATATTAACATCCTAGGATTTAGGGGCAAGGGGTTTGAACGGCCAGATTTTCAGTTACTAAGTCTTTGGTAGAAGGGGTTCTGGGTATGCCAACTCAGCAGCTACTAGAATCTCTTGATTCTTTCCCTGAGTTTGTTTTAATAAAAATTTCCCCATTCAGGTCAGATGGGATCTTACACATTGTGTAGAACAGGGAGAGATGGAAAGATGTGGATTGGTGAACATCAGATTTTGTTTCACTTGTGGCTCATAACATTCATTCCGAAGACTGTTTCAAACATCACAAAATCATTAAATGAACAGCTGTTCTATACGGCACTGAGTATAGAAAATCACATGTATTTTGCAGTGTGTATGCATGTTAGGAAGTCACTGTAGATAGCAGCTTCCAATGTGAGTTTATGTTGCCCATATATACACAATGGAGGGGGGAGCAGTCATCATAAGCTCAACCTAACCTCTCTGTACCAATGATGAAGCTTGCACACAAATTTATTTATGCAGGTATTTTGTATCATTTGAACTGTCCCTTGAATGAAAAACATAGGGTAACTATACAAAATTCCTGGCAGGTAACTGTAACTCTAGGATCTCTTACATTGGGGTCAGAATTGAGTATTTTAGCCATGCTCAACCATTTCATCTCTTGGTGGTTTCATGCTGATGTTTGGTTTAGTTGCAAAGTGTTGTTTTGCTTTTGTTTCTCAAGGATTGAGGTTGTATTGACTTTGTTTCCTTCCTAGTTTCCTAGATTTGACTTCGGAACAATGGGGATCCAAGGTTTGCTCCAATTTATCAAAGAGGCTGCCGAATCTGCTCATGTAAAGAAGTACAAAGGACAAGTAGTTGCTGTGGATACTTACTGCTGGCTCCACAAAGGAGCCTATGCATGTGCTGAAAAGCTAGCCAAAGGAGAACCCACAGATCAGTAAGTTTAAAGCAATTTGACGGACAGAATGGGTGTTAATGGGTTGTTGTTGTTGTTGTTATATATACGTATTGTGGCTTTTATGTTGATCTTTCCTGACACCTCCGGGTATAGGGCAGTATATACTGTATTGGCCTGAATATAAGCCTCACTTTCCCCCATATTCTGACTGAGAAAAGTTAACGTGTGGCTTAATTTCGCAACCTTACAAAAAATGGCTTTTTTACGATATCGCTGCTGAAACAGACATACGGTAAAATGGAACGGGTGTGAGTGCCTGCGGAATTTTAAGGGAGCGGCTTATATTCGGGCCAATGCGGTAATTCAATAAATAATAATAAATAATAAAATAGGGGAAGTATTTCCTGTAAAAGAGTGGTGCCAAACTTTTTTGGGGTTGAGAACTATATTCACCCTTGACCGATCCTTTCGTGGTTACATGTGGGTGAGGCCCCCACGCCCAGGAATGTATGGGACACATAGCACCCCACTCCAGCTGAAGCATGCAAATGTTGTTGCTCCTTCCCCTACTTGATATGATGAGATCACAATGACTGTAGAGAGCAATTGCTACCCCCATTCGGGTTGCTGGGCTAGGCAGAGTGACTTGTTATTTATTTAAAGCAATTGTTATCCCACTGTTCAGCACAAAAAAGGCTCCCACAGTGCAGCTCATAAATGTCAGTGATAAGACCAATCTACAGGACACTACAGAAAAGGGAAAGGGAAGACTAGGGTTTTTTTGTGGTGAGCAGAAAAAATTGCATGGTGAACTGGATCAGGCCCCCAGGCCAGGGGCTAGCCCCCCGCCCTCTTTGCTGTAAGACATATTTAATTCACACGAGAGATTAATTGGCTTTGTTGTTTTTTTATTTTTAAAAATATCTATTAACCACACTTTCGTATAAAATGACACAAGGCGGTATAAAGCCTATAAACACAGTACTACAATAAAAACAACTTTAAATGTCAAACAGATCAGTTAAAAGCTGTTTGGCAAAGAATCTCTAATTGGAGAGTTATGTCTTAATACAGTGGTACCTTGGGTTAAGAACTTAATTCATTCTGGAGGTCCGTTCTTAACCTGAAACTGTTCTTAACCTGAAGCACCACTTTAGCTAATGGGGCCTTCCACTGCTGCTGCCGTGCCGCCGCCGCTTGATTTCTGTTCTCATCCTGAAGCAAAGTTCTTAACCTGAGGTACTATTTCTGGGTTAGTGGAGTCTGTAACCTGGAGTGTCTGTAACCTGAAACGTCTGTAACCTGAGGTATCACTGTAATACAGTTTTTAGAAGACAGTTTTGACTTGCAGTCTTTTATTTGATGTGTAATGCTCAGTGGAAAAATATATGTGGAAAATACTGCCACTAACAGATCTCGTAATCAATTAGCAACAGTCGACAAGAAAAATAGGAAAAGTACATAATGTGCTATCCAATGCATAAATTAAATTAAAAGGAATAATATTAATTTGTGGTTGTGTTTTAAGTTGCTTATGACTGCTGCAGGCTACTTAAACCCCATTTAATCAATAGAATGTAAACAGCTGGCACTCAGGATTGCAGCTAAAATGAAAGCAGCCTGAAAAATGGAAATCTCTATGATCATCTTTGGCCACTGATACCCATAAGTTTATATGTAAGATGAAATGATGACTGTTCCTGTTCTATATATGTTTAATATAATTACCATTACTGTTTTTGCAACTAAGTTCACATCATTAATTTCTGTTGGCTAAGTACTGTATTAGGCATGGAATTGTTACCTTTTTATCCCAGCTTTCCTCTAAAGAGCTCAAGGCAGTGAACTTGGTTCTTCCTCACCGCATCGTATCCTCACAACAAAACTGAAAGAGGCTCTGTGTCACTCAATGAGCTTCATGGCTGACTGGGGATTTGAACCTTTGTCTTGCAGTTCCTAGTCCACCGCTCTAGCCATTATGCCACGTTAACTCTCCTTGGATGCTGTGGTATCAAGGTATCTTAATCTTGTGGACATTTTGGTATTGCAAAGCTAAGTGTGCCTTGACTCTTTATAATTAAATTTCCCCTAGCAGTTTACATTTTAGGATTAAGGTGAACATTTCCTGATATATGGCAACTGTGTTTCTTTCTACAGATACGTAGCTTATTGCATGAAGCTTGCTGATATGCTTCTGTCATTTGGGGTCAAACCCATTCTAGTATTTGATGGCTGTACCCTGCCTTCTAAAAAGCAAGTTGAAAAGTCACGACGAGAGTAAGTCTTATGCCTCCCCACCCCCATTAGAAATTCAAATTGGTAATTTGCAGGATATGTGTGCTTTAAAGACAGTAGCTTCCACATGAAAACAATTCAGATGTTATCATAATGAGAGCAGAATTTAGAAAGCAATGCAGTGTTGAAATCTAAACAGACTTCCGTAATGCTGCAATGTGGCATATGATCCTGTCAACAATAACATTAGCTAAATTTGCAAAACCTCTCAGTACTGAACACATCCTACAACCATCTCAATAGCGAACACATTCAGCTTTGACAAAAGTCAACAAATAGAACTTCTACTCCTGTATCACAGACTTTCCTTCTCCCTGAAAAGCTACTCCAGAAAGTCCCTGAACCTGCTGGAACAGGTATAGCATGAGGCACTGCTTTTGGGAGTGGAAATTGAACTTAACAAAGTACAGCCATACCTTGGTTTTCAAATTTAATCCATTCCGGGAGTCCGTTCGACTTGCGGAACAGTTAGAAAACCAAGGCGTGGATTCCAATTGGAAAATCATTTGAAAACCGGAACAATCACTTTTGGTTTTCAATTGTTTGGGAGCCGAAATGTTCGAGTTCAAAGGCTTCCGAGGTTCCACTGTACTTAGGCACAGTCACAGAAAACTTGCACCCTAGTTAAAACAGTGGGATGGTATTCTAGTAACAGTTTCAGTAGATGAAAGTGCAGTGAAATGCTTATGTTCCATTTCTTTCAATGGGGACTTCCTTCCTAAGGTTTACACAATATATTTTATATATTTATGCTTCTTCTTTTTACATCTGGCTTTCAAGCTCTTACATAGTAGACTCAGACACCGTAGTTCAGGCATTAATAACCCTGAGGGCATAAAGTGTAAAGGGAAATGCTCCCACAGTCCCCACTCAGTCCATCCTGACCTTCCCATGCCTGGGGGTAGGGGAGACTTCTAAGCAAGCCTTAGATCAGGAACCCTAAGAACACAGGTTTCCTGATCATATAATCGCTCAACATAGGAAGTTGAAACACACAGCAACATTGAGTGTCTAGGTTGTGTGTGCCTCCTCCAAGGCACTGCCCTCATGTTTTCTTTGAAATGCTCAAATAGGGTTTATGCACATGTCTCCCATGTGTATTGCAATGCTGGTGCTGTCCACCTGTTCAGTTATGGTTGTGTGACACTGAGACGATGGGTTTGTTTTTGTTATCTTGAAGAAAACGGCAAGCAAACCTCCTGAAAGGGAAACAGCTGCTTCGTGAAGGGAAATTATCAGAAGCCAGAGAATGTTTTGCACGTAGCATTAATGTTACGCATGCTATGGCCTGTGAAGTGATTAAAGTAAGTCGCCTTTTAGCTGGTAGGTTGTTGCTGCTCTCCCATTTTATATTTATTGGCAGAATAACTGCATTTCTTATAACCCTGATGTTTGCATAATACAGGCTTTGCAGAAGGGATAGTGACTCAGAGTTTGCAGTGTTTGTTTATTCAACCATTTGCTGTAGTTAGTATTTGAGTAATAGGAGATATGCAATTATATATTTTATATATAAATTAGGAGAGAGAGATATTTCTCCTATTTCTCATTGAAGGAGCAAACCCATGTCAGGGCTGCACCATTTCAGACTGCGGATGAGGGCTCATAATAACTGCATTGTTCCCTGTACTCTTTCCCCACCAACACCACCAAAGATAAGTTGTTTCGATTAAAGTAGCCTGGAGACCTTCAATGTGATGCATCTTGTTAGGTTGTGGGCGAACATATCAGACGACACAGCGATTCTTCAAACAGTTCTTGTTTATTCAGAGGCAGAACAGAACTGAACTGAAGGGCTCAGTCAGCCTGCTTATATAGAGCTCCAGTACAACAGTTATTGTAGCAACTTTCTAAAACTATCCAATCACTGAACGTCACTTTCGATCCTTCATTTGCATAACTATCTACAGTATCCCTCTGCTGGCCCAGGGTGAGAACTTCAGTACATAACACATCTCTTTTCCTTTGAAGCAGGAATTATATTTGTATTGAGAAGCATTCATATTATATAACTCTACAGCTGCAATCTAAAGTGTTACTGTGTGGAAACTGTTTACCAACTCAGCGATCAATGAGCCTAAATGCAGTTCTTTGTATGGAAACTTATTCCACGCAAAAATCCTAAATTCCGCACCTAGGAGAACTTCAGGTGGTCAGGAGAGGCAACTAGGACCATGCGGGGAAGAACTAGGGACTAGGCCAACTGGGGAGGGAGTGTCACTTGTAAAGCACTATAATGGGGGCTTGAATTGTTTTTTTGCAGGCTGCCCGAGCCCGGGGAATAGATTGCATTGTTGCTCCATATGAAGCGGATGCTCAGCTCGCCTATCTTAACAAGACTGGCTTAGTTGAAGCTATAATTACAGAGGATTCTGATCTTCTTGCTTTTGGATGTAAAAAGGTAGGAAAGAGCTAGTAATTCGTTTCTAAAAAGGACAGCACCAGGCCTCAGCTATGCATGGAAACCCAGCCCTCTAATCATTCATTTATTCATTCATTCATTTATTTATTTATATTATAAAGTCTTTTATTGCAGCCCTTGAGAAACAGGAGCCAGACTCTGGTGCTTAAGACCTCTCCAAAGGCGGCAAAAGGGGGCCTTATCAGAGAGGCTTCATTTGACAAGGTCCTTCAAGTACTTCCATCCATTCTGGGTATATTCACAGGCCCTGGTGGGGGCTACAGAGAGAGCGCCTATTGTCCTCCGAACCCCTGAGTTCCAGTAGCTGCAGAGAGAGAATTCAGTCTTTGGGACAGCCGGAAGCTTCCAGCCAAACTATTTTGCCCGTTCTTCCACAGCTGGGGGGAGCACTTCTTGGGCTTTTCAGAGGGCTCGGGCCCCTCGTCGCCCCACTCAGCAAACCTTGGCTGTAAACCACGTAGATGGCCCGCCGCCCCACCAGGCCGCCTTTGACCAGGAACTTGACAATGGGGAAGATGTGGGGAGCCATGACTGAGCGACGTCTTCGCACGTAGCGCAGGGCCCCCCTCTAATCCTATATGACCCAGGGCAGGCATTGTTCTGTGAGTGTGCAGTGAGGCATGAAGCTCCTGCTTAAAAATCCTCCCCAGCTATGAATTTGCATGGGGACCTTAGGTCAGTATCTGTCAGTGTTGGCCTCTCCTTCCTCCATCTGGAGTATATGGGGAATAATATTGGTCTCCTGAGAGGCCCTGATTGCTGAGAATAACGTAAGCGAAGGTCTTTGCACATTCAAAAAAATGCCATATAAATGCTAAGTATTACTGACGTTAGGCAGACTGTGACCGCTGGACAGAATTAGACAATGTCTGTATGGGGGAACGGGATTGCTGGGTTTGCAAACGTCACAGAGACGCAACAGGTATGTAATAGAAAATGCAAAATTGTATCGCTTATTGATGAAAAATTGTAGTGTAAAATATACAAGAAGTTTATATGCTGATGATTGGGAAAGAATTCCATGTTTGGCCACCATTTGTAGAAATAGTACAGTAATACAAGGACTTGTCCGTTATTTTGTTTTAAGGTATTTCTGAAAATTGACAAGTGTGGAAATGGCTTAGAAATTGACCAGACTCGGCTTGGAATGTGCAAACAACTTGGTGATGTGTTTACAGAAGAGAAATTCCGTTACATGTGTATTCTGTCTGGTTGTGACTACCTTCCGTCTCTTCACGGTATTGGATTAGGCAAGGCTTGCAGGCTGATAAAAATAGCCAATAACCCTGATATTATAAAGGTAACGTTTATTGGCTCTTGAGTTAACTTTATGTTTTCCAAAAGCTCTACAGATAGTGAGGCCAACTCTGGAGAGGAGGAATTCTGGGGAAAGTACTCGACTGAGTTATTATGTAGATACCTGTCAAAAGAAATTTGTTCTGCTGTTCACGTAAATTGGGGAAAACAGTTAAGCAATAATATGTATGTTGCGTGTTGACTAAAGCTTAACTCTTCCTTGTTACATTTACATATAGGATCTTTCCAAATAAGTCCATTTGGGTGAGATACAAATACATATTTTGGTTTTAATAATTGTAAATGAGCCAAGATTCGAAGCAGCCCTAGACTTTAACTATATACAAGCTTTGTCATTATTAAATGATTTATCATTATTTTCATACTGGCAAATGTAAAAGGCCACAGTCCAAACTCTTGTTTCAGAAATCATGCCTACTCCTCAGCTTTCCAGGATGATTTTTTGTTTGTTTGTTTGCTGTACTATTTGAAGATAGGGAGAATAAAGACAGAAAATAATATTTGGTCCAAATTTCCAGTGTATGTCACTCACTCTGAAAAGATACTTGGGACTTTGGGGAAATATCAGATCTGTTTGTTTTTTTAAAAAAAGGAAGTTTGACAAAGGTCTTAAAACATTACTCGTCTGCCCCATGCCTCTTTTCAATAACCATTTCAGCTTTGGAGTACATACTAGACAATGCTTTTAGAGTGACAAAACAATGAGCGTAGATCCCAATTCTGTGAATGCAGCAGGGTTTCTGATCCTTCCTTTTCCTGGTGCAACTGCTGAAAATCTGCTCTCGGAGTTTGAGGGAACCTTGGAAATGGTGTGAGGGTTGGCATAGGGAAGGAAGTATTGGTGGACATTGTCCTCCCTGTTACATGAATGGAGAAGCAACAAAGGGTCCAATCCGTTGTTCCTGCTGTCTCGCAAGTATGCTGTGCGTTGCATAACATGACCTTTTCTCTTCCAGGTCATTCGGAAAATGGGGCAGTATTTGAAGATGAATATTTTGGTACCAGAAGAATACATACAAGGATTTACTCGTGCTAATAATACTTTCCTCTATCAGTTGGTTTTTGACCCAGTCAGGAGACAGCTTGTTCCTTTGAATGCTTACGAAGATGGTGTTGATCCAGAAACACTGCTTTATGCAGGAAAGTATCCTTTATCGAATAAAAATAATAATGTCTTTATAGTCTCTTCCTTTCATGGGGTCTCTGGGATGCCTGGCAAAGTTAAGCATTTCTGAGGCTGTGGTCCTGTGCATACTTACTTGGAAGTAAGCCCTACAAAGCTTGAGACCTTTTGCTGCAGGGTTAAATATGCCTCGGATATGGGTATAAGTACCAACAATAACAGAGTTAAGATCATGCGTAGAAATCTGTGGAACTTATAAACTCCTTAAATTTGACTTACTGGTGCTAGTTGTTGCTCCATTGGAAAAAAATGGGTGCCTTTAAGTATGTTTAAAATATGCAGGAATGTAATGTAGACCTTCCTTCGCATTGTTCAAGTCAATTTTGCAAGGAAAACTAGCTGTTTAATGGCTTTCCAACATTGAATAAAGTTTGATAAAAGTGAACTATCGAGTGGGCCATCTGATCTCTTGCCTAAATGTAGAAATTCTTACAAGTGGTTTTTCATTCATCCAATAGTTCTTAAAATCTCAGTTAAAAGGTCCTAAACTACCATAATTTTAAGAAGGCTTTCTAAGCTGTTTAGCACCTCCATCATCCATTATAAAAATGGTGGCTATCTTGAAATCTTCAATTATCATGCACTCTTTTACTATAAAACAGAACATAACTGTTGTTTCTAAGCCAGTTCATTTCATAGATTCAGTTTAGCACCTCTTCTTTCCTTTGGGAGAAGGCTAAACTTATATAAACAGTAATGCTGCTTCAAATACCTCAGGCGGCTACAAAACTATTGCCTACTAGAATGACGGCTCCTACTCTTAGCACAGAGTCTTCCAGGGATAAAGTTAAGAAGAGCTAATTCTGATGTAAAGCTTTAATATCTTGGCTAAGCTGTTGTGCAAAGTGGTTAGGAGGCATTCATCCATTCAAAGAAGAAGATGTAGAATTTAGTTTTGATTATATAGAGGCTAAATCTCTTTATAAAACACCGCTTTCAAGAAAAAAAGCATCAATAGAAGAACTGCATTTCCCCCTTAATTTGATTAACTTAGGCACATCGGTGATAGCGCTGCTTTTCAAATAGCACTTGGAAATAAAGACATCAATACCATGGAGCAAATTGATGACTACGACCCTGATGCTCAACAGGTAGTGTTTTACTTCTAAATGCCACATCACCTTTAGAGACTATGTGAGGAATGTGAAGTTGCATGTTGGCCTGTGGTTGCACGCTCAAAGGCAGGCATCCCCAAACTCGGCCCTCCAGTTGTTTTGGGACTACAATTCCCATCATCCCTGACCACTGGTCCTGTTAGCTAGGGATGATGGGAGCTGCAGTCCCCAAAACAGCTGGAGGGCCAAGTTGGGGGATGCCTGCTCAAAGGACTGCTGCCTGGATGACCCAAAGCCGACCTAATACATCAACACTTCCTCCTCTTCCCATGGGGATAAGAGGTGTATGAGGTAACAGGAAGAGCAGTGTTGCTTTCTAACCACTTGTTGGCTTGATTATGTCCCTGGATTGTTCCTCCCACACTGGCCAATGGCCAGCAGTAGATCGATGGAACAGAATTGAAGAACGATCAAATTATTTGCATCGTTTTTAACAATCTCAAGAGAAACAGGCTCCAGTCATTCTTTCCTCTATTATACATCTTCTTGTTTCCTTTTCCTATAGTCTGTACAGCCCAGAAGTCGTGGCTGGGACGACAAATATGCCAAAGAGCAGCCACCCAATTTAAAGAGCATTTGGAGCAGAGACTACAAACCTGGTTCCACTGCCAAGATTACAACAAATTCAGCCTCAGTGTTGGAGAAACCCACAACCAGAGGCCTGGAGCGACTAGTTAACATGAAAGGGCTGAAGCTTCCCAGCAAAGCGCAATTGGCAAAAAGACCAAGGCATGGTATGATAGCTAAATCTCTAAAGAGATTGTATGTGAAAAAGAAAACCTTCCTCTTACTCTAAAATGTTCTCGAAGGCTTAAGACATGAAAGCTTTCCCCTCATAACATATTTATTTTGTTTATCCCTTTCTATAAACACTTTGAAGGAATAGGATTCTTTAGCATAGAGAATCCAATCAATTTAACAATAGTTGGTATATATTTATAATATCCCATTTTTGCATAGCAATCCAATTTTCTGCTGCTGCAAACTCATGTATTAATGTAATATTTGGTGTCTTAGCGTTTGTTTCTTCTACACTGAAAGGGAATCAAATTAAGATCAATATATCTACATTTCTTAATGGTTTTCTTTAGTTTTTTTTTCAAAAAAATATTCCTTACAGTCTTTTTCTGTTGTGACCCAATTACAATGTGTATTTTTCATATATATGTTTAGAAGAGCTGTCAGAAGGTGACCTGCTAAGCCAGTATTTTTCAAACACCAAAAAACCTAAGATGGAAAGCAGTGAAGATGGTGAGCATCCTGCGTTTGTTGGTGCAGTGTCTGCGATTGCTGCTTCAGAGGACTCTTGCAGAGACAAAGAAAGTTCAAGCTCCCATCCTAGGCTTAGAAATAAATTTGCCTTCATCTTGCGGAAGAAGAATGAAGAGAGTGATGCAGTTGTTGTTGTTCCGGGGACTAGAAGCAGGTATGCTTTCTTCAAGTTCAGTATGTAAAAAGTTACATTCTTGGGGAATTTGACTCTGCAGTTTCCCTTCATTACAAAAAGTAGAAGTGGCATACTCAAAAGCAAAATATAATATAAAAATATATAATATATTCAGCACACTAGGCTACCTTCTAAAAGACCCTAGGGGACACGTCAGAGAAAGTGACACAATAAATCTAGTTGGCAAAGTCTTTGGTTCCTTTGAAAAACTATTCACATGTAAATAAGCAGTTACCTTTACATGCTCATAAATTAGAACATGTACAGTACTAGAATTTGGATTGATTTGCTTTTTCATATATTTTTCCCCCCGAAGGGAAGCTGAACAAGGGCAGGATGAATCATAATCTGGTCAGAGCAGCCTCTAGACCAGCTTTACATATAAAATCCTCTTTTTAAAAATTGACTTAGGAGTTAACAACACACAAACGAATGTGACGTAAATTGCCTGAGGAGCAATATTAAACTGGCATCTGAAAGTCAAAGTCAAAATTAACAGTGTGCAGAAGCTTTAATCTGATGGCCTCTTGAGACCCTTCCCAACTCAAATTAGTCAAAACACACTGTAATATCAACTGGGGAGGAGGGTGTGTCAGTAAGAGATTGGCAGGTCAGGTGAAGGGTGGATTTCTACATCTTTGCACCACCCAAGTCCCCAGTGATTTTACATTCTCGTTCTGCATGTCCCACTCCTCCCATACAAAGCAAAATTGAACATGAAAGTTTGCTCTTGGGAAGTACCGTACATGGAAAATAATTCCTTTGGATGCATGCCTACATACAAAAAGAAAAGAAAAGAAAGATCCCAGCACATTCTAGATAAGTGCAAATCATTTGGAGAAGACATGGGAACCTCCTGGTGTTTTCAGCAAAAAAACCCTTTTCTTTAAGGTTGAGAGAGTGATTGGAGATTACTCAGCTTTCCTTTTCCCACAGCAGAGTGTTACTGCTCTCAGATAGTTCTCCATATTTTATCCTCTCCTAACATTTCAAGAACTAGAGCACATTTCTGGAAGACTGTGAAGATTTCCCTTAACCCAGAAACAACAAACATGCCCCAAAGTCTGCCACTTGATAATGAAAATGTGTTTTTCTCTTCCAACAATGCCAGCAGCAACAAGAAAATTACCCAGGGCTTCCGTAGTGCAAGTTGTGTGCATCAGGTTCTTGGTTTGGTTAGTCATTAAAATATTTGTATGCCACTATATATTACATTACATTCCATCATTAGTGTGATTTACAGCAATAAAGCCTTAAAAACAATCTTCCCATTTGCATTTCCTCCTTTTGCACTTCCTAAAGTAACAGTGTCCATTGGTTACACGTAAAATAGTGTATCCTTAGTACATAGTCTGACAGTTGTGTATTTAAATATATGAACGAAAAATAAGAACGAGAGGAAATGAACCTGGCATCACAAAATGCCGGCTTGTTTTCAAGTTGCTACTGAATGGATGATGAGCCTTCTAGCACACTCATCTGCAGGAAAAAATCTCACGCCAGTGCTTTGTGGTATATAAAATACTGCCATGTTCAGTTTCTGAAGCAGGGTATTAGTCACTGCTCTAGGATTATGCCGGTGGACTGTGCAATGAGGCTAGAAAGCAATCTCTGGCTTTCTGACTATGACATCTGTGATCTCCTATACTGTGTTCAGTGATGCCTCTAATACCTCCACTAAAAGCCCATTCTCTTATTATGCTCCTACAAAGGAGGTTTTAGTTATGCTGGCACTATTAGGTGGAGAGTCTTATTGGTCCATCAGTGTTGGTCTTCTGCCAGCTCCTGAAGAAACACCTGTTTAGGCAAGCATTCCCCACCCCCCAACCGAACATGTGATTTTACCGTTTTCACAGTTTTAATTATATTTTTAATTAAGGATGCTTTAATGTTTTGTGTACTTGAATTATGTGTTGACTTTATAGCTGTAAACTGCTTAGAAGCCATTTTGGCATATGAGTGGTATATAAATTAGTAAATAATAATTACTGCTGCTACATTTTGCAACACAATCAGTTGAGTACCTATCCTCTTAAGAGCTGTGAGAAGCATAGGCCTATCTGTTTGGTATAATTTATTAACGTCCAAGTTCTTCCTTGTTTTACTTAGCAAGTGTCCATAATAACAAACGAATAGTATCAGTGACACCTTAACAAATATTCCTAGTCTCTTCCTTTCGGTGGATTTGTGCTGTTTTAAATTGCAAAGAGTCCTTCATGCTTGCAGCCATTTCGCTTTATCCCTCCTTCCCATTTATTACCTCTGTTCTTCCAATGTATGTTAGGTTTTTCTGCAAAGCGATGGATCAGCCTGACAATACATCAAAGGATGAAATCCATGAATCACCGCAGGGCAGTGAAGTGGATTCTCAGATTGTGGAAGCAGGAAATACAGTAACAGAGGATCTTGGTCCTTCCTCTTCAGAGAGTGGAAAAACTAGAACTGCCTTGCTGTCACCCAGGACAACACAGACAAGCTGTTTCAACTGGACTAGAAGCTTTGCAGATAGGCCTGGAACACCCAGTCCATTGCAAAGTATCGCATTGTTACAGCAGTTTCGCCGACGCACACCCAGCAAAGTCACACCCCAGAGTTGTGAGGTGTCCGGATCACAAACGCTAAACACCACAGCAAGTAAAGAGTCGGATGAAGAGTCTTCCCCTTTAAAAGAACTGCAGCGCTCATCAGAACAGGAGCTTGACAGAGTGTCGCAAAATAGCCTGGGCACTTCAGAATATTCATGGATGACCAAGAAAAATGCTCCTTCTGGCAGAGTAAGATCACCACCCTGTGCTTCAGTTAAGCAGTTAATTAAATTGCCACTTGCCCCTCAAGGGAATAGTCTACAGCTCTTATTTATTCCAATACATCTGGCTCTCCACTGTAAAATGACTTCTGACGAAACTCTTGGTCCCCCTGCCAGTCCGTCTGGCTGTTGTTATCAACCAGTGTGTCTAACCCTATGCACCCCACCCCCATGTGGCTGGATTTCTACTTTCATCAACCTCAGCCATCAGGGCCACTAATAAGGAGTTGTAGCCCAGCAGCATTTGGTAGGCCAAAGGTTAGCTCTGCTGTAAACCAAAATACTGATTTTACTTTACTAAGGAAGACAAGAGCAACTTACATTTATTATTTTATCTTTGCCATTGGGAATATCTTCAGTCACTTAACTTTTAAAAACAAGCATGAGATTCTCTGTTTAGATTATTATATACAGTGGTACCTCAGGTTAAGTACTTAATTCGTTCCGGAGGTCCGTTCTTAACCTGAAACTGTTCTTAACCTGAAGCACCACTTTAGCTAATGGGGCCTCCTGCTGCCGCCACGCCGCCGGGGCACGATTTCTGTTCTCATCCTGAAGCAAAGTTCTTAACCTGAAGCACTATTTCTGGGTTAGCGGAGTCTGTAACCTGAAGCATATGTAACCTGAGGTACCACTGTACAAGCCAACGTTAAATTATATATAAAATAACATTTGCCTTTTTCTCTTTTTTTGTACCATAGGAACCTGACTGCAGTCCGGAACCAAAATGTAATTTGAATTCCCAAATCTTTCAGTTCTGTGACTCATTGTGTACTGAAAATAAGGATATGGAGTTCAATAGCAAGGTATGTCTTTTTTTCCTCTTTAGTTTTTTATGTTCAGTTTTTTTGTTCTTTTCTTTTTTGGTATGTAAATACATACCTGTACATTGAAATGCAGCGGGAGCACAGCGGAAGAGATGGAACATCACCCCCTGCCCCCTAATCTCTGTTGGCTCCTTTAAGAATAGCACATGTTGGAGATCATCTCATCCAACCTCTAAGAAATCTGATTGTCATATCTGGCGCTTGGCACTTTTGAGGAACTGCTGGCTATATTATTTATTAATGCCTTGGAAAGTTTTATCCTATCTGACTCTGGTTTATATATTTTAAAATAAACAGTATCAATTTGTAGGTGTGTAAATTATTGCTGTTGCCTATTTTCACAATACATTTTTAATTGTTAGTTTTTATTATACTAATTGTTTGGATTGCCAGGTTATTAGTTATTAGGCTATTTGTTGTAATGATGCATTATATGTATTTTGCTGTTGTGTTGTGAACCACTTTGGGCATATTTTTTGTGGGAAAGTGGCATTCAAATAGAAATAATGAGTCTTATGGGTAAGACCTGGATTGTAAATTTTTAGAACTAGGGACCTCTTCTGACATTTATTTTATTTGCACATACTTCCTACTGCAACTGTTACAGATCTGAGACTATCCATGATCTTATTTATTTTCACACCCTGTGATGTACTGTAAATCAGGCTAAGAGTTTACTCAAGGATTCTGTTTGGACTGTCAGATTATGCCTTGAAACGAATAGTTATTAGACTGTTTGTTGTAATGATGCATTGATGTGTATTTTCGCCCACACGTTCAAATAAGCCAGTCACACATAATGTATAAAATTGTGGAACTGTGGTTTGCTCTAACCAAAATTAAGATGAACGAGAATGAACCTGTGGTTTTCAGATCCTTGGTTATTCACTAACCTGAGAGTTGCTGCAGTGTAGTAGTTAAGAGACTGAGGTGGGAATCGGGAAGTCCCTGATTCAAATCTAGCCTCTGTCATGATTTCACTGGGGGGGGGGGGCATTAGACAAGCCACTCTCACTCAGCCTTGTAAGGTAAGTCGCCAACATTGTCCCTCCCCACTGACAAATCTGCAATATTGCGGGGGGTGGGGGATAATAATATCAACTTACCTTACAAGGTTGTTGTAAGGATTGCAACTAAATAATGCATGTGAAGTCATTTGAACACTTAATATATTAATTAAAATTATTCTCTTGTGCATGAAGGAGGAAGGGATGGGGAATACTAGCCTGAACGTCCGCAGCTCGTTTCCAGTAATCTAAACCCTGGCTGAGTTGTTGGATTCTCCAGTTTTTCTAGTATGGCTCCCTCATTGCATCAGTCATCTTTCCCTTTCTTTTGGGAAGACAATATAGGCTGTGGATTCCCTGGTTAATGATAGGCTTGAGCTGAGAACAAAATCTGCAGTTGTTCTTTGTGGTGCAGATGGAATTTCATCACTGGCAATGACGCCAAAAAGCTCAGAGAAACACCCTTCATAATAAAGAAGGCATGGGAAAGATTGTGCTGGTTAATGTAAACATCTCTGGATTTTTTGTGTAATTGATTGCTTAAAGGAGGAGCTTCTATACAGGTCTAATGAGCATCCTCAATGACTAGTGTTTACTAGCAAGTTTTATTTTGTTTTTTATGAAAAAAAAACCTTTATAAAACATGTTACTAAGACTCTAAATAGCATTCTGTATTCTTCAGAATTATAGTGACCTCTTGTGGTTAGTGACTTCACTGTGCGGACAGATTCCTTTTCCTAAAAGTGTGTGTACAGACTTGCTTGCGCAAAATGCTTTCTTAGAATCATGGGATACTGTCTCTTTTAATTAGCTTTTTTTAATGTTGCTTAGCACTGCTTTGTAAGCAGCCCTGATACCCTGAGATTTTAGTACAAATACTACTCTAGCAGATTAGAAATAGTAGAAGCTTTAAGGGACAACTGTGTCTGCAGTCTATAGATTTCCTAAGCCTGTTTACCTGAGTATCTTCCTCCAGGATGAATTGACTCTTGCCCAGGCCTTAAGATCAACTCCTCAAGCCGTGTTCTCTGTTCCCTTGTTATGGGAGATGTGGTACAGGAAGCTGAACCTTTTGATGGGGGTACCAAAATTAGAATGTCTTCCCTGTGGCAATCCACCAGGTCCCCTCTCTTCTTTGTGCTTAGCAAACTTTATTACTGTTGTTTTGCCATTTCAAAAGTCATTTACAGGTTCTGTGTGATTCCCGCATGCAGAGTCGCATGTCAGTCGGACATGTGTAAATTTATATACGCATAAATATAGATGCCTATATATAAATGCATACAGAGAGAGCTATTTAGAAACGGACAAGTTTTTGCTGGTAGAGAGATCAGTTGGGAGGGAGGGATCAGAATATAATGAAGCTCTAGATTGAGTTTTTGAATGAATTGCACTTGGTGGTGCAATGTGATCATTTTACTGACAAATCATAAGGACTTCAATGGAACAGCAGCTGATATTTCTCTCCATCTCCAGGTTCCTGGATTACTTAAAGCCAGTTCCGCGAAATCCCACACTGTGACAGAACACAAGAGATTACTGCCTGCCAAAGTTAGTGGTCTGAGCAAGAAAACAGCCAGTGCAAAGAAGAAAAAACATCACAATTCTGAAAATAAGGCAGGGTTGCAGGTGACAATTAATGAACTTTGGAGGACCTTCCAGTTTAAAAGGTGAATGTTTTTCCTATACAGTCATACCTCGGGATGAATACACTTCAGGTTAAGCGTTTTCAGGTTGCGCTCCACGGCAACCCGGAAGTAATGGAATGGTTTCACCGCTCGCGCATGTGCAGACGCTCAAAATGACGTCATGCGCAGAAGCGGTGAAACGCGACCTGTGCACGCACAGACGTGCAGTCGCGTGTTACGTTCGCTTCAGGATGTGAACGGGGCTCCGGAACGGATCCCGTTCGCATCCAGAGGTACCACTGTATCTCAATACGACAGTTTCCTTTTACTAGATCTTCATCAACTTTATTTAAATATTGCATACTGATGAAGATGATATATGTTACTAAGCACTTTGTTAGCCTTTGTAAACTGCTTTGTAATAGGATCTCAAGTGTTATATAAAAGTTGTGAAATAAATAATTTACAAGTGTCTTTCTAGCAAAATATTTGCTGTTGCAGCTCTTGAAGTAGGCATGTTGGCATCATCAGACTGCTGAGATTCATAAAGGCTACCTAGGCTAGTTCAGACGGCCCATAGTGGCTGGGTGGTATATAAATAATGAAACTAGTGTTCGTATTAGCTGAAGGAGGAAGATTGAACAAGAATGTTATCAAATATCAACTAGACCTCATTCTCATTCCTCTTCACCTAAGACAAGGAGTAGATCTTTGGGATTTTCCTCCTACTTAGCATATTATTCTAGTTGGGTAGAAATAAACATTTCCTAGGAAGCAGACTTTGATCTTCTCTGGCTGTAGAATATGTCTCATACACAACAAATTTGATGTCTGCATTTTTTTAGTTGATTTAGGACGAATCTGATGCGCTGAATCCAAAAATCACATTGGTTTTGCTCAGTCAGGTCAAGTTTTTGAGCTATGGCCACATGTGGTTTTTTTACGTTTTTGTTCACATGTATGCTTGTGTGGAGCATTTTAGAAGAAGTTGGTGGGGGTAAAATGCCATGTCGAATAATTGTTTTGATTGGAAATGATTATTTTAATGACAAGAAGTATTCAGGTCCGATAGTTCTGGGTGATTATGTCGAAAAGGGATCAGTTTGAAGTCATAAAACCTCGAAATCTTCCATAAATTGGTGCGGCTAGGATCAACAGAAAGAACCAGAGCAGCCTCAAGTATCCTGACCTTCAATCAGCATGTCGTCCTGTAGCTCATTGTGATGAAATTCCAGTGCCTATCTTCGGAGAACTTCCTGACATTAGTGACGAAGATGCCTCCAGTGTTGAAGGACATGAAGAAGAAGATGATGCTCCACATCCATTTTCCCAAAAGGAGTTGAATGATCTAGTTCGCGACCTCAGCTTGTCAAAGGACTCTGCCAAACTGTTGGCATCCAGATTGAAGGAAAAAAACCTCCTCTCTGACAGTGTTTGCATCAGCTTCTTCCGCAACAGGCATCAAGAGTACCTCCGTTTTTTCTCGGAAGAGAAGGACTTGGTGTACTGTGCAGATATTGCGCAGCTTCTGCTCAAGCTTGGAGTGCCACAGTTTGAACCCAAAGATTGGAGACTGTTCATTGACAGCAGCAAGCGATCACTGAAATGTGTTCTGCTACACAACGGCAACCAGTTTGCCTCTATACCCCTGGCTCACTCGAGTACACTGAAGGAGAACTATGAAGCGGTGAAGTATGTGCTGGAGAAAATTGGTTATGATCAGCATAAGTGGTTTATTTGTGTTGACCTAAAGATGGTGAACTTTTTGTTGGGACAACAGTCTGGCTTCACCAAAGTACCCATGTTTTCTGTGCATGTAGGATAGTAGGGACCGTGCTCAGCATTACACGAAGAAGGACTGGCCTGTGCAGGAGGAATTGGTGCCTTGCAAAGAAAGGAACTTCATCAACGACCCTCTGGTGGACAGAGACAGAATACTCTTCCCACCGCTGCACATCAAGCTCGGCTTAATCAAGCAGTTCACCAAGGCTCTGGACAAGGATGGTGACTGCTTCACTTACTTGTGCCAAGCTTTTCCAGGATTGACCATGGAGAAGTTGAAAGCTGGCATCTTTGACAGTCCTCAGATCCGTCAGCTCACCAGAGATCCAGAGTTCGGAAACTCAATGAACGAAGTGGAACTGGAAGCGTGGAAGGCATTTGTTCTGGTAGTGAAGAACTTTCTTGGCAACAATAAGGCCAGAAACTACGCAGAACTTGTCAACAACATCCTGACTGCTTTCAGAAACCTGGGCTGCAACATGAGCGTCAAAATGCACTACCTATTTTCACATATGGAGCAGTTTCCTGAGAACCTGGGTTCAATGAGTGACGAGCAGGGGGAGAGATTCCATCAGGGCATGAAAGAGATGGAGACCAGGTATCAGGGTCGCTGGGACGCAGTCATGATGGCTGACTACTGTTGGACTCTGAAGAGAGACCTCCCTGCCGCTGAGCATCCCAGGAGTTCCAAGAAACGGAGGTTCAAGCCTTGAAGTTTGAAAAATGGTGAAGCAACATGCAATTTACGTGTACTTACCTTTATCAATGCCCACCATTCAGTTTACAGTAAACCTGACCTGATGGAGAGAAACGGATGCCATTTCCTGATTCAGCAGTGCAAAAATACCCTAAATCACTTGTAGAAATCTAGACAACATTCAAAAAGTAAAAAATTGTTTCCCAGTGTAATTTTTAAACCAAGTATAAAAAAAATTAATGGACATTTGGCAGATTTTAAATCACTTGCAGCTCCTGTCATAATGTCCTATCAGAGGCTCACAATGCTATAAATACACTTTGAACTAGATAAATAGGTACTGTCTGTAAGCACTGGTAGTTAGTATTTCTGGGCACTAACAGTTTGCTTTCCTTTTGCAGGGATTCTGAAAGGCTACCGTCCTGTAGAAAACCAGAGCCACTGTCTCCAATCAAAGATAACCAAGATAACATCCAGCTCACTCCAGAGACAGACGATGACACTTTAAATAAACTTGAATTCAGTCATGTACAGCGGAAAATCTTTAAATGAACTGATCTTGCAGATATGAACAAAACTATAGCCATTGACCAACGTAATGTCCAGGCCAATTTGCTTCTGGACACCAAATCAAAATGAGCATTTGTATATATTTGGATGTGAGCTGTATATTTTAGTCTTATCAGAGATCTTGACCACTTCTGTTTTGAAAGAAGTAAAATGAACTACAGTGTTTATATTTGCTTTAATAAAATAAATTTGGCTACAAATCTACTGCTGGACAAGATTTATCTATCCAGTATAAATATAAAAGCCAAATGCTATTAGAGAACAAGCTCAAAAAGCTTTGGGGGCGGGGGCGTTAAAATGTTGTGGTTATTGGTTCTTTGGTAACTATGCCACTTCTAGATGGCCCAGGAAGAAAAGTAAGTGTAAAAGATTTGTTGTGTCCTAAGGTTAACAGAAATTGTAGATCACCATAATTTATCTGAAAGCCCATTTTGATCCAAAGGGCCACATACAGCAGTAGGGCTTTTGAACGTCGACCCCCTGTCATTTTTGTTCAGAAGCACACGCCCAGGTTGCTGAAGAAGCCGCTGCTATAAAACATGCTTGCAGAAGCAACTTCTTGAGCCATATGGAGAGAAGCAACTCATGAACAACACGAACAGCCTCATGGTGGAGGCTGGTCCATCAACCTCAGCCTTCTGCCCTTAACTGGTTCCTTCACCCGCCTGCCAGGGGGGTGACATTGCCCGTCTGCTGCCTTCTCAGTCTCCTTTTGTACCCAGGGGGTATGCTTCAGTACAACTGTTGGAAACACTTGTTTTTTATAATATACTGTATTTTATGAAGGGGGGTCCTCTAGCTTGTGGGCCAAAAACAGCCCTCCAGGCCATTCATTTTGGTGCTCAGGACCCTCCCCAGGCAAAGCAACTCACCAGCCATGCCCCACACCCTTCTCAAGTGCCTGGTTAGGCTATTTCCTTGAACCCTGATTATACTTCTTGCTTAACTTGTTTAGTGAAGTTTTTAATATTTAATGCTGTATTTAACACTCGATTGGGAGCCGCCCAGAGTGGCTGGGGAAACTCAACCAGATGGGCGGAGTATAAATAAATTATTATTATTATTATTATTATTATTTATTATCATCTGGGTGGAAAGAAGGCTGGATGAGAGTCACATTTGTCACTCCACGACCTTTTTGCCTCTTGCCTCCCCTCTACCCTCTGAGATCTTGGGCTGAAGGGTGGTATACAAGTTTAATAAATAATAATAATGTAGCCCCTGGGATGCTGGACACAGTCTCTGAATTGGCATCTTAAGAGCAACTTGCAGAATCCATGAACAGGCCATATTAGAGCTGGTACACTTGTTATCTTTCTTTAATGAGAGAATGGATGGACTAAAACTCACTGCTGCTTTGGGCTTCTGGAGATTGGAGAAGGTTCTCTTCCTCCAGAATAAAAAAGAGCAGGTAGGGAAGTTCACTCCAGGTTTATCCATGTGAGAAAGAACAGTCTTGGAAGATCCCTGGCTGTTGGTGCAAAGGAGTCGCTGCCTTTTCATCCTGGCCAGTTCCCCCATTTAAGGCTCTTCTTAATACAGTGGTACTTCGGGTTACATACGCTTCAGGTTACAGACTCGGCTAACCCAGAAATAGTGCTTCAGGTTAAGAACTTAACTTCAGGATGAGAACAGAAATTGTGCTCCAACGGCGTGGCAGCAGCAGGAGGCCCCATTAGCTAAAGTGGTGCTTCAGGTTAAGTACAGTTTTAGGTTAAGTAAGGGCCTCCAGAACGAATTAAGTACTTAACCCGAGGTACCACTGTACCACAAGTCGGACCTACACTGCATGCCACATTTTGATGTCTCACCACTTTCTAAAAGGAGTGCTCTTGTTCATGGAGCCAGCCAGTCATGCCTGCCTCCAGGACACTCCATTCCATCTCCCTTTCCTTTTCTGTTTTTATTTTCTAACTAACTTACAAAATTCTGTAGCTTTGGAGTACAGTGGTACCTCAGGTTAAGTACTTAATTCGTTCTGGAGGCAAAATTCTTAACCCAAGGTAATATTTCTGGGTTAGCAGAGTCTGTAACCTGAAGCGTATGTAACCTGAGGTACCACTGTACTCATTCAAGCTTGGGGTGGGATTGCAGCCTGACCTGGTATGTTTTAAAAGCTTTTTGTACTTCTGCTCTTCAAACCTTTTGATACCTCCCTCTTGTTTAAGAGGTTCTGATCCTATCGGCATTCACCACCTGAGTTTGCTTTGAGAGAAAGTGATGTTTTGCATAGAAATAATTTTGTTTAAAGTATGTTTCCTGTTTTTCATTTGTGAGAGTTTCTGCTTCTGTTCAGAAGAGTTTGGTGGTTCTGTTCTGGCTGCACACAAAAGTTGTCAGAAGTCCTGTAATGGTTAACCATTTGAACTGAAGCCCAAACTGCTTTGGTCAAAACCACTCAGGCGCCAAAAACCTATTCTCATCCTCCCTGTCTTGGACTGCATGGTGGCAGATGCAAATGGTGGAACTACAGTTTCCTGCTTTTTGTGTGTAACATGTACATTTCCCATATTTACACAGCTGGAGACAGTAAATCCTATGCAAGTCTCTCTCTCTCTTTTACCAACTACTTGCCAAATGTTATTTACAAGAAATATATATGGCAATAAGCAAAAATGAAGTGTGAATATGAATTTCCTATTTCTTCTCTTTATCATATATTTAGATGAACTAAAAATAGCCATTACTGATGGAAGCTCCAACACCCCCCCCACACACACTTTTACTTAAAATATAATAATCACACATTTCTCACATAGTCTAGTTTGGCCAATAAAGAATATGTAACTTTACTTGGAGTATTATTGATCTTTTGTCCAAGGAGCAAGATGTTGGCGGAAGTATTTAATGTGTGCTCTGGTATACTGCTAGATCTGAAAAGGGCAGCTGCCTTGGAGGACATTCAGTCAAGCAAACCTCTTAATTTGAATTGCTATCATTCTTTCCTTGCAGTCTTTCCATCCCTCATTTGTACGCATGCATTGGTTTTCTGAATTACCACAATAAGTTTGCTTTATTCGCAGAATCTGATGGAGAAGATCTTAAGAGATCGTGCAGTTCACCCATTTGTGATCAGTGCAGGATCTGCAGTACAGAAAACAGATTTTTGGCTTGGATGGGTCATCGGCCTGATTCAGCAGCCTATTCTCATGTTCTTATGAGTTATCATTTCAAATATTTCGGTGGTTTTGAGGCAGTGGGGTGGGGGGAGAGAACCAAGTAATCTGGCTTGAGTTTCTTGGAGGAAGAGTAGACTAAAGTTGGCATCCGTCTGTCTCAGGAGACAATGGAGGAGTGTGCCTTTGTGGATGAAGTCAAACTGTTGGAAGGCTGCAGTGGCTGTAGAAGCCAATACAGGAGAGACATGATTTATTGCAGCAGGGGTAGATGCTTCTCTCTGCACTCCTCCCAGCGGTCATTCCTCCTCTGGTCACTGCTATGGATGGACAACCAGACTCTGTTTCCAGGCACTGTGGTTGTCTGCAAGGGATTCCCACACAGTGTGGTTGATATTGCCAGTCTTTGTGTCACGTTTGCAGACATATTTGTAAAACACAGTTGGTTTGCCACTGGGCCTGGTGCCTCAAGCCAGCTCCCCATAGTACTAATACTACAGTGGTACCTCGGGTTAAGAACTTAATTCGTTCCGGAGGTCTGTTCTTAACCTGAAACTGTTCTTAACCTGAAGCACCACTTTAGCTAATGGGGCCTCCTGCTGCTGCCACGCCGCTAGAGCACAATTTCTGTTCTCATCCTGAAGCAAAGTTCTAAACCTGAGGTAATATTTCTGGGTTAGTGGAGTCTGTAACCTGAAGCATATGTAACCTGAGGTACCACTGTACTAATAATTGTATTCCATGTTGTCTTTAAAAAGAATTTAATTGGTTTTACATAGTATGCTTCTACTGAAGAATTATTAAGTTCTTCAAAACATCAGCTTTGCACCAAGCAAAAATCCAGTTCTCTCATTGTGGGTATGTGGCTTAGAATTTTTTAGTCCAAGGCTGAGGTAATGTTACTGCAGGCCTGGCACTTCTAAAGAATGACCACTTTCCAAAGATTGTTGCGGTTGCTAAGCAACCTGCAGATTGCCTAATGGCTCCCAAACTTAATCACAGCTCAGCTGGAGTGTGTTGTGTCTAATATCATGTGGGATGTTCAAGACTTCAAAACACAAATTAATATTTGTGTTGGATTAGAAAGCAAGTTCACAGAGGTCGGCTGCAATGAACACATCCATCTTTTCACTCAGCTATAAACATGATTTAATTTCAGGGGGTGCTGTGGTTTGTTGCTGAATTGCTTTTGGTTTCCTGTGTCTGACATACGGTCTACCAATATTATGCGTCTTCCAAGATCAGAATGACACAGAACCACATTAATGTATGGGGAAAGGGGTATACAGAAAATAAAAACTGGCCTAAATACCTTAATACAGAATCAGCCATGTCTTCTTCCTGGCTATTTTTATTTATTTTTTGATAAATATTCATTTGATACATATTTATATCCCACTGTTCCAATGCAAACACATTACATGGGAGTGTAGAGCAATTAAATATTGTGGCAAAAGTTCAAAACAGATGATATGGAATAAAGGCAGTTTCGGCAAGCAAAACAAAATCCCACTCATAAAACCTTTACTGCCTCCCATGGCAGGACTGCCAGAATACAAAAATCAAATGGGGAAAGAAACCAAGAAAGAGGTCCAAGCAAACTTCATGAGGCAAGATGTTCCATCCATAGATGGGACACAAGCCATATTTACATGTTATAAATACAGAGAAGTAAATGTGGGATGGGTTTGGAGGCTTAGCAGAAAGAAACACATTCTCATTAGCTTCCAACTTGTGAAAAGTAACTGCCTGAAGCAGGGAGGCCTTTGTACTCAGCAATCCCACCCACCATTGAACCCAATGGCTTTTGACTATACACGATTTTGGCTTTAGGCGAAATCCCCAGAATGCAACAAAACAACACACACCATGTAAGTTACAAGCTTGCTGTCATCACCAAGGCGTGGAATTCTGCCTGGAAACAAACTGGCAAGCAGTGCAGATATCACACGATAGGTGTGATATCGCCACAGAGATGTGAGTAGCCATAACACCGTGCTACTCTGTCTCACTTTAACAACTCGTCAGCTCCCTCGGTTGGGAAGGTGCGTAGAAAGGCAAAAGAGTCTTGCCTTGCCCTCCCGCAGTCAATTCTAGCTGTGTCTCCTAGGTCAGGGCTTTAAGACGAGCAGAGCAACTGGGAAGAGAGAAGAGTTTAGGGGGCGGGGAAACTTTTAATAATTTTATAGGTTTGTGACCTTATTCCTCGGTTTGATATTTTTACATTGTTTTAATGTATTGTAATTTTGCTGTTATTTTTACTTATAATTTAGCAATGAATTGTGCATTTCTGTCTATTATTTGTTGATAATTTGAGAGTTGATTTTATTGTATAATGGATTATTGAATATTACTTTATTTGATACACTGTAAATTGGTTATTTTAAGCCACAGTTTTTATTATGATTTGTATCGGTTTGGATTATCAGGTGTGCAATCTTATATATTTTGTTGTTTTTTGATGTTGTAAGCCACCTTGTGTATAGCAATGTAGAATATATGGTATACAAATTAAAAATGAAGCAAAATTGGAAAAACTCCTATGCAACAGGGAGTTACTAACATTGTTGCTGCTGTGGTCTGTACCAACTGATGCTTCTGAAGTCTCTTAAACAGAAGCCCCATATAGACCATCTTGCAATAATCCAATTTGTACATAACTAATGCATGTGTCACCATTGTTCAGAAGCATGATTACAATGTAGACAAGCATTTGAAGATCATGCCACACAAGTATTAATAGACTTGCAGTCGTGCTTTAGTTTCCACTGCCAGGCTGTTCAGGTGGTATCACAAATAACAAACCCATCAGCTGTAAACAATGGAATAGTACTAGACAAGTTTTTGAGAACTGGAGAGAGATTAGATATCTATCTGCGTGTGTCGCTCATAAACCTGCTATATAAGCAGTTACCATGTAAAATATTAACAGCTTCATATACCTCAGCAAAGATAATTTATTCCTTGCTTTAGATTTTTTAAAAAACATTCCTTGACCAATTTTCCTGGGTTTACAGCATTGTTAAGGGGCAACGAGGTGTACTCTGTGAAGAACGTTGCACTCTTAAATGTATTTTTGCTTTGCTTTTAAAACACCTTCCATTCTTACTAGGGAGCAAAGCCTTTCATAAAAGTCAACATGGAATCTATGTGCCTAAGGACAAATTTATGCAGTGACAGAAACATTTGCTTAGGAGTAAGTCTTGCTAAAATCAATGAGGTTGCGTCTGAGCAAATGTGTTCAGAACAGATGTGTTTCATTTAGGCAGGAAAAAAACTGCCTGATATCTTTAAAAAGATATCAAATATGTTTAAAATAAAGCAACCTTAAAAGTATATTTGAAAATAGGGGTGCCAAAATTGTGCCTCAGAGTGGCTAGGAGGGAAAGCAGCGAGGGGAGGGAAGCAGGAAGTCACTGGTGGAGTGCAAAAGGTGACAGAAAGCAAACTTTTTGAGTTTCTGGTCCATGGTCTCTCATATACCTCCTTGCCAAGGGCACAAGGGAGCCTAGGTGCACCTCTGCCCACAGCCAGGATATCTTGAACATTAGACTCCCTCATTTGATGGACTGTCTGCGGGAGGGTTGATTGAAAACCACCACTTGCGAATCAAGGGGAGGAAAAATGCTGCTTTGGGAAGCAGTGCATGCTTAAGTTTATCAGTGGGGCCAAGGCTTCTGCTGAAGAACCATTAAGAGTTGAGATTCATGAATTATTCTGTGTGTCTTCCTTTCATTATTGACTTACGCACTTCTCGATTGACGTGGCTTTATTTTTTGCAGGGAAACGTTAAAATACGCGGCACACAGTCATGTCTGCTTTTCCTGAACCACAGTCATTTTCAGGGTTGCATTATCAGCATTACAGATTCTGGCCCACACTTTCTATTTATTTGTGCAGTGAATGTGCAATTGGCCCTAGCTATTTAAAAGTAGAAGCAGGATTCCGGCATACACACAGACACACATCCCTACTACAGTCTCTTACCATTTCGCAGTTGTTGTGATGGAATTTCCTGCAAATTGCGCTGGACAGGCAGGTAAGGTATATTCACTTAGCAATGCTCTGCCTCGGGTTTTACAGACCAACAAATACAAAATACCCTATGCCCACACATGTCGTCATCATCATCATTCAGCCCAGCTGATTTGGCAAGAAGTGTTGTAAACCTTTTCTGTGACCTGCTTATTGGAGAGGACCAAAGCAGGGATGATTACTCACTTATTGCAGCTGAACACCTCCCTCCCTGCCTAGGGAAGGCCAAACAACCTGGTCTCTTTTTCTGCTGTTGAAAAACATTCACAGCTGTGCCAAATTAAGTGTAAAATGCTGGCTGTAATCATGGGAGCATTTTACACCTATTTCAGGATGCCTTAGGGGCCCGAGGCAACAAAAAGCAGGCCTCCCTTAGAGAGATCAGTTGCAAGACAGATTTTTTTTTAATTAAGTCATATTCATGGGGGGGGGGGTGCTTTCAGGTTGCCTCGCAAACTTGCTCTCAATCAATTTGTAGAATCATAGAATTGTAGAGTTGGAAGGGACCCAAGGGTCATCTAGTCCAACCCCCTGCAATGCCAGAATCTCAGCTAAAGCATCCATGACAGATGGCCATCCAACCTCTGATACAAACCTCCAAGGAAGGAGAGTCCACAACTGCTATTAGTATTATTTATTGAATGTATATACTGCCCTATACCTGGAGGTCTCAGGGCAGTTCCACTGTCGAACAGCTCTTACTGTCAGAAAATTCTTCCTGATGTTTAATCAGATCAGAATCTTCTTCCTTGTAACGTGAAGCCATTGCTTTGGGTCCTACCTTCTAGAACAGGTGGCTGCATCTTCCATGTGAAAGCCCTTTATATATTTGAAGATGGTTATCATATCTCCTCTCAGTCTCCTCATTTCCAGACTAAACATACCCAGCTCCTTCAACCGTTTCTCATAAAACTTGGTTTCCAAACCCTTGATCATCTTGGTTGTCCTCCTCTGCATACATTCCAGCTTGACATCATCAAATTGTGTGCCCAGAACTGGACATATTAATCTCTAATCTCTATTACATGGGATGTATGTTCTTTTGGACCATTTTTATCAGCACCCTGGATGTACATTTACAGGGAAGACGGGAGAGGGATGCATCTGGAGGTCCAGACCAAACCAGTGTTCAGTCATTCATTCCTGCGTATAATCAGCAGAGGATGCTTAACCTCCCCAAAGCTCCACCACATTGGTTTTATTTATATTTCTTGAAAGTGCAGTAACTCTTTATTCCCTTTCTGCAATTTTTGATCATTTTAAGGTGGAGAACCACTCTTGGTCATTAATAAATCCAGCGGCCAATCCATACTAAAATATTATTTGACTGCTCTCAATTGTTTGGGAGAAAGTGACCCATGCCTTTCCCTTTCAGCATTAGCAATTTGCCTCAATGAACAGTTTGCTATTAGTACCGACAACCCTTAACTACTTGGAACCAGTTTACCTATAGGATCACCTTACTCCAGGCTTCCTCAACCTTGGCCCTCCAGACGTTTTTGGCCTACAACTCCCATGATCCCTAGCTAGCAGGACCAGTGGTCAGGGATGCTGGGAATTGTAGTCTCAAAACATCTGGAGGGCCGAGGTTGAGGAAGCCTGCCTTACTCCATATATACTGGGTGAGGGGGGCATTGTTACTATGGTATGTATTTTTGTGTTTTTATATTGCAAACTGCCCTGTGATCCTCCGATGAAGGGAAGTACAGAAGACAAACAAAACATATACCCACTTGATCATTTCAATCAGTGGGACTGGCACCATTATAGGGGCCACAGAATACCCGTTCCACATTTGTACAAAATTAATATTTTAATGTGGCACTTTGGAACTCTCTGCCTATTGATATCAGGTGGCTCCCCTCCTCACGGTACTGTTTATCCCTGCGTAAGTTGTGAGGCTTACTGTACTTCAAACTGCATTCACTCACAGGAAACCAGAAACACAATTAGAGACGAGAGATGTTTAGGCATGTTGCTTTAATTCTCCTTCAGTCCATCCTTCCCATAGTGACATCACCATTGTTTCAACCCTTTACAGTGGTACCTTGGGTTACTGACGCTTCAGGTTACAGATTCCGCTAACCCAGAAATAGTACCTCAGGTTAAGAACTTTGCTTCAGGATGAGAACAGAAATCGTGCGGTGGCAGCGGGAGGCCCCATTAGCTAAAGTGTTACCTCAGGTTAAGAACAGTTTCAGGTTAAGAACGGACCTCCAGAACGAATTAAGTTCTTAACCCGAGGTACCACTGTACTTTAGAGGAGTAAGGTAACTACTCCAGAGTTTAAAATGCTTAGCATGTCCATTTAAGTCCATTTAAGGATATCAAGAAGCAGATGGCTGGAAAGTGAGAAGCCTCCTGCAGGAGCTATTTGAAAACTACCATCCATTCCAGCTACTCTGACTCTTCATCTTTTTACATGCCGGCAGAAGCGGTGGAGCAAGCCAATCGGGCGCCTGGGGCGGAGCATGTGACCTGCGCCTTGGTGTGGGGCCAGCCGCCCACAGGGTCAACCGGGGCAGGACACTCCGCAGGGTCTCCGAGGAGTCTGCCTGCCTCCTCCTGCTCAGCCGCCCTACAGCTGGGGGGAAGGCAGTGGGCGGACCGTTTGGGGTAGCACCGAGCCTGCGGGCGCCCAAGCCACTGCATCACTCCCAGGAGAGACACATAGCTCGGGCGTGCTGCAGGCCTCGCGGTGAGTGCCACCTGGCATTTTGTCAGTCCCCTCAGTGGTGACACCCAGGTCACCCCGCCCCCCCGCCCCTTCTTCTGCCCCTGGCCAGCAGTGACATCGGAAAAGACACAAGAATGCTGCTGTTGCTAAACAGGTGGTGTTGCCTTAAGCTTTGTGATGGCAAAAACTCCGTTGGTTTGTTTGTTTTTAAGTCCCACCCCCCTTAAAAAATGGCTTTCAACAAAGTACATACAGTACAAGTACACACACCAGCTGCAGGCAGAATCATAAAATGGAGACTAGACAGCACATACTCTTAACATTTGCCAAGGTTCTCTTTTCAAACAGGAACGCTGGTAGGCCAGCACAGCAGCTTCTTAAAACAAACAAATAAAGGACGACTCATACATCAAGGATGCCAACAGAGAACCGCTTTTGAGATATGTAACTGGTAGATGAAAACTGATCTTAAGATGGGGTTGCAATTCCACTTCAACAAGTCTAAATAAATCCATATTTATTTTGAAAAAAGCTAACAGATATACTGCAATATATATATTTCTTTATTTACATAACTAGTGATAATTCAGTGCCACTTAACGTAGTGACACTGTATACAGAATCCAGGCCCTTTCCTGGTTCTTAGAGCTAGCGGTCCATTAAACCAAGTTGTGTGCCATATATAGGAGGAATTTGTGTCCACATTGCAGTGAATACCTATTTAAAATACTGTTTGAGCCATGGGGGCCTGTGAACCAACTGATGTGATTTGACTCCCATTGATCAATAGTCAGAAATTATGGGAGTCCAACGTCATATGGGAGGGGCTGCACGTTCCCCATCCCTGGTCTCTTTACTCTGATAGTCTGTGATGCACCCCTTCTAAAGACATCTGGTTTATGCGAGACTAGGACCTGTCAACTCAAGAGAGTCCCCAAGTCAGCTAAGTTCCCTTGAAATACAGGCGGCCATCTTAAACATGACATTGACACAAGAGGCTCAGGCAGTTAAGTTTAGCAACAAGGTTTAAGGACCAAGGAGCTTCTAATTGCCTTGCACTTTGTGAGCTACGGACGGGAGTCATGTTTTTAACAGGGTGCCCTTTTTATGCAGCAATCTTATCTTAAACCCAAATATAGAAAGCTCAGCAGAGTTCAAAAGGCAAGAACACAGCCTCATGATAAAACTACTGTTGGAGCTTCAAGGATTGCTGCCTCAGCTCCAATGTTAGTTAAAACGCCTGTTCCCCACCCCTCAATTTAAACAGCCACAAGATGGCACAATAAATATTCACATACTGATCATATCTCCATTTGGAGAGCTGTGCTCCGGAACTCCCTACCTAGCCAGAGCTCTATTTCACCCTACCAACTCCTGATTTTTTTTATAAGTACTGCGCAGTGGGATCCATGTGCAGCAGTGCTGCCTGAAAGAGGCCCATTACATGCCATTGCCTCAGCCCTTTCAATAAAACTCACTCCCACATGAATTTGTGTGTGTGTAGTATCATGTAAATCCATCCTTAGGGGTATTCCTCCTGGAGGTATATGTAGACAAGAGCAGGGGCATAGAAAAGCCAGCTATGGCTCTGTGTTTTGCAGTGCTCAACACCACTGATTAGAATCAAAAGAGTGCTACAGTAACTCTGAAACAGTTAGTAAAATCTTTAGTGCATACATTATTCTTAGCTGCTAAGCAGATCATTCCTGCTCAGACCATGTGACCTGGTTTTTAAAATCCCTTTATTTTTCACTGGTCTTACCCAGTGGGGGCATTCTCTGCACTTGTGTGCTTCTTCCTTTGGTGTGTGTGTCCCCTCGAAGATGATGATGACATAGCCATAGATTTGTACGGATTTAAAAACTGACCACAGTTACCTGTTTTTGGACCAGAGATGCAACCACAACTGGAAGCAAGCAAGTATTCCAGTGGTGGTTTTAACACCACCTTTAAAAGCAGTTACATCGTTTATTATTATTATTTTAAACACTGAAGTGCATCCCCTGCTACCTGTTTTTGGGCAGGAAAGGAGCGAAATACAAAGTACTTGTCCGTGTCACTCATTTAGGATGGCTTGTTCCATCATGTGGTTCTTTGGTCGGGTCCTGCCAACTCCTGGACCATGAATCCTTCGAGAGGAGCCCACATTTAGAGACAGCACCTTTCATTTTCAGGTAGCTCGCATGATTCACAGTTGAGCTGTCTAGCCACATAGCTGTTACCCGAGAGAACACTTATGTTTTCTGGAGACATTCCTTACATTTCCCCTTGCCAGCAGCTAAGAGGCCTCCAAACATCTCTTGGGAAGCATAAGTCATGTACACAAACCCATCTTCATCTTTGTAATCCTGGTAGACTTCTGCCAGCGTTAGAGACATGCTTGCTAAACTCTTGTTGTTTACCAGCATATAGAAAGCTTGCGTAGAACTCAGCGCCATTCTGCTTCTGGGTTAACAAAGAAAAGAGAGGGAAAGTCTAAAATGTGCCAGTTGTTTCATGCTATGCCAATACAATCCTAATCCAGGACGATGTACTCAGTGATTTTGTACCCTTGAGAATACTTTATAACTGGGCTCATTTATTATTGGCAGGCTTGACTCAAGGGAAGTTTACACTGTTTTCACACCTACAGAAGAAAAGTGGGCTGTATAACATCCCAGTGACACTGGGTGATTGACAGGTGGGTGAATTCCTCCAGTCCATCAAGATGACCCAGCAAGGGTGAGGAACCCAGAATCTGGCATTTTGGAGAAATTTTTACAGCTTGTGTAAGTTTTGGCACTGAAACTGGGGTGCTACTTTTACTCCACGTATAGGGTGGCTGGTGGTAAGCAAACTTTAAACAAATTCCCCTTAAATAGATATTTAAGACAATCCATTAGGAATTGGGAAGGGGGAATCAACCATCATGCACCCAGTTGTGCACATCAGTGACCATTCAGACAAGTTTTGGGACATTTAGATATTCATAAAGGCCAAGTGAAATAGTAAACAGGTTGATTTATAGAGGCCTACATTGTTGTGAAGCATATATAGTTCAAATTATTCCAAGAGACATGTTTATGTGACAGTTTTCCTAGGGTCCATCAAGTTATGGATTGAGTGGGTCATCTGCAGCACTGACCTCAGCTACAGAAACTGGTAGCTAGATGTCCTTTAATACACACCCACAAGTGATACAAGATGGAACAAACAAAATCCATTAAAGAAAATCCTCTCCCTAATTTAAACTCATCACTTTTGGGGAAGTTTTTGCTTACTGTAACTCCTGATCTTTACATTTTGTCAGCAGTTTAGCTTGAATGCACATAACATTGGTGCAGAGTCAAAGATGAAGTATAATAAATTTGTATCCCATCCTTCCCCCAAGAAGCAAAGAATTATATTTGTCTAATAAACCATGGTTTACTGGAATGTGCAGGCACTTTTTCTTCCCCTTTATATATCCATTCTCTCTTGCACTGCTGTTAGACAGATTTCAGTGTTTGTTAAAGCACAGTTTCTAGTTACATTCAAGCTATGTCAGATTATAAACCGTAGTTTGGAACCAGAAACTAATTCTGGTTTATAAGATTAAAGCCACAGTTTCTCAGTTTGAATACAACAGGAAACTTTGGTTTAAAAACCCCTAAAAGATTTTTAATTATGGCTTAATTATGGTACATGAGGGAAAGAAAAGGGGATAGCAGGCAGGTACAATGATTATTTATTAGACTGAGATAGTAGCATCTGAACAGGGCTGATTTGTGAAATGGTTCCAAGATTCATAGTTTAAGCAAGTATTTGAACCTAGGCTTATTAGTGGTAGGACAGTTAGCTGGTTTCCAGAGGTTTATAGAAGTGTCGGATCCAAATACTTACACAGGTTATCTATATCCTACAGCTAGATCAGCAGAAGCAAGGTTTAGGTGGTAAAGGAAATACCTAAAGTTATGACAATTCCTAGCCTTCCAAGAGGAACACACCAGAAAAAAGGAGACATTTCTAGGTGGTAGCAGAGTAGTGCAAAGTTACTCCTTCCCCACTGTCTAACTGAAACAAACAAATATATTTTATAATAATAATAATAAATAATAATTTATTATTTATACCCTGCCCATCTGGCTGGGCTTCCTCAGCCACTCTGGGCGGCTTCCCAAAAAATATTAAAATACTGTAAAACATTAAAAGCTTCCCTAAACAGGGCTGCCTTCAGATGTCTTCTAAAAGTCTGGTAGTTATTGTTCTCTTTGACATCTGGTGGGAGGGCGTTCCACAGGGAGGGCGCCACTACTGAGAAGACTCTCTGCCTGGTTCCCTGTAGCTTGGCTTCTCGCAGTGAGGGAACCGCCAGAAGGCCCTCGGTGCTGGACCTCAGTGTCCGGGTAGAACAATGGGGGTGTTATAAACACACACATTTAGTCTTTTTTTAAAAAATGTAGTTTTTAGGGAAACCAGCAGACGCTGCTCTGCTTCCTCCCCCCCCCCCCCCGGCCAAAAAAAAGCATTGCAGAAAAATTTAACATACTAATTTTCACACAAAGAAGGCAGTGAGTGGAATGTTTCTTGGGGGGGGGCAGAACATTGGATACGTGCCAACTTCATCAGCTACTATTAAGAATATACAGTAACAAACTATATGGAAACAAGCTACTACTGACGTATTGTAGGATAGGAATTGTAGGATAGGAAAGCTATCCTACAAGAAAAATCCTAGAAAAATCCTAGTACTCTGCTCTGTATTTCATTCCACCTTGGAAAGGTTGTGAACTGAGAAGGCAAACAACTGTATCAGTCAGAGAGGTCAGACCGCTTGCTTAGGACCAAGGGCAGATTGCTGAAACGTAGCACATTTCCTAAGCTGACTTCAGAGAGGCTGTAGCTCAGGGCCACTTCTGACGTTACTTTTCTCCACTTGGATTCTGAAACAAGCTGGAAAGGTGCCGCTCCAGAATGCCCACGATCTTTGTAATGCACAAGTAGTTAGAAAGCATGAGTCACATCTGCTCTGGGTCTCTCTCTCACAAAATTTACAGACTGCTACCTCCTGTCTGAAGCTCTCCAAGGACCTCTAAAAGCTCCAAAACAGCAGAGTAAAAAGAGCTGAATGTGACGCAGTCTGGGTTTGAGCCAAAGCACCTCAGGAAAAATGATATTGTGCAGCGAGGGATGGGGAGGGCAGTCTGTGGCCCTGGACAACTGCTGCTAACCTTAATTAGCTAGACTTCCTAATGCAGGCTCCAGGGGTGCCAACTTGAATAGAATACTGTGGGGGGGGCAGGTAAGCCCCACCCTGCATAATTGATCACATGATACACTGCCCACATACACACTCACTATTTGAATCAAAATGGCCATCAACTTGGGGGCCCCCAACCCCTTTCAAATATTTTATTGTGGGGGCCGAAACCCCCACAGCCCTAGGAGTTGTCTCCTATAGCAGGCTCCTTATATTCCCAAGACAGAAGGGTTACAGACAGAGAAGGCTTGGAATACTATGACTCAGATGAAACACAGAGACATGCACTACTCAAATAATTCTGTGTGCCGTAATTATGGTTCTTGAACAGCCCCGCCCCCCTTATAACAAACAGTTTTCGAAACTGGGGAGGATTTAAAAGCAGCTTGCAATATGTCTAAGGGAACGTGGGTGGCGCTGTGGGTTAAACCACAGAGCCTAGGACTTGCCGATCAGAAGTTCGGTGGTTCGAATTCCCGCGAAGGGGTGAGCTCCCGTTGCTCGGTCCCTGCTCCTGCCAACCTAGCAGTTCAAAAGCACGTCAAAAGTGCAAGTAGATAAATAGGTACCACTCCGGTGGGAAGGTAAACGGAGTTTCCGTGCACTGCTCTGGTTCGCCAGAAGTGGCTTAGTCATGCTGGCCCCATGACCTGGAAGCTCCCTCGGCCAATAAAGCGAGATGGGTGCCGCAACCCCAGAGTCATCCGCGACTGGACCTAATGGTCAGGGGTCCCTTTACCTTGCAGTATGTCACAAGTAATCAGTTTTTTCCCAAAACACTAGCAGAACACTTTGGAACCTGGTCTCCAAGAGGTTTCATCAGCAGTTCTGGGTTTAGAATAAATAATCCGAAGCCTTGCTAAAAGATTTTCTTATTTTTAAAATGTGGGAACTACAAGCTTCTTCTTGTTGTTGTTGTGTGTGTGTTTTAATCACCATTGATACAAACACTGAGAATATATCTTAAAATTTTGTGTGTGTGTGTGTGTGTGTGTGTGTGTGCAAGGGGGAGTGGGCAGTAGGGAAGATGACATTAATCTAACAGATTTCTTACCACAGCCTTGTGCAAACAAGAAGGAATCATTTGCAAGAGAACTCAAATGATCTGAGTCCCATCAAAGCATGGAGGGGAAAAATCACAGAAATGTGCTGAGTAATATAGTACATATTATCACCTAGTTTCCAAGTTCTTTCAGAAGCCCTGCTGCAAAAATAGATTAACAAAAGAAGCAGGCAGAGGAGCAGGGAGAGTCAACAAAATTAGAAGCCTATCAAGACCTTGCTACATACCTGATGATAGTTATAAACTGAGTCATGGTCAGCTCCTGAGGCACAAGAAACTTGGTTTTGTCTAGCAGGGGAAGGTACTTTTCTTTCTGGTACCTTTCAACAATAACCTGTTTTTAAGAAAGAAGGAAACAGATTTTAAAGCAAAGTAGCAATAGAGCATGCTGCACAATAGTACTCAAAAACTAGGACGGCAATTCTAAGCACACTTCCTGGGCAGGAAGATCCATTGCTCCCAGTGTGACTTGCTAGTGACTAAATAAGCACAGAATCCTCGATAATTTGAAAATGTGCAATTATCAGTAATTGGCAAAGGAAAAGGAAACAGAATAGATACTTACTGGGACTTTTGTTGGGAACTTCCCTCGTATGCCTGCAACTTCTTCAACTCGGGTTGCTATGCAGAAGAAAAGCAAGGATCAATTGTCTGTATTTCTGCATGCCCAACCTTGAACACACTCGGAAGCATATGTCATTGCTTTTGAGTGCAATCTGTAGCCTAGTCCAAATCAGTAGCTGGAATCCCATAGGCTTGATACACCTAGATTTCACCCTGCTCCTACAGCCCACCGTGCCATCCCCAACATGATTCCAGCTGATCTTATTTCCAAATAAATGTGCAGCCGGATTGGAGTCTGGTCGGTTAGTAAAAGGCTCCGTCTGCAACAACTTACCAAAACTCTTTCTTTGTTTAAACGGTCTGACATGCTGGCAGCTATGTAAAGGCTGCATTTTCCCTTTGGAACGCAGGCTGCCTTTTCTTTTCCTTTTTAACCAGCGACTCCTGCACCGGATCAGCTGCCGTCAAAATGCACCGTTCTTAAAAAGAACCCCCTTATAAAGACCTGCTTGTGACATCAGCCTCGTTCCTTGCCCTACCTTCCCCCCTCCTCTCCTTAAGCGGTGAGGGGTGGGGTCAGGCTGGCCTCCGCAGGGTTAGGGAAGGCAGCGGCAGGGTGCTTCGCGGCCAGAAGAAGGCACCGTTTCTAACCTACAGGGTGGAGAGGGGTCTCTGCCCCGCGCGCAGCGCATGGCTTCTTTGACGCGCTGTGGCCTGTGCTGCTGCCGGGCGCTCTTTGGTTTACATCTTCTTGGGAATAGTTTGCCGTGTGATACAAAGCTCAAGTCTTTTACAAAATAAACCCATTGATCCGCACTGCAACCTGGAGGGAGGGGAGTGCTATTGAACCCAAAGGGGAGAGTTACATCTTAGTAAACATAAAGAGGATCGGGCTGCAAGTCCAGCAGCTCGTTGCTATTTGCTGCGCTTTGCAGCGGCGCAAGGAGTTCTTCCTCTTGCTTTCGTGTGGGGAAGGGGGGTTACACAGCTGCTTGCTTCCTCCTCCCGTGTGGCTGCTGTGCATGTTTAGTCTGGAGGAAGTCCCCTTCCACTGCGTCGAGAGGGGTAAACTCCCATCTCACTCTATGTAGGATCGCGCCCTTAGCAGTGACGTTGCTTCCTTTGGAAATGTTGCGCAGGCAAAGCGGGAAAGCTCTTTGCGCCATGAATGGTTTTGCTCCAAGTTACTGAGAACAGGTCAAGGTAGTACTCGCTCAAGAAAGCTTTGTGTAAGCTTTACAGCTACAACACTGCCCTGGTTTATTTGAGGCTCTAATGAAGTGGGACTTCTACCTAAATGCGCAAAGGACTGAGCAGCAGGTTTCTTATTACCATCAGTTTGTTGTAGGTGCTGGAAGAGCCTGGAAAGCTCAGTTGGTTAGAGCTTAGTGCTGATAACACCGCTTGCAGGTTCGATCCCCTATGGGACAGGTGCACATTCCTGCATTGCAGGGGGTTGGACTGTGATCCTTAGGTTCCCTTCCAGCACTACAATTCTGTGATAGAAATGTGTAAAGCACTCCAGTCTGCACTTAGTCCTTAAAAAGGCACTGGCAGTGTAAGTTGCTCTATCCCAGCTCCTGCCAACCTAGCAGTTCAAAAGCATGCCAGTTCAAGTAGATAAATAGGTACCACTGCTGCAGGAAGGTAAACGGCGTTTCCATGCGCTCTGGCTTCCATCACGGTGTTCCGTTGTGCCAGAAGCGGTTTAGTCATGCTGGCCACATGACCTGGAAAGCTGACTGTGGACAAACACCAGCTCCCTTGGCCTGAAGCGAGATGAGAGCTGCAACCCCAGAGTCGCATTTGATTGGACTTAACCGTCCAGGGGTTAAGTCCAGGCACAGCTTCTGATTGGCTGCAGGAAGCTCCTGTAGCCAATCGGAAGCCGTGGAAGCAGCAACGGACGTTCGGGTTCCAAAGAACGTTTGCAAACTGGAACAATCACTTCCAGGTTTGTGGCGTTTGGGAGCCAAAACGTTCGTCTTGCAAGGTGTTCGACTTCTGAGGTATGACCGTAATTGAAACCCATTGAAGAGCACTCTGCCCCACCCTTCTAGTGACATTTCAGTGACATCTTTATGACATTTCTAGATCACTTCTGGGTTTGGCACAATGCACATATACATGGTCGCACACATATTGAACATGCATAAAGGGGGAGGGCCTGCCTGTACTCTACTCTTCTCAACTAACTCCTGGGATTGTCTATACAAACCTGCTTACTGTATTGTTTTGAATTTGGCCACCTGATTAGTATTACTGTGGCTTCATATAAATACAGTGTCACTTAATGTGAGTCAGGGATATGGCACAAGACCCAAGAATATTATTCTAATGGCTGTGGATGTTTCCTTGAACTGGCAATTCATCTTCAGGGGTGGTGTCTTCAGACAGTGTGTGTGAAAAAGCAATTTAGCAGTTGAAAGGAGAGGGACTGAAAGAGGCAGACAAAGCGAGAGCTGAGAGTTTCTAGCAGAAAATGGATGGTGGGCAGCCTTGGGTAGGCTGCTTAAGTTCTCTGGGAATTCAATGTAGGAATCAGTGAATCTTCTGCCTGTTGTAGAAGTCCCTGGGTGCTCCCCCCCCCATGCTTTCCTGTATATATGTTAATAGATAAAGCAAATATTACGAAGACAATGCAAATCTTCTCTGCTTTCCCATAAGACCATAAGGAAAGTCATGCTGGCTCAGGCCAAAGGCCCATCTTGTCCAGCTTTCTATTCCCGCAGTGGCTAATCATATGTCTGTGGGAAGCCCACCAGCGGGACATGAGTGCAACAGCACTCTTCCAAGAAAAAAACTGAAAGGAAACTGAACTTTGTAGCTGTGTTCCTGGAAATAGGAAAGTGAGGAATTTCTTTTTACCTAGGGCCTGGCAAAGGGCACATGATACAGCAACCTTGCTAAAACTAAGCAGGTCTAGATCTCATCAAGTGCCTGGATGGAAAGTTGTATTCTACCTTCAGTTCCATGAAAGAAAGAAAGAAAGAAAGAAAGAAAGAAAGAAAGGATATAGATATTACATCCCAGCCATCCACTAAGTGGCCCAGAGGAGCATGCTTTTACCACAACAGTCCTGTGAAATGGAGAGAGAATAGCTTTCAGAGATAAGGTTGGCTTACAATTCTAAACTCACAACACGTACAATATATTATGGAAAAGTGGAATTGTTTCTGGTACTTACTGCTAGTGCCTGGCAGTTGATGAGCATCTTGGTTCTTCCTCCCTCTAGGGAATAAGCTGGCCTTTTAAATACGTTGGTCCCAGGTTCTTTAGGACTTTATATACTAACAGTAAGTCCTTGAAAATGGCTTGGTAGTATCCTGGCCACTGGTGCAGCTCCCTCAACACAGCTGTTATCCGTGATCAGTAACCAATGCTCAAGTGATAGCATCCAGGCTGTAGAATTGTGCCGCACTTCTGAACCATCCACAAGGGGAGCACCACAGGAGCCCACTACAGCAGTCTATCTATGAGGTTACTGAGACTTGAGCCACCCTATCCAAGCCACTGTAAATATAAACTGATTTTTTAAAGAAACCTATCAGTTTTGAGATCAAATTTATCTCACGTTATTTCAAGCTCTGCACATCTGGGAAGCCAAAAGCTTAACAGATCTGACATTGCACAACTTCCTATTTTATCATTTATTTATTTTAATTTTATGGTACAATAAATAAACAACTCAGATGAGAAGTGTATATATTGTTGCAGAAGACAATTACATCACCTATACATAAGTGTCATAGCCATAACATACATAGCTATATACATACATGCCTATACGTGCCTATACATACATAGCCATAAGTGTCATGCCAGAGAGTCCCATGCATTACTGGAGGGCAAAACACATGCTCATTTAATTTTTCCCATTCAGGTAAACTTTTTCATCAAAGCTAAGTTGCAGAGTTGCTGCTGCCAGACCAACATCAGGTCTGCTTTCCTACAGTGTTTATAGTAAGTGTATCTGCAGTTAATATAAGTATAATTAAAATCAACAGCATAAAGTTGCTCAAAGTTTGGTTTGGAACTGAACAATAATTTTTGTTCCCAACTGCTAAATGTATCTCATTTTTTTCAGCTGGAAGAGGACTTTAAATTCCATTATGTTTCATTTACAGGCATAGACAAATCTGATCCAGATCTTGGAGCCACCTTCAGAAGGTAAGAGCCAGGACCAATAACTGACAAATGTGTACTGTCCTCAGGATTGCCTGCTTTCTCTCTTTATTGGCTAAGAAAAACAAGACCCTCCCCTCCACGTATTTACATAGTGTCTTGTGCCACCAGCTGGTTCTGCGTATCCTTACAAGCAATGTTTTTCTTCTAGAAAAAAAGGTGCCAGTACTTACCATGAAGTTGCCACAGTAAGTGCCACAGTTTTAACCAGTGCTTTTCTTCTAGGAAAAACGGTGCTGGTACTGTGTACCCTTGAACATCCCCAGAGAAAAAGCACTGCTTACAAGTACTAGCTCTGGTACAGTACTGATACAATAGCCCTACAGTATTTCCAGCGATGATAAACCTAGACAGCACCTTAAAAAGCAGAGACATCACCTTGCCAACAAAGGTCCATATAGTCAAAGCTATGGTTTTCCCAGTAGCGATGTATGGAAGTGAGAGCTGGACCATAAAGAAGGCTGATCGCCGAAGAATTGATGCTTTTGAATTATGGTGCTGGAGGAGACTCTTGAGAGTCCCATGGACTGCAAGAAGATCAAACGTATCCATTCTTAAGGAAATCAGCCCTGAGTGCTCACTGGAAGGACAGATCCTGAAGCTGAGGCTCCAATACTTTGGAGAAGACTCCCTGGAAAAGTCCCTGATGTTGGGAAAGATGGAGGGCACAAGGAGAAGGGGACGACAGAGGACGAGATGGTTGGATAGTGGACTTCCGGAGGCGGCGCCAGCGGTCGATGGCGGATTCCCTCGGTCAGAGGGAATAAGCGCCACGAAAAAAGGGTCGAATCCCGCTTCGGCGCAGCGGGGGACCCCTAAAAATCACAGGCGGGGGAAGCCTGTGAACCTGGGACCCAGCGGGCACATTTGGTGTTCCCCCCCCAACCCGGCAAAAAGCCCAGAAACGGGCTTGAAATCGGAGCGGGGGAGAGCGCTGTGCTGTGGGCTGTCTGCTCGTTCGTGGTGTGAAGCCGCAAGCTGTCGATCGGAGAGCGCTGCCTTTCTTTCTTGAAATCCGGACTTGGAAAGCAACGATCCGTGAGTAGGATTTACTCAAACTGGAACTGTACAAATTAGATCTGAAATCAGGCTGAAAACGGAGGAGGTTTAAAAAGGAAGTCAGCCTCCTTCTATTGTAGATAGACTTAAAGCACTGAACTTGAAAATGGAAGCTTTTGGAAAGGACGTTTTTAGAGGACTTTAATCCAGTCACTGAACCTGGACTTTTCCCTCTATAAGCTGAGGGAAAATAGGGGGAGATCTCTGGAGGTGAT